TCTGAGTAGACAATCGGCAGAATGCCAGATAGACGTGAGTCTGCTCTCGAATGAGAGATCAAAGGTTCTGGCTAAGGCGAGTGTCGCTGACTCCCTTAGAATAATGGTTCTGAGACAGTAAGGTTGGAGACCTTACTGAAGGACGATGTTCCAGGTAAAACCCAGTAGATTAAAGTAAGGAATACAATCGTAAGTAGCTAGGTTTATATACGAATGTTCAAGCAGAGCTTGTAAATGTGTTATCAAGATAGAAGCATGATAAGGGATAAGAGTCAAGGATAAGGCGGACAGCCCGCTTGGCGAAGATAAGAGATAAGCATGATACGGACAGCCCGTTTGTAAGCAAGATCAAAAAGAAATGAGTATAGGGGCTAAATGTTACTGTAACACATAGGATCATCGACATCTGCACTAACTTCCAATTCTGTCCGGACACTCACATTTCATGCTCCCAGTTGTCCAATCAAGCTCAAGGTACCAATTAACCATCAATCAAGCTAATAAACTAACCAATATATAACTTTGATATATTTTCCAGTATAACAAAAGGTTCTATTCATTGAGGACCGGCTACAACACTGTGCAGGCCAGCACCCATCACTACCAGCGCACAACCCATCACACGCCACGCCACCTGCGCCTATGTTAATGCCCACCACCTCACTGCATCCCCTCTCACTCGCTTGCTGTTCTTGCTGGCTGGCTTTTGCTGGCTCGCTCGCCGTGTCTCACTCACCCACTGTCTCTCACTCACTGTCTCGCACGACCACTGACTGCTCTCGCCCACTGTCTCTCACCCTCTGTCTCTCGCCCGTTGTCTCTCACCCCGCTGTCTCTCACTCGAGAAGGTGACGGCAACATCTGAGAATGGAGGCGCGACTCAAACCGTACGTACCTCTCTTGTTGTCCTGAATGTCTTCCTTCGCTGACAACGGTAATGGCGCTAGTTTTACCATTGCTTAACTCTTGTATTTTATTCACCTCCGTTCGTAATTGCCAAGCTGACTGTCTGTTAGACTATGTCCCTTGCACGACACCACTCAACATGACCATTCTCTCGACGGCCAACCCGAGCTACCCATCCACCCACTCGACCTCACCAGCGAGCCATCTGGCTGTCTCCTTGCTGGCTGCTCTTGCCCGCTGTCTCTTGCCCGCTGTCTCTTGCTCGCTGTCTCTCACCCCGCTGTCTCTCACCCCGCCTTCTCTCACCCACCCGCTGTCTGCTCTCGGCCAAACGACACGATCCTCTGTCTAAGCATCCAGCGTGCACCCTTCATTGCCAAGAACTGCACTGTCCTCATTTCCTACTTTCATGTTCCTCACAGTGTCTGGGGACAATGATACTGTGCATACTGCCCTGTCTTCATCTCCCCAATTTTCCTCTATCTGGTTTCTGCTTGCCAAGTCAAGTTCCATATTCAGAGCGGAGGCAGAGAGTATGTAGCTATGTCATTGGAGTAGCTACTTGATGTGTAAAGTAGTATTTCAATGTTTTTTTTTCGCACTCACCATTGAAAATTTTCGGGTTCAGTTCGAGTTTGGACCAGAAAAAAACCGAACCGGACCACAGAGAACCATTCTCTGTGGTCCAGTTCAGGGTTCGAAGATTTTGCAGAACTGGACCATGGTTCAGTTCTCGGTTCTCGTCCAGGACCCTCTGAACCGGACCAAACCGGACCACGGCAGCACTACATGTATCACAAATTCGCACCAGAGTTCCACAAGAGTGGATGGACTGAGATCGTCGCAGGTGAATGTATCAACCTCGACGTTGTCCATACCATTATCTCCTCGTCCCGAACTGTTGATAAACAGACAGAAGTTCTCGGAGGAGTCGAAATCAAATATGGAGTCTCAGAAACTGCATCCAAGAAAGTTGCCACCGATTCAGATTGGTACGCAGTGAATCCTGATCGAGGCGCTAAAGACATATATGGACAATTCCTTTTCGTTTGAGCCAGCATCACGGCAACTCTACTATGGCCCATATGCCTGCTATTTTCCAGCGAAGCAAACACGTTTGCTTCAGCTATGGGACGACATCGGGTTACCTCATGAGCATCCCAAACAAGTATTCGGTTCACTGCTGACTGTCATTGGCTTTGACGTGGACCCGAACACAATGTCAGCTACACTGCCCGAAGATAAGAAGAGGGAATTGGTTGCACACTTGCGTCATTTCGCAGGAAAGGGCTTTAGATGGTCACTCCGGGAATATCAACAGTTGGCAGGTTGGTGTGAGTGGAGTTTTAACGTGTTCCCTTTGCTCAAACCAGGGCTGTCGGCCATATACGAGAAAATCCGAGGGAAGACAGAACCCTTCGCACGTCTGCACGTCAATCAGAGCATCATTCACGAGCTTCTCTGGATGGCGGATCACATGGATTGCTCGCCTGGATTGCTCTTGTATAAATCTCTTGACTTTAGCCCAGCATCAGAGGAGGTTGTAGTGGCCTATATGGACGCGTCTGGAGTAGGTTTGGGACTCTGGTTCCCTGATGAAGACTTCACGTGTCAATGTTCATTGCCGGATGATAGTCCCAAGGACACCATTTTCTTTGCAGAAGCCTTAGCAGTGTGTTCGGCTGTTCACGCAATTGAAACTATGCCCAAGGCACCACAACGCATGCTCATTTATACGGACAACACCAACGTCGTGTCCATGTTCAACTCCCTGCGCGCTCATCCTCCATATAACACGATCCTGATGTCAGCAATGGATGTACTTCTGACACACAATGTCGATTTACGAGTGGAACACGTCAGTGGGATTGACAACAATGTCGCTGACGCTTTATCACATTTCCAGAACGAATGTGTATACAAATTCGCGCCAAATGTGCAAATTTACGACTTTGAACCCCCTCGAAACGCGCTGGGGGGAGTGGCAAAATGATCCCACTATCCGCAGGGTCCAGGCAACCCTTAAGGGTTGCCTGGACAGAGGAGCGTTTGTTCCTTGAATGCTCAATCGCTCTCGGACTAGCCCTCGAACCTTCCACATCAGCTGCTTACGATTCACATCTCAATTCCTTCATCAACTTCTGCCAATTACACCATCGCCTCATTAATCCTACACCAGACACTTTATCTTATTACGTGGTGTGGCTTTCACACCATATAGAACCTCGCTCAGTCGACACATATCTATCAGGGATCGCAAACAAACTCGAATTCATGTTTCCTGAGGTGCGTGCGGCTCGACGTTCACCTCTCGTCATGTGTACTCTGCAGGGATGCAAACGGCGACTATCGAAACCAATACGTCAGAAAGTTCCCATTGGGGAACACGACATCACTCGTATCATTGAGGCAGTTGGGTTCCTACCTGACTATGATAACACCCTGTTCATCGCTATGCTAATTACTGGGTTTAAAAGTTTGCAACGTTTGGGCGAGTTAGCTTGGCCGGACTCCATGAAACTGCAGAGCTACAGGAAGGTGTCATTGCGGCACACGCTGACGTGGACTGCAGACACCATCTCTTACGTCTTACCCTACCAGAAGAACAATAGTCTGGGGACGGGTTACAAGATCTTGCTCTGCAGATCACAAGAACCTCATGTGGACCCAGTGGAACACGTCCAGCGGTACCTTACTGCGCGGGATTGCAAACATTTGCACCACCCAGCTTTGTGGGTAATGAGCGCAGGTGCCGTGCCTACTTGTGGGTGGTTCTTGAAAAAGCTGCACGTCTTCGGTAGCCAGGAATTTAGCGGTCATTCATTGAGAGCAGGTGCAACAGCCCTTGCGACCGCTGGAATGTCTGGAGACCTTATTCGTGTGGCTGGATGGTGGTCATCGGACGAGTTTAACAAATACATTTGTCAGCATCCGTTCTTATTGCACGCACTCATGCATGGCACAGCTCACGCGCCTTAAACCCACATCACAAGTCTCTTCTCTTCGGCATCGGTCATCATTCATCAGTCATGGTCTTCATCTGCTTCACTCCAATCGCATTGGCTTCGCTCAAATCGACTTCTACCAAAATAAAAAATAGCCCTTTAGGATCCAGGTCGAGCCCGACTCACCATCTGTCTCTCCGAGTCTCTCGAACCTCCGCTTCTCCGTCCGTCTCTCTTAAGCCTCTATTCTCGAAGTCCTTGACTGTAACTGTCTGTACTTGTATTCCGTGACTTGACTCCAATATAAAACATGACCGAGACCCCCGAGCATGGAGCTGGGGGACTCTGTGTGCCCTAAAACATGAGACCTTTCTTAAGTGTAGATTGATTCAACCATATTGCATCCGCGATGGAAGACCCTTCCAAGGAAGCGTGACCTATTGTTAGCGTATTGAAAGGGAAGTGACCTATTCGTAGCGTATTGGAAGGGAAGTGACCTTATTTTGGTAACTTGCTAGGGAAATGACTTTATTTTCTGAATCTTGCAAGGGTTTCTAAAGCGGCTCACATTAGGGGAGCTCAAAGTTCAAGTTGTGCCCAAGCCCAAAGTCTCAGAAAGTCTCAGTACAGTTATCAATCAGTATTTGAGACGCGAAATTGAAAAATGAGGTACCATACTTTTACAACACCTTATAAAAACCCTGTTATATTTTTCCTAACAAGTAGTATATATCAAAATTGCATATCTCAAGTTTCAGAAAAAAATATGCCACCATTCGTGTATGTCATTCAAAACGGTGAGGGGACCTCTTTTTTGCCCATTAGCACTCCGTGAGACACGTGACTCATTAGCTAATCTTTGCTTATCAAACATTAGCAAAATCGTTATCAGTTGCACACTCTGTCTCACCAGCAGTCTCCTCGCATCAATATCGAGTCCATTGATAGTGTTAATGGTCCAGTCTGGACCAAGTTCATCCCCACAATATTATCATGCCAACTGACAAGTTTCAGATGGTAATGTGTCTCAATATTCTGCAATTGATACTAATACTGATACAGCAGTGCATGTACAAAGATTCTCGACTGCTGCTGCCGACCTGCCGGCTGCCTCGACGTGTTGGGTCTATGAGGGTGAGTGTCCATTAACTAGTCTTCATCACTGGCATCTGAAATGCCATCAAGATCAAAGCTTTCCCCGCCGCTAGATGCTGCATCCTCCTCGCATGCCACATTCAGTGCTTGCCTTGGAATAGGGCCACGCAACTTTCCCAAGACTGGTTTTGCCTCGCTGAATTTCCGCCCCTCTGCCTTTGCCCTCAACTTATCCTTGTTCCACTTCTCCAAAGCAGTGTGGTACTGTGCTCGTCGGTCCTTGTTCTCCGTCTTGCGCTCATCTTCAAGACGTTTCCACACTGCCAGTCCTTCAGCCCTCTTCTCGCTGTAGAGACTCGTGCCTCTCATTGTGTGATATGGCAGTTTTCACTAGGGAGTACATGGCATGAACTTGTAGCATCACTCTGCATGCTATCCGCAGCTATTCCTATATGAGGCGCAGCTTTCCCGCGCAACACACAACATGCGCGCACATTCCCGTGCTTCATGATGTATATGCGCGTGCGCGCTTTCCCACGCTTGAGCACCCTATAGTGCTGTCTTCTTAGATAGTTGATCTATAGATGAACACCTATAAAACCAAATATCTCCACAGTCAGCGATTCAGACAAATACCAATGACTGATAATGTGGTCGTTCATGGGTGGCTTGCCTTGCTCCAAAGATACAGTCAGTAGAATATGGCTCGCACAAAAAGTCAGTAGTCAGCGATCAGCAGTCAACAGTCAATCCAACAATATGGATATGAAACACAGCGATGAGAGAAAAACACAGAACTCGGTCAGTCAGCGATCGACAACAACAACAACAATCACAACAACACAGACAACAACAAAACAAATCAGGAAACACAGTCACTCTAACAATATAGAGATGACACAAAGCAAACAGACACTCTTCCTAACACTTCACACAGCAACAAGGATTCGTACACAAACTTAGTGCAGCAAGTTGTGCGGAGTTACAATGAGAGTCCCCCTCAATACAAAAACAGGTGAAACTACTGTCAGGCCTAGTCAAGCCTCTGTAGCACTCTTAGCCTAATATTGAACCTGCTGCCAAGGGACTCACAATGAGTATTAAACAGACTCAGGAACGGGCGACCTTGGATTTCAATACCAAGTCCCCTTTTCAATAGCTAAAGTCTAACTCGCAATGACTACCCTCGATCGGTATGACACACAGATGTAAGAGGTCAGGTATCACCGTCAACACCTAAAGTCTCCCCACTAGACTACCAGAGTCTTCTGTGGACAAAAGAGACAACACCAAACTTCTGGGTAAGAATGAGACTAAAACTTTGGTACTTGAGAGAAAGTTGATAGGTTGAGACCACAACAAAACAAGACTGCTACAACAGAAATGCGAACACGATCACGGTCACGGAGACTGTTAGCAACAACGATCACAAAGCAAACAGACAGCGATCAGAGAGATGGTCAGTATAGACAGTCACCAACACACCACACACACTTGAGACAGAGAGAGAGAAAGAGAAAAAGAAACAGAAACACGAGTTTCAGTCACGAATCTCAGACACAATCTCAGAGAAAACAGAGAGAAAAACAAACACACAGACACTCAGAAAAACAGACACAGAGACAGAGACAAATCACAGAGAAAATCACAGACAGAGACACAGACCAAGACACAAAAAGAAATAGAGAAATTCAGACAGACAATCAGGAGAAAACAGAAAAAGAAAAATTAGTCTTGCTAGTCGTCAGACACAGTGAGCTCAAGGTATGTGCTAGATGTTCAGCACAATGAGCTCGAAAGTGTGGTGCTGGTTGTTGAGCACAGTGAGCTCCAACCTTGAACTGCACTTGCTGGTTGCTGATTCACACTTCACTCACAATTTTATTCTGAGAGTCAAAAACAGTGGGGAACTTCTTTTTTTATTGGGCAAAAAGCTGGTCCTTATATAGACAAATTTGGTGGCTATACTACTAGTTTCTCATACTTAAAGTTGTAACTTTAGTTCGATAGCACCAAGTCACACGGTATCTTTGAGTCAAAAGTAAATATTCATAACTCTAGTTGGTATAATGATGAGTCAGCAAGAGCTGCGTATGGCTCATGGGTCAGGTGACCCTTGATGACTCAGCTAGACAAGAGTGAGAAATGATTACATATTGTGTACATATGTTTATAAAATCTGTGGCTGATGAATTGACTGGTAACATAATGACATAGGACGCGTGTTTAGTGATTTGTAAGCTTTCCCACAGGGTAACCTTACGCAAACATATTTTTCACAGTCACCTGATATGTGTGAGAATCTGTCTGAGTCACCCTCATGGCTGACTAAGCAAAACTCATCGCAGGAATAAATGTACAAAAATATTCAATCCGCTCGCGTACAAACTCGTAAAAGTGAAAAAAAAGCGAAAAATATTCCCTTAGCCTCAGTCTGACTTCAGGTCACAGGGAAAATGATTTCATAGTGATTCTAGGGCATAGGGGCTCATAGGAGAGTATCGGTCATCCATGCACCGAACCAGTTTGGTGCAGGTCAGCGCCAGCCATCCGGAAGCATCCATCCACTGTCCACCAAGCTCTCTAGTGCGTATCTTTCCATTTCTCTTATTTGCATATCATTCCACCTTTATTTTTATCATGGACCCTTACTTACATATATCTTTACATACCTTACTCGGTAGCGCTTTGGCTCCGCATGACAGCGCTTAGGCACGATATATAAGCGCCAGTAGTACATACCAGAAAGTAGGGGAGCAGCCCCCATGTTCACACAACACAACTCAGCTTAGTTGGAATCTCTCCCTAGAAAGTAGCACTTACATCTCATATCTCTATAAATGCGCGCGCACTTTCCCGCGCTTCGCATCAGCCAACCAGTAGCGCCTTCAGCACCTACTACTAGATCTTTGCTGCACTCGCTTCCCCTTTAGGGTCGAACACACTTGTCATGTCAAGTATAGCAGACTAGGCAACGCACGACCTTACAACATTTATAGATACAGTCAGGAGCCTCGTTTGTGCCTCGCTGTATCGTTGAACCTTCATCGCATTCATCTTTCCTCGTCTTCTTCTCGGCAACGCTGTAGAGACTTGTGCCTCTCAATGCCGGACATACGGCCCTATGAACCACATATTCCTTACATATTCCAGCTCTTATCCGAAGGATCAGTCATACGCGCTCCTGCGTGCGCGCCCTACGTATGCGCCTCGTTCGTGCGCCTTATATGCACTTGCGCGCTTCCGCGTGTGTCCATGCGCCTCCCCTTAGGTCTTCTTGCGCCTACCCGTCCGTCCGTCCATCCTATGTCCTCACTGATTTACTGGTGCGTTATTCTTATCTCTTTCACTGAATTGACATGCACTCGGTCCGATCCCCGCGCTTACATACAGAAAGTCTATCTTAGACTTTAGATTATATTTAGAGTTGATATGGTTACTCGGTTCGGTACCGCGCTCGGAAGCGCCGCATAGCGCTATCTCCCTTCTTAAATAGAGGGAAGTTCTTTTTACTTCGGTTACTACTTTTCCCCCCATTTATCTCAGTATACTGCAAGTTGTATAGTGCACCTTAGTACTTGAAATCAGATTATACTTCTCCATCTGCTACAGCTCGCGCCTCTACTATACTTGAAACCACATCCCTTATCACTCATAAGTGCGCTTCCACATACGCGCGCGCCCCTCGCATCTCGCACGCCCTTGCATCGCTCACGCGCGCCTTCGTGCGCATTATCTTCTCGCGCCTACCAGCACCCATCTAGTTGACAGAGTTTCCCTCCACCTTATTCACGAGGAACTTCTCTCAGTAGCTGTCCTTTGGGTCAAGTTGTATTCTCATATCCAGGTCTTGCTGTAGAGCCCCCTTCTTTTAGTGTTTTCACCCACAGTAAAGATTCCTCACCTTCAACGCGCTTTTTCTGCTCACATTCAAATTCAACAACTTTCTCGTAGAACTCATCGCCGGAAAGGAAACACGGCAAACCATTGCCCATCAACTTTCCTTTCTCCTTCCCTTTTTGCTTTTTTGCTTCCTTATTTGCGAGCTGTCCACAAAGGACCTTGCAATACCTCTCATTCAGGATATTTGTGGCCTGAAGCTCAAGGACGTGGCACTTTAGCGTGACATTGGTGGCTTCTGTTTCGCGGAGCAGTGCAAGCAGTAAAATCTTGTTCGAGGTCTTTGGTTCGATGGAAAAAGGGGATTTCTGTTTGATGGGGGAGATAAGGTGGGTAGTATTGTGTTCCAGTTGTGTCTCCGAAGTCAAGGGGACTGATGAGATGAGTCCTGACAATGAGGTTTCTTGTAGTTTTTCAATCAAGGACTCGAGCTCAGATTGCATGGTTGTCATGGGTTGTCGAATATGTGTTGCTGCAGCTTCAGTGTTGTCGCCATCATCTCCGTGGTTGTTGTGTTTTGTTGACAGCTTCCTGAGAAGGTCTGCAACAATTCTCACAGGTGTTGATGGCGTGATAGGAAGCTGACCCTCGCATGATGTTTCCTTACTAGGGGCCATCATCTCATTAGTGATGACACCTCGGTTGAATGGCGAGATACCAGTCTTCCAAAATGCAGTGCGAATAAGGTCTGGCGTGTAGGGATCTGCACGGGTACGGGTAACCCGCGCGGGTCACGGGTATGGGTACTACTGGGGTACGGGTACGGGTCGGGATTCTAAGACCCGCGCTCTTACCCGTACCCCAGCTATACCCGTGCCTTCCATAAATGGTAGCACCTCCTGCATCAGTAATAGCGGACGCCATACTTCCCGCGTGCACGCTACAACCGGCACCACCACCAACACCGGCACCTAACGCGCCTTCCCAAGTCCACCAACTCCACGTTCACAGCGCGCGCGCCCGAAACACGTCAACAAGTGTTGACGCGATGCAAACACACGCGGACGACACGCGAAGACGAAAGGACAAGAGAATCGAGGAAGGGAGAAGGGATGGTATAGAGATGAAGGAGGAAAGAGGAACTCGAGGAGACGAGACTTTGGGCACGCTGAAAGTGAGTACTCACATTGAAGACTCTACCCCCAGCAACAACGACGACGTCATATGTGTCACGTCGCCAGCGCCTATCTTTGTGCGCCCAGCACTCGCACCACCACCAGCTTTCACGCCAATGCCACCATCCACGACGCCAATGCCACCATCTACGACGCCGACGCCACCATCCTCGACGCCAATGCCACCATCCACGACACCAACGCCACCATCCACGACACCAACACCACCATCCCATCTACGACGCCAACACCTACGCGACACACTGACTCGCCAGCATCAAGCGTACACGCTCAGACCACGCCAGCGAATGCTGGCGTGGCTCGAATGCACACGGAAGACACCAGGACGAAGAGAGAAGGAAAAGAGGAGGAACGAGAGGAGGAAGGAATGATCTTGTCAGTAAGTCGCCGTCCTGACTCTGCCCCCATTTTCTGCAATGAGGACGCGACGCCTGACACATCACACTCTCGCGCCACCACACCACCATCTCCCATTTCGACACGCTCACCTTCGACTTTGATCGTATGCGACACACCACCTGCCGCGACATCAGCGTCTATTTCGACGCGTCCGTCATTCGCGCCGTGCCTCCACTCCTCCTTCTTGTGCCATCCACATATGTTCGAGTCACGTCAGCATTCGCTGACGTGTGCTGGACATATGTGCTAAGCACTGGTGGTGATACCTATGGTACCCGCGGGTAAACCCTGCACGGGTGTGGGTACGGGTCTGAGCTTGTTGTACCCGCCGAAAACCCGTACCCGTCAGAGCGGGTACGGGTTTTTGCCGGGTGCGGGTGCGGGTCAGGTCCCCGACACCCCAGGGTATACCCGTGCGGATCCCTACTGGCGTGAGTGCATGAAGGTGAGCCTGTCCGTAAATTGACAAGAAGTTACTTTTCGTAACACCTTCTCCTTTTGTTCTCTCCCACTTATCTCTTTCCTCACTCCAGTGTCTCTTCAAGACTGCGAAAACAACCACATCTAAACCTTGATAGACATGTGTTGCATGCGCAGGATAGCATATCATGTGGATGCGATGGGCACGTGCATATTGGAGGAATCCTCTGGTATAATGCGAATTGTGTTCGTCGACAATGAGGAGCCGATCGCGACCATCTGCCTTGTCCTTGGTGCATGTACCGAAGTCTTGGATCCATGCTACACCAATCTCACCATCAGTCCAGCCTTTCTTCGAATATCCAAGGCTATTATCCATTGTCAGGTACAGCTTATTCATTCATATTGACAAGGACTACTCATGAGGCATGCGCAGGATTGTCTTGCTTCCATTTGACTTGGTAAGCATTGCCTTTGAAGATGACTGCGGGAGAACTCGATGTTCCGTCGGCACATATTGTGACGATAACGGTCACATTTTCCTTGCTTCCAGTTCTCTGCTGATACTGTGGCCCAGGTTTACGGCTCCCAATGACTCGTTCACCCTCGCCTGATTGTGGCGAGATCCCGATCTCGTCAACTGCATGTATGCAATCCTCGGCAATGTCATATTGGTCCAAAACACCCTCTAGGAGATCAAACCATGCCTTGTTTGTGTTCTCATTGACTGCACGACCACGTTTTGAGTCCAGCAGAGCTGACCATGATGTTTTCAAGTGTTTGGAATGCTTTTCAACGAAGCGGTGTGTCCAACACTTTCCAACCCCAGGAAAGTCATTACCGAGGCGAGCATGGCAGATTTCATCAACATGTTCTTGAAGTTGTCGGTGACTAAGTGGAAATCCTCAATTACCTATCTCTTCTATGTATGCAAGTACTTGCTTGGTCTCTTCTTTGGAGAGCCATGACTTTGCAGCATTCATCTCTGCTAGTGACCTCTTGCCAGCTGTGAGACATGCAAGTGTGGCATGAGACAGCTTGATGTAGTTGCCTGTTGCCTCGAAATTCATTCATTCGAAGTCTTTGGCAATAGTCCATAATCCACGATGTTTTATACCCAGCTTTTTTGCCAACTCAGCACGGTATGCAGAGACTGCTTTGGACATGAGATCATCATGAGCCTCACAAGCATCTTGTTGTTTTTTTGTGGCTGATTTTGCTCGACCAGGCATTATAGTAGAGTGGCAAGAGGTTTTGCAGACTGTGTAGTTACTGTCGAGCAGAAGACACACATGAACTGTGTCTTGGCACTCCGAACAGTGGTGGAATTTGAAGTAGCTTACACCACCTACTAGATCTACAATGCTGGGAACCTGCTGTGGATATATGTCAATAATACTTGTGAATGTGTATACAGCAGGCCTTCGATGTTCTGGGGCAAGCATAATTAAGTCGAACGAGTTAGGGCTTGAGTGAGATTGTGCTGCAGAACCAGACTCAACTTTAGCCAAACAGCAGCCACACTTGCCAACACACTCATTAGGAAAGACTCGAAATCTTGGGAGCCCTGGTGACAGCTACATAGTGCTATATAGCCGCTGTAGTGAAATGTAGCCAAGCAGGCCACTATATAGTTCTACATCAGCTATGTAGCTGACAGTCAGGCTATATAAAGCTACAGGAGGCACTTCGAGTCGAACTAGTAAATACTCGATCCTGTAGCACACACTTGTATTACATAGTACTATATAGCTTGTAGTAGTAGTATCAATTTTAATCAACCGTAGTGGCCGCACAAAACGTATCAAGGTCAATATAGGAATTTAAGTAGAAATCACTCGCCAACTCATAGGCATTTGCACTCGTCCACCCGCGGTCAACAGACCGTCCCATCTTTGGAATCAGATGACATGGATGAACGATTTCATCAACATGTATGATAGCTGCATTTCGTTGCAGTTGACGAGTCGAACACAACACCTGACGCAGGCCAGAAGAGGGGTCTGGCTCTCTGAGTGGAGTGAACCATTCAATGTAAGCCAGAGTTCGGGAGTAAGTCCTGAACTGACGAGGTAACGTGAATATGATACGAACTTGAGCCACTCGCAAGTCCACAGTATCAAGGTAAGACCTTGAACTTGGAAGAGTAACAAAGTTACTTACTATCTAATGTGCGCAAACTCGATGTCCGAATACCATCACTTATCAAAGCCATATCAAACTGAGCCGGAGCTCCAGGTTTCCGACCAGGACCGGGGCGCACTTCAGGTGTCGCTCGAATGTGCCACCGCTTTTGAGAATCGTTGACCTGCGGATTAGACGGAGCAACAATAACAACTTGATGAAAAATGTCAAAATGGTCTTGTGGACCAGGGACAATTTTGTTGTGCGGGATGTACTTTTGTAGGAAGGATTTGAATGCCTGGAGAAACATGGTTGTGCCATGCGCAGTGACAAGGTGCTGAATGGACTGCCAAGGGTGTGCAGGTTTCTTCGCAAGAGAATGGACCATTGGTGCCATATTGGCAGGGACAGCGCTGCATGGCTGGGTTTGCGAGTCCTCAATCTCAGAGTCGGAGTCAGACTCATATCCACATTCATCATCAACATGACTAGTCACTGTGGGCGACCGAGAGCGTTGTAACAGCCAATCAAGGTAGGAAGAGTGTAGAAGTACGGTGAAGGTACAACAATTCAGAGAGTGAGTCTGAACAATGTTGGGTCTTGCAGAACCTAGCTGCTATTCGACCCTAAAGGGTTTCTGGACCAGGCTCAAGGCTCAGAGGAGAGGAAATATCATGAAAAACTGCTTAGTACTCTGACTCCTACTGGTAACTGGTGAAAAGATAACTTCCTTATGTAAGCTACAAAAGTGCCAACATAAGGTAAGGTAAAAACAGTCTCTACCAGCCCAGCCAGAAATAAATCCCTACAATGGCTTCTTGGCACTGAAGCCATTGAGCCATCTGTTCCTCGTAGTCGCGCTTGTTACTGGCACGGTAAGCTTCCTTCGTGAAGTCAATATGAAGTCGTTCTGGAAGTTCTGTATTGAATCCATTGGTGGTACCAAACAATAAAATTGACTGAACGTAATGTGAAAGTTGATGTAACTTTGGGATATTGAAGTGCTCACGAATTTGAAGTTCTAGAAAAATATTCTTGTTGGCGTGAAATACTGAAAGGGCGTTCTTCAGACAGTCAAGGGATTCGGTTGTGTGAATTCAAAGCTGCGCATAATACGAAAAGTCTAGAATAGCGTGTGCAACCACTAATACTTGACTGGTAAATGATGGTATCAGTACAGGACTTCGTTACACAATGTGACCGTACCTTGGGACAGCACCAGCCAGTATCCCGAGGAAAACATGCTGCATTTCTTTGTGTTCAGTGCCTGTCCATTGTTTCACCGTTGAGATTCCTTTTTTGAAGTGCCGAAGACCAGGATAATTCGGTATTGCTTTGAAGTGTGCGTCCAATTCGTCTTCGCCAATGATATGAAGACACCATTTGACCAAATGGTCCTTGAAGATGCCTTTGTGGAGTTGATGTAGGAGGTCGGGCGTAAAGGTGAGGAAGATGTCAGTGTGTGGGAGATCCGCCCAAAAAGGATTGTAGACGGTGCGTAGTCCATAGTCCTCAAACTCAGCCAGATGTTGACCATTTTTCCACTTCTCCAATACCTCTTTAATCAACTGAGGGTCACGCATCGGCGAACTCAGTGGATCGCCTCTTTCATCCCCTGCGACCAGACATTTTGGACACCGGTTCTCCTTGCAGCATGCCACGAGGCATTGTTCTGGAAAGTCCGCTACATAAGTGGCAAGAATTGGATATACTCGACGGATCAACGAGTCTGCACAAGTCATCTCAACGCTGTTTCGACCCACAGAAATGAGAGGCTGGAGGAGGAGGGACATGCAATGGTGAAAAAGTCGATAACCAGCAAGAGAGCGTGCATCAGATGTAAAGCAATCAAGCTTTCCTGCAGGCAAGTACCCAATCAAAACTGTTGCTTGTGCTGACACTTGCCGCCTTTTTCTTTCGTGATGTTGCCGATGGAAAGGTATACAGGCCATGCTGATTTATCACCCTGGAACTGCAACAGACATGTCTTGTCTGTCGCAAGAATGATGGGCGCTATGGTCGCTCCTTTTGGCAACTCTTTCTGGACATCGAAGGTCAGTACTTGATTTTTTGGCTTGATGTTTTGGACTGGGTACTTACTTGCTTGTTCCCCCACCAGTCTGCAGTCCACATATCATCGATTACCCAGTGAAGTCCTGCGGGGTCTGTGTATGCTCGTGCAGGTGCGTATACCATATGGTCCTTGAACAAAGGATTTCCGATTAAATCTTTGATACATTCGACAGGATTGCGCATCCAAAGCTCAATGTCCTCGCGCATTGGCTGGCCTGTCTCATCTGTTCGATTTCCCTGAACGCCAACCTTCTTGCAGCTCCATGCAGCTCCGTGTGGCAGCTCATCAACCTTCTGAAGGAACGAACGATTGTTGTGGAATGATGGTTGTGTTCGATTTTTTGTCTATTACTATGGTCAGTGCCAATTTCTCTGAAGTCAACACCAGGCTCACTATTGGTAACTTCAGAAACTCTTCCGTTTGAGTCTGCCCGAGGCTTTTAATAATCCATTCAGCAAGTTTCCATTCCTCCCTGGCAACTAAAGTCAATTATTTTTCAGACATGATAAATATAACTCGACTCATACGCATCACAAAAGGGAGCCCACTCATTTTCACCTTCACCCTCCTTATATTTCTGATACTTTTCAAAAATAGTTTGACCCTCCCGCGATGTCCAGCCGGCATCAGGACATGGCTCAAAATATCGCCCTACCTTGTCCTCCTCTTCGTCGGCAGCATCTTCAATCGTCACCCGCCTATTTTTTGATGCTGTTGGGTTGTCCTCATCAGGATTGAAAGAATTGGAGCGTGAGCGCCGAAGCGGGGAAAATGAATTGTCATAAGAGAAGTCTCCTGGTAAGCCACCTTCATTGTCTGTGGTATCTTCAACCAGCTTCTCCCATTTTCTTCTACATTCAGCGTGGATAGCCATATGCTTTGCGACACCTCCCCTTCCCCCAAACTCTTTGCTGCAGAATCCACAGCAGTGATGCATTGTTGGGTGGGTTATTCAAGGGTGTTCTGGATGTTTGGTGAGTGATTCAAGGGTGTTCTGGCTCGGTTTTGAAACTCACTCACAGCACTGGTTACTACCGGCTGCTCTTTATTTTTAGGTCTGTTCGGGTTAGAGTTAACCGCAGTGCTGGTTACTACCGGACACCCTTGGTAATCGCTGGTGAGTACTACCAGACACACCCTCACAAAGTGCAAAAGTGAAACTAATTGCCTCCACACAGAGTCCAGATGAGACACACCCTCACAAAGTGCAAAAGTGAAGGTAATTACCTCCAGAGTCCAGACAAGATGTGCTCACTAATTACGTGCACTTTATTTTTCAGGTCCTGGCGCTCTTTATTTTTCAGGTCCTGTCACTGACACTGGTTACTACCGGCCCTTGGTAACATCGCTGGTGAGTACTACCAGACGCCCTCACAAAGTGCAAAAGTGAAACTAACATTTCACTAATACAGGATGCAACATCAGGGTAACGAATCAGCTGCCGGTGATGGCCATCACACCATACCACGACCGATGCCTGCAGAATTTCGTAAGCTAGTATCTGGTCCCCAAGAAAACATCATCCGTGCAATGGATGTAAGTGTTTTAGGTTCAGGTCTAAACTTTAAACATAACACCACTACACTAGTTTGGAGATACCATGCGCTGCAAGAAGCAATTCTAACAGTTGCGCCCGCTTTGCCTCTTCACAACGCTTCAGTTCGGCATCCCAGCGGTCAGTGACAAGTCTTCGCAGGCTTGCCTGTATAAGGGTGAGAGCTGGTCCTGGGCCTGATGCTATTTCTAACTGTTGCAATTTTTTGGCTTTCTCGCAGGCCTTCACCTCTGCCTCCCAATGCTCCAAAACGAGTCTCCGCAAGTATGACTGAGAAACCAGGATAGGACCTGGTGTTTGACGAAACGGAGGGAGCGGGATCATGGGCTCTGCATCAGGCGCTTCAAGCTTCAGCCTACAAGCTAGTGAGTATTTTGGGGTGATGAGGAGGGGTAACTCAATTCACCTTTTGACTCCAATTTTCTCGTCTTTGTGGGTAGCCTTAGCGGATGGTGACATTGAGCTGTAGTATTTGTCAGAGCATGGTGAGAATTTGACTTGTGCTCCGTACCGTTTTCTGGCTGACTTGGGAGTATCCATGGCAGTAAAAATATATTGTGACGGTGTCATATCCCGTGTTCCGGGTCTGGACCTATCACACTCATCATTTCCGGATTTCCGGATCCAGCCGACTTCTATGTATCGTTCGGATCCGACCCACATCTAACTTCCGTGCCTTATCCCTTTGGTATTTCCCTTATCAGTTAGTACACTTTATTTTCCGTCCCTTATTCATTTCCGTCTTCATTTTACTAAGTTCCGATAGACTAGTGATAGTCGTCCCATATGTTTTCTCCATAGCTTTACATAGCCTCACACTGCACTTACTGTTCTCCGTTATGTCCTCAGTAGTATATAAACCCTGTACAGTCTCTGTAGTTTCCTCAGTTCGAAGATCATCTTAGACTCTGCTCATTCTCTCCTCCGTCCGACTTGAGTTTCTCTCTCGTCGACCTCCGCTCGTCTTAGGATTGATTCCTATAGACTTGTCACCTCCGCCTCTACCTCTGGTAGTCCTCCGCTGTTTTCTTTCTAGTTCGGACTTCGTCCGGATTAGTCTTATCTCTTATTCCCGAACGTCCACCGGAATTCTTGCGCATCGGACATCGGACTCCGGACATCGCCCGACGCCCTCCGGACATCGTCTGGTAACCTTCGGACATCGTTCGACAGCCCTCGGAAGTTAGGGGCACGTACTCAGGTAAGGGGCGCAGCGCACGAGCTGAAGCCAAGCCCTTCGGATCCGACCCTTTGAGCACGTTCTTAACAGACGGTACGTTCATACTTTTTATACTTCTTGGTCTAACACAGCATTTAGCCCTGCATTCTGCAAAATCAACAAGCCCTGGAATCAACAATGAAACAAGGTTTAAATTGTGAGTGTTTGCATCCTGCACGGCACTATAAAATCAGCTGAATACCATTCACACCTTGTGTTCCGAGGACCAATGATCATGCCTTCTTATAAGGCCTCTAAGCAACTGAAACGAAGTGCTGCGTCACCACCGCATGAATTGCAGACGCTTCCATGCACAACAAGTGGTCGACAACGATGACCAACCGAAAAAGAAACCTATCGAGGTAAGTCATTACTACAACGACATGTTTCACTCACTCACAACACAACCTCACTCTACAGTATCTGAATCACAACATATCATTTATCGACAAGTGGGCAAGGAAAAAAAGATGGAAAATCGGAAAAAAACAAGTGCTGAAGACCGCCTATCAAGAGAATCCCAAAGTCTTTGATATGGAGCCTGTGGAGCTGCATAGCGACGCAGATGGGGAAGAAGATGCTATGGTTTGATTGCTTTTTTTTTGACTAGAACGATGGCTAATTATTTTGTTTTTGTAAGTTCTCAGATCACAGCGTGCAGACAAAGCTGTCGAAGGTCCTGACATTCAATGCAGGGAAGATTCCAATGGCATCACACACCATCAGCGGCAGTGCACGCAGGCCGACTACTACTCACCAGGACACAGAGGCTCAAAAAGGTACGTACTAGTAACTGCTTTGTTGACTATAGCGAAAATAACAACTTCTATATATGTAACTCTAGCGGATGGTACTAGCGACGACTCTGGTGATGACAATGACGACTTGGCATCAACAGGTTATTCTCCTCTCAAGGCTGGGACTGACCACACCGATGACGAGGATAATGATGCCATTGCAGAACTATTGCCTGCTACTCGGAGGACCAAATGACCGCTCGACACTGTATCAGAAGAAGCCACGGTAGTGCCAAAGATGAAGAAATCTTCGGACGGTTCACGTCAACGCACGAAAGCGGGTGATTTCGACGAAATCTCAAAGGAGATCCTGGTAACTGCAACATCTATTTTCCGGTGCCTAATTGTCACGCAGGCGCCATTTCCCGATGGTGTTGCTGTTGAGATGAGGTTAGCAAAAGAGGCCTGGCGCGACGCATGCGAAATCAAAGGTGCCAACGTCAAAATAACACCTCCGCTGGTCAAAATTGTAAGTCCTCCATTCTTAGTACATGGCTGGTCTGATTTATATTATATATATGAAGCTCTTGCGGCACACATCACATGTGCGCGGTGAACTCAAAATGAAGATGCGCTCACTTACGAGCTCGTTTTTTGGGTTCCAGTCAGGTTCTTTGAGGGACGTGATAGGGCATAACCGAGACCTGGTGGAATCTTTGAAAAATGGTTCAGCATTTGCCTTCAAGGTACGTAGTACAGTGGCCTGCATGAGCTTTTGAGTCCTGACTGTTGGATAATAGGACTGGACATCGAAGACAGGACTTTACAAATCCGAGCTACTGCAAGACGGTATCAACATTATGTGGTTTGCAAACCGAAACAACGAAGGTGTTGTCTATCCCAAGTATTTCGACCCCATACCTGTTGAGGTTGTCGCACTCGTGCTTACAGGTGTGAGTTGTATCTGTCTAATGTTGAAGTCAATGCTGGCACTGAAAATGATTATTGATAGATCGAGTGTTGTATTGATGAGTGGTTGCAAGGCTTGAAGGAAAACATTAAATTCACTTCGGCTACTTACGCATCTGTTTACCGAGGTCATTTTGAGTTGTTGCAGCGCTTCCACGAGCGTACGGCTCCTTACAAACTCCTCGAAAGACTTCACGACAGTTTGCTTCACAGGGCTCGGTACGTCGCACTATATTTTCGCAAGTGCCAACCTAACATTTGTGGTTTTAAGTTCACATGCAGGTGTCGAAGCCCTCACTCTGCTGCCGGCTGTATCCCGGATTGGTGACAGGGCTTTTGATGATGCAATTCACGAGTACCAACTTGAGGAGGAGGAGGAGGAGGAGGAGGGGTGCAGAGGGTAACAAGAGTTGAGGCTCATAGATGTGAAGAGGGCGCGGAGGATCATGGCATTAGCAGAATCTGTCGGTAGCGCTGTGTTATGCATCTGAATTCATTTTTTTCGTGCTATTTTGTGTGCTACTCTATTCCTCTATGTAGCTGCTGGTAGCTCCCTGTAGTAGGCAGTCCTACGAAATACAGGCTACTACTGTAGCGCCTGTTAGTGCTACCTGATTCTACATAGTGCTATATAGCACAATATAGTTACCTCACGTTCTATATACAAGGCAGGTAACAACAGAGCTACACAGTCTATCAGAACTATATAGTACTATATAGCCAGGTTTGTTTTTGCTGATGCTTTTCTTCACCACACACTTAATTCTCGATGTTGAACAGCTTGAATACATGTTACAGACAGCTTAAATACTTGCCAATACAGTTAGGATAGTTTTGTGTGCTATCACACTGTTGAATATTGAACACAATGGATTTTAAATTTTGAAAGAGCTAAAAATAAGACTTCGGACAGTACAAACACACGTCTCGAGCAAAATTTTGCAGATGAGGTTTGGGCAAAATTTGATGCCATGTAAGAGGCAAGGTCAATGAAGCTTATAGAGGTATTATTGAGGCCATAAAGTGAGTTGTGGACGTGCGAGATGCGTTTTGTATTATGGAGTGATAGTGTCTCACGGATCGATTGATAACTGTATATCAATAACAATAAAAAATTTAATCCAATTTTCTGCGTGTGGCATGTGCTCAAATTTGAAGTTTAATCGGGGTTTAACTCGTTTGACCTAGTTGAATCATTCAGCGACGCCGGTCAAATCCAATCTCGTGACTCAGCCTCATGGCTTACACAATTGAAGGCCCCTCTTTCGACAGGTACATATGTCTTGCTGACGAGTCTGGATTATTCCGTCGTCGCCCAGACTTGCCCTCACATAGCACCGTCTGCTTGTGCACGTCTGCACCTTTTAAGCTACCATTTAAATCTTCAATTTGATCATTCTTCATTCATGTCCACTAAAAATGCCGGTACAACGTCACAAACGCAATCTTCTAGAATGACTGCAGCTCCTGGACCATCATCTTCAGGGGATACATCCCAAACCAACGTTAATGCAAAGGCTTCACCCCAACAAGTCTTGGCAATGGCATGCTTTGCCATTATCGACGACTTTAGACGGTGTAGAAACAACAATACTGAGAGGAACAAATGAAGTTCCAAACTGTATCTGTAAATGTTGTAAGGTCGTGCGTTGCCTAGTCCGCTATACTTGAGATGACAAGTGCGTTCGACCCTAAAGGGGAAGCGAGTGCAGCAAGGATCTAGTAGTGCGCGCCGAAGGCGCTACTGGTCGGCTGATGCGAAGCGCGAGAAAGCGCGCAGGTGCACGCGAGGCGCGGGAAGCGCACGCGCGTGTGAGCGGTAATGAGTGAGAGTAAGAGTGAGTTTGCTTAAGTGGTGATTAGATACTAGACAAGAGATACGAGCGCGAGGTGTCAAAGAATAGATTTCTACTATGTTCTCCTAGGTAGTATGTGGGTCGTAAGTGGGAGGTCGAGTCTAAGTTGGAAAGTCCGTAATAGTATGTAATGCTGGCGCTTATATACGGCGCCTAAGCGCTGTCACGCGGAGCCAAAGCGCTACCGAGCAAGGTATGTAAAGCTATATGTAAGTAAGGGTCCATGATATAAATAAAGGTGGGATGATATGTAAATAAGGGAAATGGAAATACACGCACTAGAGAGCTTGGTGGACAGTGGATGGATGCTTCCGGAAGGCTGGCGCTATAGGGCGATCAAGCGCAGGAAAGCGCGCGCGCGTATACATCGTAAAGTGCGGGAAAGGTGCGCGCATGGCGCGCGTTGCACGGGAAAGCTGCGCCTCGTATAGGGATAGCTGCAGATAGCACACAGAGTGATGCTGCAAGTTTGTGCTGTGTACTCCCTAGTGAATACTGCCATATCACACCATGAGAGGCATGAGTCTCTACAACGGTCCCATATCTCCAAGGTTGACGCAAATGTTGCGCTCATTGAAACCATATCAGATGAGTTATTTGCTACACTGGGACAACGAGTTTCAGACATTGCTGGACCCTATCTCGACATGCTTAACGAAGTTGAGACAGAGCATGATCAATCCAGACACCGTGCAGCAAGAGATTCAGGACAGCGCTTGGATGAACCAGCACTCGATGTCGAAGAAGAAGAAGCCCCTTTATCAAAGGATAGGAGTAGAGCAGGATCTGTCGAGCCAGCGGAGCCTGCTCGCAAACGATCCAAACTCGACTATTCCTCCATTGAACTCGCAATTAAGAGCAGAAAGTACCAACCTCTGTCGCCCAGTCTTGAGCGAACCAACGAGATCCTCAAAAACTGGTCTCAGGACCAGAAAGAGGTTTGGCGATACCTCATGTACCATAAATATGCTCCTGAGTTCCATCAAAGCGGGTGGACCGAAATCGTTGCCGGAGAGTGTATCAACCTCGATGTCGTCCACACCATCATTACCTCTTCTCGAGCGGTTGACAAACAAACCGAAACCCTCGGAGGAGTTGAGATCAAATACAGAGTCTCAGAAGCAGCTTCAAGGAAGATTGCCACCGACTCTGATTGGTATGCAGCGTGGAATAAAGCAGCTGGCGCCATCAAATTCGCGTTCCCTCATCGAGAGGCTGAGCTCAACGGATATTTCGCATTCATCTCAAAGTACTTCTCGCAAGCTAACGCCTCAGCCCATGGAAGAGTCATTCATTTCGACAAAGCCGTCAGAAACAGAGTCGGATCATCACGCAGACTCAAACTTACCGACTTCCATGAATTCGAGGATCTCATCTTCTCGCATTTCAACTCAGACGGCAAACAACGCAATGATTCCACGGACTCCAAATCCAACATTGGAAGCTCAACCGGATCCAACACCAAGCGTGACCCTTGTCGCAAATGGAATGCAGGTGATTGCACACGCAGTGCCGCCTCATGCCAATACGCTCACATCTGCTCATTCGAGCAAGATGGACATGTCTGCGGGCAAAAACACATTAAAACAAAGCATATCAAAGACTCAAGAGCAAAATGAGTCTGAGAGTGCTTTGAAACGACCACGTCATCGTCGAGGTCTGATTTGGTCACCGTTGGATGCTACCTTCAGTCCTACCGCTCGCTCAATGGAATATGCAGACCCTGTTCCTAATGCTCCTCATGCACTCGTTAAAAGTGATGGCACTCAAACTGTTTCACGCAACCCAGAGTTGTTTAAAATTGTTTGTCCTATTGACGTCGATAAATTCCAGTCACTGCTATCCGAACATCCCAACCAACCTTTCGTCATTTCGGTTTGTCGTGCTCTATGTCAAGGCTTTTGGCCGTGGGCAGATGTTCCAGACGACGACTACCCTTCCATCAACGACAACTCAATGAGAACCTGCCGGAAGACCAGTGAACAGTTAGCCTTCATTGAGGCCCAACTGAAGGAAGAGATCCGGCAGGGATGTGTCTCCGAAAGCTTTGGACAAGAACTCTTGCCTGGAATGTACAGTGTGCCGATGCACACAGTACCTAAACCCAATTCGGATAAACTACGTCTAGTGGTGGATCACACTGCCGGCAAGTATTCCCTCAATTCAATGATTGAATCGGACTCAATCAAGGGCACTAAACTTGACGGTTTACATTCACTTGGTGCCTCCCTTCTTCAATATCGCGAGCTCCATCCTCATGACGAGCTCGTCATGTTCAAGTCAGACGTGTCACAAGCGTTCAGACGCCTACCCATGCATCCTTTCTGGCAAGTTAAACAAATTCTCACCGTGAATGGAGAACGTTACGTCGATCAGAACAATAATTTCGGTGGCAGAGGTTCGCCTAAGGTTTGGATATCGTTCATGTCGCTTGTCGCATGGATCGCGGTTCATCGGGTCCTAATCGACGCACTGAAGACTTATATGGATGACTCCTTCTCATTTGAACTTGCCTCTAGACGACTCTACTATGAACCTTACCAATGTTTCTTTCCCGCAAAGCAGACTAGGCTCCTACAATTGTGGGACGAAATCGGACTGCCACACGAACGACCAAAACAGCTGTTCGGAAGTCCTCTGACAGTGATTGGCTTCGACGTGGATCCAAACGCGATGTCTGCTACACTCCCGGAACACAAGAAGGCGACACTTGTAACGCATTTGCGTTCTTTCGCGATGAGAGGTTATAGGTGGTCTTTGCGAGAATTTCAACAACTTGCAGGATGGTGTGAGTGGAGCTTCAATGTTTTCCCGCTGCTGAAACCAGGGTTGTCTGCCGTATACGCGAAAATCTGCGGGAAAACGGACCCATTTGGACGACTTCATGTCAATAATTCCATCATCGGCGAGGTTACTTGGATGGCGGACCACATGGACCGTTCACGAGGTCTGCTTTTCTACAAGTCTCTCGACTTCAGCCCTCAATGTCAAGATGTGGCTGTGGCATACACTGACGCATCAGGGATTGGTCTAGGACTCTGGTTTCCTGACGAAGATTTCGCATGTCAATGCCCACTGCCAGAGTCCTCATCATCGGACACTATATACTTTATGGAAGCCCTGGCTGTCTGTTTGGCGATACACGCCATACAGAACATGGCAGAAGTGCCACAGCACATGCTCATCTACACCGACAATCAAAATGTTGTTGCTATGTTCAACACGTTGCGCGCTCAACCTCCCTATAATCCTATCCTTATCTCGGCAATGGATGTACTGATCAAGCATGGCGTCGATTTGAGAGTGGAATACGTCAGTGGGCAATTAAACAACGTCGCTGATGCGCTTTCACGTTTTCAGAATGAGCGTGTACTCATGTTTGCACCAAACGCGCAAATATATGATTTTGAACCCCCTCGGAATGCGCTGGGGGCGTTCAAAAAATGAACAATCTCCCTGCTACGTCCAGGCAGCCCACTCGGGAGGCCTGGACGGACGAGCGTCTCTTCCGAGAACGCACAATCGCACTTGGGTTTGCTATAGAGTCATCTACAGCAGCCGCTTATGACTCTCACCTAAATTCCTATATTACATTCTGCCAGCTTCATCATCGTCCGATCGATCCCACACCAGACACAATATCATACTACGTTGTATGGCTGTCTCACCACATAGAACCTCGTTCGGTCGACAACTATCTTTCAGGTATCGCCAATCGTCTCGAATTCATGTATCCTGATGTTCGTGCGGTCCGCCGGTCGCCTCTTGTGACTCGCACTTTGCGAGGATGTAAACGTCGTTTGTCCAAACCTGTGCGCCAGAAGTTGCCTCTAGGACTGGATGATGTGGCACATATCATTGACATCATCAGTAAGGAAGCCAATACGCCCTATGACGACATACTGTTCGTCGCAATGCTCATCACCGGCTTCAAGAGTTTGCAACGACTGGGCGAACTCACTTGGCCAGACTCTACGAAGCTACAATCTTACAAAAAAGTCTCACTGCGCCACACATTATCCTACAGTAACAACTCAGTGTCATACACACTTCCTTATCAAAAGAACAATAGCCTGGGTACCGGCTTCAAAATCCTGATTAGAGCGGAACCAATCTCACCCATTGATCCCTTGCCGCACATACGTCGTTATGTCGACGCAAGAGATACATCGTTCCTACACCATCCTGCTCTTTGGGTAACCGAGGCTGGAAATGTCCCAACGCGGTCGTGGTTCCTTCGTCGGCTACATCGTTTCTGCGGGACAGAGTTCTCAGGGCATTCTATGCGAGCTGGGGGAGCAACAGCTCTGGCAGCAGAAGGGATGGCTCCAGATCTAATTCGGGCCTCTGGACGATGGTCTTCGGACGAGTTCAACAAATACATTCGACAGCATCCTGTCATCTTGCACGCACTGATGCACGGCACAGCACACGCGCCGTAAAAGCATCTCCTCATCACATTCTCTCGCATTCTCTCAAAGTCTTGGTCTCTGGCAGTCTCATTTGTCTCACTCGGATTGTCGTTCGTCTCATTCTCACGCGCTCGCATTTGTCTCGTAGTTTCGTGGTCTTGCGGTGTGTTCTCTCCATACTGTTATTAAAAAAAAAAAAAAAAGATATTAGCCCTTTAGCGTTTCTTCTAGCTCATATCGTTTTCTCTCGAAAACTCAAAACTCACTACTTAGCTCTTCTCTTTCTCTGCGAGGCCCCAAACGTTCGCGTCCATTCGATGTACTTGTATTCAGCGACTCTAACTGCAATAAAAATGTGACCGAGTCCCCCGAGCATAGAGCTGGGGGACTCCGCTTGCCCTAAAACATCAATGAAATTTGGTACATACTTACCAAGAATGTATTATGTAAGCTTTCGAATTCTTACAATGTGGCTGTGTTCTTAGGCTGAGTAAACCAAAACGACATGAGTACGAACGTATGACCTGAGCTATAGTTGTTCAGAAGAACTCCCTTCGGACATGTCGACTCTTTTAGATTTTCCACTGGTTGCACCAATTATCACATGATTCCACGCTCACCCCAACGCTGGCCACGGTCGTTGATCAACGTTCTTAGCTGCCTCGAACGAACGACTAAATGACCGCCAGTACGGTCTCGACATATCCTTTTGAACCAACTCCCCCATGGACAACTGTAAACCCTAGGCCGTTATTACCTCAGTTTTGCACGCATTGCGGTATCGAAGAGTTGCCTCTATTACCATCGCCTCGAAACGAGCTGTTCAACGACAAATATGTTGTCAGCACCCACATCTTACCTGCTAGTTGTCCAAGACTCACTCCAAACATCCCATTGCCTGTGGTCCCTAACTTCTCGCCGAATGCCGCAGAACGGCAACGAGATATTCAGCAGCTTTTCGCTGAAATTACTGAGCGACAGGTGCGCTTCGTGAGGGGAGAGTTAGGCGGAGAAAGAATCAAGAAGCCGTTATGGAACTGCGTTAACCGATACGTCAAGAGAGTTCAAGATGAGAGGAAGGGTTTGACATTATTCTTCGCTCACGCAAATGGTTTTCCCAAGGAGGTACTCATTTATTTGACCCGATTTTCGTGCTTCAAGAACAGCTAGTGAATGTATTATAGATATGGGAAACAACTCTGCGATATTTGCTATCGTCACACACAGCTTCACTGATCGACGAGGTGTGGTCTTGGGAAGCTGTGCAGCACGGTGATGCTGCACTAATCAACGAGTCAGATCTCAGTGGTATATGTGAGACACCCCGCGCACTTCATCCAAAGGCTGAGATCATCCTTCGTTTCTAGTTGATTGGCGAGACAACGCGCGGGATATTGCACACTTTCTGTTATACTATCTACCAGAAGATGCATCTTCGAAGGTCTTACCGACGCATCTGCACCTTCTGCCGGAGACTGTCAGTGAATCCAGGGAGACTAAGGGATTTTCATCCCGCTCCCTGGTGGCTGTTGGACATTCATTCGGCGGCTACTGTTCGTATGTTGTTATCGCTAGCGTTATACCCTGATCCAATATTAATGATATTCTGCAGGATAATAGCGGCTGTCAATTTCCCCGCACTGTTTTCCTCCATCATTCTCGTAGACCCTGCAATTATTAACGATCACTGCGGCTCCTCCCAAAAACTAGATGGGCTCGTATTGTCTGCCCTTAGGAGGCGCGAACGTTGGCCATCACGGTGAGTCATGATTTCGTGTCAGTGACATCTATGTATTTAGGTAATGTCACAAGTGAGGAGGCATTGCGCTTGTTCAAGGCCTCTCCATTCTTCGGAGCTTGGCATCCTGATACCCTGCAGCTATATGTTACATATGGCTTGTGCAAGGATTCACAAGGGGGAGTGAAGCTAAAGATGTCAGCTCTACAAGAGGCTTTGGTGTTCGCAGATCGTACGGGATCACCTGAAGCATGGGAACTACTGGAAAAGGTGGACGAGCGCATAGAACTACGATGGATTGTTCCAGGGAAGCCCGAAGACAAGGGGTGCGTTGCTCAGCAGCCATAGACTCTGCTCTACTAACATTTGTTTTAGATTTATGGGCGAACAAGCAACGAGGGTGCGAGTGTGGCGAAGGCCTGCTAACTCATCTAACGTGGTGATTCACTCGGCTGGGCATCTGGTAAGCTGATGTTTTGTGTCCATGTGCAAGTCTGATTGAGGCGGCTGTCATTCAGATTGCACAGGAATCACCAGAGGAGCTTGGTAAATTATATTTTGTTTTCTACAGCAAATGTTCACATTATGATTTTTCTCTAGCCCAAGAAATATCTACTTTCCTGGAGAAAAAGTACGGGCCACGGAGTAGAGCATACTTATGATATCCTTTGCGGTGATATTTCACTTTGCCTTAGACCTGTGACCAACAGGGCATAGAATACAAGAAATACCCGAAGCAAACATAGACGATTGACATTCATTGTCGCATTTGAACCTCGCTTATGAACATAGGATAGTTTCTGGAATGACAAGGGTGGGTCATCTCTACCACGGCACTCTTTCTATCTAGCCTTCTTATTGCTGCTTGCGTGGGTATCGCTTGACTGCCACTTGTTCCAACAGGCGCGAATAGCGTAACTGTGCACTGAAAGCTATTTCAGCGCGCGTGTACTCTCGTGAGGTCTTGCAGGTTTAGCTCGACGGGGGAAAAGATCAACTGCCCCACAGGTAGTTACATAGGCATTTATATACTGTAGGGTATGGAATGGAATGGGATACGAAAGAAGGATTTAAATCAGGTGCTAGTCCAAGAGAAAGGTGACAATGAGAATATTAATGGTTGCCGTCTCCAGTAGTATTCAACGAGGTATTTCACTCGTCCCTTTAATGCTAGTTGCGATGTAATTCCAGGCCCGCACTCCAAGCCGCTTCTTTCATCTTTTCAAGCAACTCTGGGAACTTCACGGTCTCCCTCGTCCCAATTGCCAACCGAGTCACGATCAGCGTCGGCATAATTGCATCTCTGCAGCCCGCTTTTTTTTCTCATCGCCTTCTCATTACCGATATCTTATTGCCACACCTTCAACGGGACCACACTCTATAATGTGAACAGCGAGCGTGCCGCCTGGAATAAGTCAACAGCCCCGTTCATCCCGCCGACTATTTGTGCACCGGATGCAGCCGAAGTTCTCCCTTCTGACGTCTCAAACTCGTCACCGATTCTAAACGAAGGAGCGCTTTCTTGCAGCGTGGCTCTTTTCTAGCAATATTGCGACGAGCCTTCCTGCAGCCCGATCCTTGGGCTGTCCGGTACTGGGTGTGCTGGATAATCCCTTCAAGCTTACACGTACGGTTGTGATCACGCTAGATTTTGACGAGGAAATTATTGCATTGTTGTTGATATCCTTCAATCAAATATATCTTAAATATTTGAAGGGTGCGTCTTCCCCAAGATACCAAAATGACAGAGAAAATGGGTTTACCTTACTTGTCTTCATTACCACCTGTATCCAAACCTCTAGGAACAACATCACGTCTCTCTCGTCCTCTTACTCCAAACCTCAGCTCTTGAACCTCCCCTTATCGAGAGCGTGGACCAGCGGGTCCACAATGGTCTCATCCAACACAGGACGGAGGTCGCGAAGATCACAAAGCGCATTTTGGCATCCACCACAGCCGTACGGGTCTACGCATTCAGCCTAGTCATGGAGAGTACTGATAGAGGGGACGACTGGCGCATCTTCGAGGTCTAATAGTCCTACACAGCTGTGGCCGCTACTGGTGCACATGGTCGATGTGACTGCGCGCTAGTTTGTGTTATATTTCACTTTGGGTTAGGGATGGCGAGGATGAATTGGGCCGCAAAGATGTAAGGTAAAGCTCGAGGCCCCAAAGTGGGTATGTGTGTCGAACGTATCAATACGCTGAATCACTGCTTGATCTTTGATTTCACATTACGCTCCGTGGTTGATGGATAATGACGCTCAGGGAGTTGTTTTTTTGGAACTATGCGAATATGATATACGTAGTGGAGAGAATCAATAAATCAGCGATGCACCGAGTTGGACAGCCAAGAGACATCACTCACCTCATTTTCGTCCTAAACCACGTTCCATACCGCCTTTCCCCATACAGCTACTATTTCTCGTTATCTGGAATCCGGATACATCTTCCGTGTGACAACATAGGCTACAAAAACATAGATGTCATGCTGCGATTTGCAAAGGCGACATCAGCTGGCCTTCGTTGTTTCGTCGATATCGTCGATCATGTGTCGGTATGATTTTACGGCATCTTGAAGTTTACCTGCCTGAAGGAGTGCATGACACCATTTCTGGTGTGCAGTGAGCCACAAAGATTTGAGATCCCAGCCGAAGAGCGGAACAAGGGATTTGGTCATGAATAGCGTATATTAACGCACCACCACCAAACCCTCGTAAATTTCACGAATGTTCGCACTCGATGATAGATTGCTGGAGTTGAGAGCAGCAGTGAAATGATCACCGGCTTTGTCGTGGCGTGCGCCATCCAAGGCTTTGAGTCCGAGTTGAACACGCAGATATGCCTAGTGTGCAAGTTGCAAAGATCAGTGTTGATGACCAAGTGTGGATGATACTTACTTGCACGACACAACATGCCAGCGTATCATCATATATATACGCATGATTCTTGCAGATCCTAGCCATCACGACAGCCCGCGAAGCATGCATATATGGTGATTTGTCTACCGCGGAAGAGCTACTCACCCAAGATATCAACATCGATCCGAACAACCATATTTTTTACGCCCATCGCTCATTTGTTATAGCGCGAAAACACGACTGGGACCGCGCCCTTCAGGACCCAATTAAGGTGAGATTCGCTGACCCATCATCGCCCCCTTATGAATGGCTGACTCGACGGTGACATAGTCCATCAGGATTCAGCCCTCGCTAACAGGCTATATCTCCTAGGGTATTGCCCTCTGCAGAAAGGCCGCGTCCCAGATGCGAGGATAGCATTTGATGTTGCATCAATGTACACGGACCAAGATTCACAGATCCTAAGGACGGAAACATACCTTTGAGCGATGTGCGTTGGAGCGAGCTGCCGTAATGGCTGGGATCTGTAAGAACCATGATCGAAATGTGGTATGAGTCAAGGACGGATACATGCCATTGAACTGATTTTCTGAGGTATTGCCCACTCTGCGATTATTTTACCACCACCTCCGCTGAGGATATGGTTGGCACTGGTTACCATCCACGGAGAAACTGACGCATGTCAGAAAGGATGAATGGCTGAAGGTGGCAACTGTTTGTCGATCTAACGACCGCCAGAGACGGACATGGTTACCAAGAGATACAGATGCAACAAGCGTGCCAGCAGGATGGATGGCAATGGTATCGATAGTCAGAGTTGCCCGTCCAAGGATCACCGACCTGCCTCCAGGTTGTTGTATCCCATTCGCGTATGGTAAGGTCATCCTTATCGCCACCTGTGAGAAGGCGTGTACCATCGGGCGTCCATGCGAGTGACAAGTTGTATTGTGTGTGAGCCTTGAGGGATGCGACGCATTCCCTCGTGCCTAAATTGTAGATTTCTATACCACCATATATTACGATGGCAAGAAGCTCTCCAGACGGTGAATCGGCCGTGTGCAGTGGACATTAGTACCACACTTTATTGGATTTTCTTGCTGCCAGGTTTTGGTATTCCACATTTTCATCATTCCGTCAAGTAAACTTCCGGTGGCCAGCGTTGTTCCATCGGGAAAAAAATCCAGCGAGGATATCCGATCGGAGTATGCTTTGATTTTGGTGAGCGATTTGCCAGTTTCTCCGTGCCAGATGATGAGCTTTGCACTTGCTATCAATTGCCCATCTCGTGAGTCGTGATACAGCCAATGCCTCCACCGCCTTGCGATGCCCCTTCGTCTTCTTCAACACAACACCTCTCCTCAAGTCCCATAACCGAAGCGTCTTGTTCCATGAGCTCGTAACCATCCATTGTTTATTGGAGAACACTGCAACTGCCGTTACACATTTTTATGGCCTTTGAACTCTCGCAAGGGTGTAGTAGTGGTTGGGATGAGCTCCGACATTTTATTGGAGGTTGATATTGTTGAGCACGGTCCAGGCAGACTTTGGAAGGATTGTGTTTTTGTCTAAGCTGCAGAGGTGCGTGTATTGTGCGTTTTATGGTCTAGCCTTGTTTCAATAGAAGCCTGGACGTTGTTCGCTTCCGCGCCTTCATATCGTAATGCACCCTTAGAGGGAAGTTCAAAGTCGAATTTGGAGGACTTTGGTGGGGTTTTGTTGTTTGTTTTTGTCTAAGCTGCAGAGGCGCGCGTATTGTGCGTTTCATGGGGGCTCACCTTTAATAGACGCCCAGGACACTTAAGGTTATTCGCTTCCATCGCCGGTCAGACTGCGCCCTATTGCCATACACCGAGTCGCTGTCCTCGACAGTATCATAATGCCCTCCCAACACCTCTGCAGTGCATACACGCGTCCCACTCTTGTCTCTACAGCTTCTAAAATGTACCTTCTCATATGAGTCATATCCGATGAAGCAGTCGGTACTTCCCAGCCCTCGAATCCGACCATCTATTTTGCATAATATCTTGTGTCGAAAAGCTACACCAGCACATCATCATGATGATGTCTTCAAATGCATGCATATAGCTTATTTCTGTATCACCCCTTCATCCCACCGACTTCCAAGGCCTGTTTGTGCACCGGATACAGGCGAAGTTATTTCGTCTGGCATCTCACACTCGTCACCAATTCTATCACGCACAAGCGCTTTTCTTCTAGCAAGACTCTTTCTAGAAGATTGCAACAAGCTTTCTTGCAGCCCAGTCCTTGAGCTGTTCTGTATGGGAGGTGCTGGAGTTTAAGCTCACTCATACGGTTGTGATCGCACTAGCTTTTGACAAGGAAATTATTGCGTTTACCTTACTTGACGATTCCTCGTTATCAGCATCCGCGAACACTAGGAACAATATCAAGTCTCTCTTGTCCTCTTACCCCCAATCCCAGTTCTTCAATTTCCTCACATCGAGTGTATGTACGAGTGCCTCCACAACCGTCTCATCTAACACAGGACGGAGGTCACGAAGATCGCGAAACAACACAAGGCACATCTTAGCATCCAGCACAACCGTACGGGTCTACACAGGGAGAACACTGATAATGCGGATGACTGATGAATGTGAGCCTTGCACAGCTGTGGACGCTACTACCCATAGTTAATGTGATCTCGGGCTAGTTTGTGTTATATTTCACTTTGGGTTGGGAGATGGCGAGGATGAATGGGGCCATAGAGATGGAAGGTGGAGTTTGAAGACCCGAAGTGGGTATGTGTGTCGAATGTATCAATACGCTGAGTCACTGCTTGATTTTTGATTTCACATTACGCTCCGAGAACTATGCGAATATGATATACGCAGTGGAGAGAATCAACAAAATCAGTGATGCGCCGGGTTGGATAGGCAACAGATATCACTCGTCTCGCTCTGATCCCAAACCACTGTTCCATACCGCCTTTCCCCGTTGAACCTAGGAGAGGTGCGGGTGTGCACGAAAGGTCGAGTTCAAGCCCCATTGTACGACGATCTGGGGAGGAGTGAATCGGTGTTTCATGGATGGGTTGCGTCGGAAATTGAAATGGGATGGCCCCGTATGTTGTAACTGTATCAAAAGGCTCCCATGTCTGGAAACAATGTCTGAAACAAGGAAAGTACGCTGTACTAAGCAGCGGAATGTCGTGGAATTTGGACCCAATTTTTTCATGGGTATAAAGCATTAACTATACTTTTCTTTTAATCGAAATTGCTCATTTATAGCACACCACCGGGTCGAACTGCTGAATAGCTGTCAATTGCGAGTGCGTACTTTCCATTATCTGTGTTTATCCCTTCTGTCGATGTATTTGTTAAACCCAGAAGGTTCTGGACGACAAGGTTACATCTAACCGATATCTGCCTGACAGATGGGCTAAGCTTACTAGAATTTGGTCTGATATGCTGATGGGTGCATGCAGAATTGACCACTCCTTGTTGACTACACTAGGAGATCGAGAAATAGTGGCGATGGGCAAGGCATTCGTACTGGTTTTTAGCATGGCGCGATAAGCTTGCGGCATCACTGAGGAGAGCCATGTTGATTTGTTGATTACTAGTGAGCATTCAGCGCTGGGCGGGGAAGGAGGTTCTTTACCTAGGATGGCCCGCCATGGGGAACACGGATCCCTAGGAAGTGCCACAGACAACACGACTATGACCCTTCATTAATCAGACCTCAAACCAGCCGACCCTCCCTCTAATATCCATGGGGGTGGAGAAGAAGTGCGTCACCCTGTTGCAGCCGTCGGTGTAACGCTGGTCACAAGGCTGAGTGTTGGATTCATCTATACGGCACCTACCAAACGCGAGGGTTACAAGTGGTATGCACCCCAGACGAGTCCAAAAGACGGCTTGAAGAACAGATGTCAAACTTCCTTGACTCCAAACCAAATACACACTCGTATCATTAATCATTACGTTTTGGTCTCGTAGTTGATGACGAGGGCCATCTGCTCATACCGCGCATCTCTTAATCATGACGTGCGCGATGCTTTTCTATTATGTCCTTGGTTTCTTGTAATTTGTCGTCAATAGGAATTGCAAGCACTTTCTACGCAGAAGAGCTAGAATAGAACGTTCAAGTTGTACGCAATCTCCCTGCAGGCTGCCGAATTAGATCTCGTCAGACCCGAACCTGGCACTTCCAAATTCATTCAGCCGAGAACTTTGTTCTGCACAGAATTGCGGCGAGAACATATGTAACAATATTGCAATGTCCGCGTGACAGAACTATCCTTGCTGACTTAGGAAATTCTTCTTTCAGACCCAAACCCACTTTTAAACTATTCAACCAACCAATGTGTCCTATGCAGAAAAGTGAGGACAGAACACTGCACGCAATAAAGCTCTTCTTTCCAGGCTGAAATTTGCTCTCCCCTCAAAGCCAAATGCTAACTAAAGCAGAACTGAACAAAAAGTGGTCCTCGTGTGATTTGTCGCCAATGTACAGATTTATTAACATAAGCAAGTTAGTGACATGCTCATGTCTATTCCTCGATATTAATTGACCACAAAAAAGCCATTCTCAAATATAACCCATATCACTTCATACACATGGACGGACGTTCCCTATCTCCTTGAGTCGTGGCGGGTGGTGCAGTGACAGCCTACATATATACATAGTACTGTCTGACTGCAGTCTAGCAGCATAGTCGTTCACGATTCCTACCTACAAAAATACAACACAAATCAGCTGCACCACACGACATGGCAGTGGCGGTTGGACAAGAAGAACGACCTTGACGGCCCGGGTGGGCCTGCATAGTGACGCGTGATGCTGGAATCCGGGAAGTACGGCTAGTTAGCACCGATAATTCGGGTGGATGGCGCACCCCCGAGACAGCGTATACAGCCTAACCGAGATGTAGTAGCAAGGTCATTTGATTCTGATTAAGCAGATTGCAAAGCATGTCAGGGATGACCGACCATGTGGCAGTGAGGAACGCGATTTGGACAGCGTGCGCGGCATCCAGGTCAAATCGCTTCTCTCAAAATACACACGCTTACCAAATACTGTAGAATGTAGCTGGGCTGGTACTGGGTATTTTACGTGGGATGTGCGAGTGCTAACTCATCCAGATGTATGAGGGCAGAAAGGAGGATGAACAGGAACTAGGTTTTGGAGACCGCTATGAGCACCGGGAGTTTGAATTGGTACTCCAATGAGATGATGCGCATTGTATTCGCGCCTGCTGCTTGTGCATGTGATCTCGGTTGATCAGAGACTTCTAAAACCATGACACCCGCTGCAAGTCTGAATGAGACGCCAAGATCCAAAAATTACACGGGCGAAGTGTTTATATACACGATTAGCGCTTCAATGTCGGCTATCAAACCACGAGGCCTGCTGGTTATGTACCTAGCCAGGTTTGCAGACATCCTATAGTCCAATGCCAAAGTTAAGTAGGTGCAGTCGTCATATAGACTTCAGAGAGAGAAAGTATTGTGAGTTTCTTGTCACTGAGGAATGGTAACAGGTGACCTACAACTCAGCTTGAGCACCAAGTGTTCACGGCTATTGATCCCCTGTCAATATTCTGGTGCAAGAATGGGAAAGGAGCATGACATCGGCAATATTTGTCGGAAGGTGCGGTTATAGGAGGGCGAAGACGAGGTAAAGTATGCACACGTACCTTGTTTGCCTATTCAGCCTGTGAAAGCACATTCAATGTCAATGATCTTCGTATCGCACATGGTCTGCACCTGTAACATGTACATAAACTCTCAGCACCTCGAAGAGTGTCTGCGGGAGGTTTTGGTGAGCACGCTTCTTGACACAAATGGATAGATACTGACGGTACGCCACCTCACAATTCCATCTCTTTACACAGCTGATTCTGCTTATTGACATGCTCGGGCGTGTTAAGCTATTCCGCAAACACGAGGATGACGGATGGACTATGCATCTGATTGAGGCCGCGGCATGCCGCCTAGACGAATTAAGCGAAGACTTGCCGAAAAGTTCTTGACTCTGGAAAAAAAACAGGATTCTAGTATCTAAACATACAACAGCTGTCGTGAGCGAGTGAATTGCATTTCTCCTAAGTTCTTCCGGAAGGTTCAAAGGTTGAGGTAAAAAATTTAGAACCACTCGCTTGACAAGCGAATGGATCATTGCGAAAGTTTCCCGCAGAATGCCGCAGCGAGCAACACGCGAATATCGTCACGACGCCGTGGGTTTGAACAGGCTTCTCGTGAGTGATGATGTTTCATTGCGCTTCGGTTGACAAGAGCTGACGAGAAAGACTAATTAAACTCACAGGCGTTGTACAAGACACCCTAGCCGCGATCCCAGCGAGCTCGCATACACCATACACGGTCTTCGTGTCTGGAGATCGCCGAGCGACAACTGCCGCATCGCATGGCAGGCATGGCCTCAGCCCTCTGCGCTACTGGTCCAGTGACGCCTCCCAAGATCTGCCTTGCCGACCAACAGCATCTCACACTGCTCGGGTCCAAAGACGTGGACTCTCCGGGCTCTGTTTTTGCTCTCTCCGGGCCAGCAGTAACTGACAAAACAAGTAGTATGGCATCAGCTCGCCACAGTGACGAGACATTTCAACGAGCAAACCAAGCACCCAGATCCCCGGAGCATATTGAACTGTGTGGGGCAACCATTGACCAACCCCAAGGTCTGCGTACCATATTACGCGTCGGCTAAAGTTCGCGTAGAGTCGAAGACAGCACTGTGGGAGGCAAGACCCATGGAAACGCAAACGGCCGAGAGATGGCCTCTGCCAGCTCGCCTGCTTATTGCGGAGATACCTGCCATGAAGACGTAGCGTTTCACATGGATAGAGCACAGCATAATGAAGATGAAATCACTGACGAGATTGAGACCTGAAATACGGCTTGAGATTCGTGCACCATTCTGGAGCAAATTCCCACCAAGGCTCCACTACGATCATCGCATCGATTGTTGTGCAGTCGTGGTGCCAACGTAGCGGGTGCATCTCAGCGGGTTGCAACAAGGACAATCCTGTGTGGAAGGACTAGACTTGAGACATCGTGAAGCAAGTTCCTAATAAGGCTCCATTAAGATCGGTGTGGATTGACTTTGCTGTGCAGTCATGGCGCCAGGGTATGGCCGTCTCTTAGCAGTTATCAGCTTCCAACAAAAAGAAACTCTATGTGTGTGAATGTTATCAGATTAAACGCTCACACAATGTCAAAATGGTACTTTCCGAGTGGTAACCTGTAACAACGTCCCCGTTTGGCAGAGCAAACTTTTAGGCGCACTCAGTTAAAAGAGTTTGATCATTCGTACCCGTACCAAACGTCATGCATCGGCAGGTAGAAGACGTCAATTCGGAGGCAGATTGAAACCATGCTTCAAGGTGGCCAACTTCATCTGCTTTAGACCTGTGGCGCTTGTTGGAAACTGACTATGATTGCACTGCCGCGCTTCAAGGACCCTTGAGCTCGTCACGAGAACAAACTAGCCAGATCCAGCTGATGTTGTTCACAGGCACTGGAGTCCGTTTCGCACAGGATCCGGAAATTAAAGCGTAAGAAGAAAGACAAAGGGGCTTCTTGATTTATCAGATAAACATTGAACGCCCCAGGAGTCGGCAAAAAAAACCGGCGTGGGGTATGATGCATAGCCGCAATGGCTGCAGTGTTATACTGCCCCTTCATATACGTGCTTCTCCATGAAATCATTGGCCTTGCGTAGTAACTTGACAACATTTGACCAAACAGTGCGTGACGCGTCACGAGCAACAACTGGCGGCAGCCTTGATATCTCAACGAGGCAACAAGTTTACACTGAGACCCTATGAGCAGCGGATTTGGCGATGGACCCACATGTTAACAATCTGGCAAAGCGGTGAGAGCCCTGGGCAAGAATTCTTAGATGGGCTAGGACGAACGAAAGTTCCTGTGTAGAAGTCGATTTAGGGTTAATGACATCCGTGTTGCAAATATTATCGGCGCCACACCGATGAAAGTATTGACAAGACGTGTAACCGAGCGGGAATATTTTCTTGGCTGAGAATGCTGGTTGGACGTGCAGGTTAATTATAAGTCCTCCACGTGCAGAAGAAACTTCTCGCGCTTACATAATAATCTGAAAGTTGGTTGCCTTGTCGCACGTTGTTCAAGTACTCAAGTTGGTACCGACGAACAGTGAGCTCATTCAAAGACTGCGATGCCCATCAAGCACCTGGAAAGTACGTTTTATCTTCCATCAAATGTCGGAGTAGAAGAGCTGCATTTAAAATTGACGTGTAACCTAAAAACGAAACAGACTACCTCTCCGAGCGGAAGCACACGCAATCATTTGCTCTGTCTGTATTATCCGATTCGCGGCTGGGAATTGATGCATCTTACTACCTCAAAATATTGACGGACAATCCACCCTCGCGCGAACCTCTCCTCGCTGCAACTGGTGGCTTGCCCTTGGCGCTAACGACACGCATCGAGTCTGATTTGCGTACGTTGGAAAAACTACGAATAAAACCTGTGTTCGTTTTTCCTGGCCTTTTGCCGAGCAAGCGCTGGAAGCAATACCAACATCACGTGGAGCACAATGATGCATGTAGGGACCGGAGGGATGCTTGGGCAAAATACGAGGCTGGCCAGGAAGATTCTGCCGTAAAACTATTCGAGGGCAGAAGCGGACTCCAGCAATGGGACTTATGGCGCATGGTCTTGAGGATATTCAGACATAGGAATGTGGAGTTTTTGGTTGCTCCATACGTCGCTTGGGCTCAAGTAGGCTGAAACCATCTCTTGAGGGATACTCCGCTGATGCATCCTAAACAGTTGATTTACATGCAACGGCACCCAAAATCATATATTCATGCAATTTTTGGACCGACCGACACCCTACTCTATCCGGGAGTAGACAAATTAATTACTTCGCTGGACCTCACCTCTGCGACACCATCTTTTTCATTCGTATCCAAACGCACTATCTTGGGTGACTTGGGTCTCAGCGAGGACCAGTTCCTTGATGTTGGCATCCTTGTTGGTTTCGAGCACTCGCCACCATTTCCACCAACTGTGCATGAACAGGCGTTGAAGGCCACGGTTGACATGGTTAAATACTACAAGTCTGGTCATGCTGCCGTTTCCGCATCCGCGGAACATCCCGCTGTCAAGAGTATGCAGTATCCCGATCAATACGCGCGCACGCGCTCGATGATCAAATACTCTCTCATATTCTCGTCTGAGGGAAGTGTCACGCCGCTTCCCCTTGCGATCACCACACCGGCACACGGTCCTAACCATCCCCACCATCCGACAGCTGCAGACATTCCTTCAGATCTTCATGAAATATTCACGCACCGTCTTCCGGACGAAATCTATTTCTATCTCTCACGCGGACTCTTGGGGCCTCAAGCACTGGTGTGGCTGACCAGTGGTCAGATCGTTGAACCCCCACCGCTGGATAACGGTGAGACAACCGAGTACAAGCGGTTTGTCAAGGAGGTTATCACCGATGGCCAGACAGGGCCACGGGCCACTGCTCTCGCGCTCATTAGCAGTGTTTCCCATCAATTTTGGAATAACCGGAAAGTTGCGGGAAACTTTTGGTTTGAGAGCCCCGCACCTCACGGTCAGAAGTTTGTCCAACATAACTCACCACAAACCGTACAGCTTGCCGAACGCGTGGCGGGTTGGAACGTTAGCTATGCCATTGTGGAGGAGGAGCTTCGGAGACAGAACGTGAGTTTCCGAAGTCGCTTATCAGTCGAGTCACATCTGATGGTCTGGGCTGGTCCAGTCTTCCACCATCGATTTCGCACTTTGCCTCGGAGCGACAGCAACGGAGAAGCTTGCATCGCGTACCAAGGGAAAGACAAGCGTCCCGAATGGGCAGCTGGATAAAAAGGATGAGGTCGTCGCTAACGTGGTATGGCGGTTCCTGGAACTCAGAGGGTAAGCGCCGTCTTGCCAGCTTAGCATTCTTGTGACACTGTAACTATAGATTCCTGCTCAACTCTCACACTCACTCCCCACTGGCGCGCGCTATGTACACAGCAATTAAACAAGCTCGTTTGAATGACAAATTCCAGGATCCTCTGTATCTGTTTTTGGAGCTCGTAAGGGCTGGGGTAATGCATGGCCACTTATGGTCAGGCCGAGCGTTCAGTGGGGGCCCAAGTTTCGGGACCGGTGAGCGGAATTCACATACAAGTTTTTCTTTGGACTGATAAATGATTATCTCACGCAGATGATGAGAAATCTTGTATGCTGCTGGTCATGAGAGTGCTTAGCATCGTGCCTTTGAACTTCAAGGTGATTTTTCTATATCTAGCCGATCGCAGCAAACTTGATACTATTCTTAATTTAGTCACAACCTTGGTCGGCACCGTTATCACGTGAATTGTTGGTGTTTAACTCCTTTGTGCGTTCCCTGACTCGGGCGCTCCGAACGCTACTTGAGGTGACGACATTGAACATGTTACTACGTTCGGACGCGCGCCGAGCACGGGAAGACCTTCTGGACATTACTATCTCCCTGCCCTTCCAATCTGAGGTGAACACTGGATTTGGAGTGCTTGCGAAGGTGTACCTGGATGCCCTGACCCACCTGAATAATCAAACGCGAGTACTTGACCCTAATGCAGAAGGCGTTAGAGAGTCGAAGGCTATGGCCCTCGAGATATGTGAAGACACGTTTCCAGGAGTGAAGACTCCGAAACAAGAAGTGGAACGAGGATTCCGGTTCTGGGACATTGTAAGTGTCTTTGTTCCATTGTAGAATCACTAGTTGTGATATAGCTAACATGTGTTGTGGTTCACAGGCGCTGTCTGCCATGAGGCAACTTCACTCTGAGGGTGCTGTCCTTCGCGAGTTGATTGACCAGTTTGAAGCAGCAGAGGCGTGGCTTGCGCCGATGAGGCCATGAGATTATTGATCATGATAGGTAGTTGATTGAAAATATTTTTCGATCGCTCTGTGCAAGTTGCCCTGTTGAGGTGTTGTGTAGTTTCGAATAGAAAATAGCCTATTGTGACAGCGCGATTTATTCGGAAGTGAGGAAGCGATCAATTACAATGGAACGCAAAGGCCGTTAGAAAGGGTACAAGGAGGGACGGAGGAGACGATGGGAAAAGTACACCAAGGAATGGAACATAGGCATGGGAAGTAGAATGTCTTAAAAAGGAAATCGAGATACTTGGATCTCAGATATTCAATGATACCTAATCGGGAATACGCCAAGAAAACAGAACGTCCAAAAATGGAAACAGGCCATCTCGCTGTTTATCGCCCGATCCCCAGGTTTCTGACTTCTCAGGGCTCTGCTTCGCTTTTTTTTTGAACAGCTGCCACAACAAATCTACATACAATCGAATATGCATGTCGCTCGCGTGGCGTCTCTCCCTTCAAATTTAAATAACGTCCACCTGAATCTCATCTTTCCACTTCACACTCCCAATGTTCGACCAATACTCCAGTCCTATCATGCTACACACTCAATCATCTATTGGTGTCATGTTTGATCCTTACAAGGAAAAGGTCAACACAGGTCATCTCTATGTCCGCGACGCCATTCAGATCATCCAGCTCGTAGAGGCTTCACCTCCCCCACGTCCAGACATCGAATCCAGCTCATATGGCTTCTCTTCTGGATCATCATATCCCTCTACATCAGACTCGGAAGACGAGGAGGATTGCTCATCATATTGCTCCTCCTTCGTCACCCCTTCCCAGGACAGAGAACATGTCGTTTGGACAGATGATACATATGACATTCGCATGAAACGAGTACAGAACTGGAGAGATAATTCGATAAAAGCAATGAGTGCCTCAGCTGGTGTGTTCTTTTCCCTCATAGTTTTATGCGCTCTTGACTAAAACATCAATAGAGCCTCGCTCGTTGTCATTGAAACGAAAGTTGAATCAGAATCAGACTGATGATGATCTTGTGAGTCTCCATTACGATACACCTCACAACTTTGTATTAAGCTCTCACTCAGCACACCACAAAAAGATCACGCTCTCGGGATCCTAACAGCGCATCCAGATTACTCGGGCATTCATGTACTGCCTGTGATACCCCCTTCTCATCAAGGCAAAGCCTCCGACAACATGGTCGCACTCCTCATATATCTGAGGCATGTCGGATAGCGGTCGAATACAATTTCGAATGACCACCTACTCTTCTTGGCTTATGACGATCATGACCCCAGCATTCGCATCGTTGTACGATAACCCACAATTATTTTTTTATTCATGGTATCGTACACACTCATTTACCCATATTGTGTACCACCAACGGATGAAGTTGAAGTGATGTTTGTTTCTGTACATTATTGATCACTACATACCTGACCTGTTGTTAATTATACGATATTTGCTCACTAGTACTTTGAATAAACAACTTCAATACCCTTTGTGCAATCGACGTGAAACTCAACTTGGAGTCTGTTCTGCGGCGGAGCTAGCAAGCATGGGAATTAGCTGTGCAAGTCTAGTACGATGACCTTGTCTTGTCTTAGGCTGGGTATTCGTTTTCGGTGCATCTTCCGCTGCCCCGGAGCATCACTATCACTCCTTGACCACTCCTGGCCACTCCCGCTCCCACGTCGAGCACGGACAGCTTTCGGTCTGTTGGGTGCAACCGTGTCTCCCCTTGTGATCAACTCCGGAGAGTGCCTGTGACACAGGCAAATATAGATGGTTTTTCTCTTCAAGATACGGGACCGACGTGGCAGTGGCCCACTTGCTGTAAGGCTGCACAGTTCAGCACAAACCCTGCAGGTTCCTGTATTGATCGGAGACGATGCTACCCCGCAGTTTGACGCTGAACCGGTAATCCACCATCCGAGTCCGGAAATCTTCCCAACTTGTCTTCCTCAAATTTCACTCCCTGAAATGTGGAGGAAGGCTTATATACATTGCCGTACATATCGTACTATTGTGACAATGACGTGCGGCAGTGGACCCTTCGAAGCTTCGTTCACATGCTTCAAGATGTCCTTCTCAGTCGCGTTAGGCAAGGCAACGGAGCAGAGCAGAGCTTGGAAGGCCTCTATGATCTCCGCACCTGATGCGAGGTACCCACGACGATCAAGGAGATTGTAATTGGATTTTCTCATCCTACTACTAGCCCACAGAACTGGATGGCTCATACGATACATTACTCAGGCGCGTAACCCCGCACTCTGCTGGCTGACATTTCGGTCTCTAGCATATCTACTCTCAATTGTCCGATCACAGATACTTTCCCGTGAAGCAATGAATTATCAAAGTGGCAAGGTACCTGTCTATCTAGCTGATTGACCTAAACAATGGATCGTTCCGAATGTATGATAATTCCCGTGTAGTGTGAGAAGTAACCCTTCTGGCTGCAGTGCACCGCTGTTGTGAGAATGGTTTCAACTTGGACCTTGGTAGCTCATTTGACCAGGTCATCAATGAGCGCCTCGTTCTGGAATATCCCGGTTTACATGATAGCCGAATCCTCCACCAATTAGAGTGTTTGTTTTCAGGCTCACGTAAGGCAGTGAGCCCTGCAGCTGGTAACTTGATCACGACTATCAGGAGAAGTCCACACTAGCAGATGGCCCTTTGACAGCAAAAGGCCGTCAATGTGGTATTGTGTGCGTCATGGCTTCTCCCGCGCTGTTAGAACTACTACCCTGCCTCGAACCAAGTCACGAGAGAGCTTTCAAAAGGCATTCCCATGGCCTACCGAACTACGTGCAATGACACGGCACTCACGTCAAGAACTACATTATTCTCCATTCAGCTCGAATCCGCCCTCGGGTTGCCGTTGCCCCTCGATGCGACCGTATTCCACGGGCGCTTACATGCTTTTAAGTCTAAATTGTTTCCTCAAAGAAAACAAGAACATGTTCTCGAGAGAAAAACAGATCCGGGGTTTACCCTGGATCACTATGTTTAGCTCACTAATAAAAGAACCGCTTAGAGCTTGCAAATCTACTACGCGAGTTCATCATCATAATTTCGACGGGGTTCCATCCTATCGTGATGATCATGAGTGTGCTAAATTGTTTCGAGATGCTACACATCGGTCCGAACATCGCAATATTTCAATGCAGGAACGTCTTACGGTGGGAAGACATGTGAGTTTCTCCTCTGCTTGTACATGTCTTCTTAGCTTTGCTAATTTTGTTGCACAAACTAAACTTGCCAGGGATGCTCCGAGGCCGATGATTGTGTACTCATCTTTAGCCACCGGTGCAGGTGTCTGTGCTGCATCTGTGGCGTGAAGACAAGGATGTCATCATTATCACTGCAGGAACAGACGACTGTGGGAACTCGAAGAGCTGTGAGCGTCTTGTTAGCTCGTATACTCTCTTAGCTTTTGCTAATTTTGTTACAAGAAGAAAGCTTTCTGTGAAGCGTTCCGAGGTCGTCGTGTACTCCATGATGGTCACTGGTCCAGAATCTCATACCTTGGTGCCCGTGGAGCATATCGTCATCATCAGCGTCATCACCATTAATAGGGCCGCCGTCAGGTGTTCCAACGCGGAACGAGCATCCTGAGCGTGAGTACTTGGATAGCTCGTAATATGACGTTCTACGCTAAGAGATGATGCAATCCATGCTTCAAGGAACACCAACGAAACGTTACAAACGTAGCTTTGACTACTCGTGTGGAAGTGGTGGTATCGACGATAGTGACTGGCTACAGGCCTCGAGGCAGAAGCAGAGCTTCTCGCGCCTTTGTGTTACTTTGAAGCGGTGCGCATGCAATGCGCTCGGATCATCAACCGCGGTTGTCCGACCCTTTAGGTACCTTATTTCCATCCCTTATCGTAGGTTTCCCCCTTGTTCTGTGACTCGCCGTTGTGCAGCATGACCACTCTGTGAGATGGTTGCATAGGTACGTCTCGTATATTGCAAAATCGGGAAACAGGAAGCTCGTGATTTGTTGACGAGACCCCATTTCACTCCAACATACGGCCGTTCGGGCCTGCAGGTCGAGGCTACGTTGCAATGCGGCTTTCTCAAGCAATGCCTCGGCGCCTTGCACTTTCTAGGGTGCCTACTTATTCTTGGGTACGGTACCGCAGGCGAAGACTCTAAACAAGCCAAGTAATTCGGAACAAAAACAAACGAGGAACGAGCATAAAAATGGACGTAGGACAACTCCGTCTAGTCGCACGCAGGCATTGCATTGTAATATTGCATGGGAGGATTTGGAGCCTGAGAGAGCGCCTATACCCTTGTAGAGAGTAGCTATATGATACATCGAGGTGATCGGCTACATGGATGTCCACCACCCAGTGAACAACAACGCAGAAACTTTATGTCTATTTCAAGAGCGTGGCCGCGTCTGGTACCCTTCTAAAGGATGGTTCCCTCGGGATATGGTTCAGATCGGTGAAGCATATTCCACAATGGGCTCTCCGGCCTCACGTGTGCAAGTGACTTCGTCTCATGCTGTTTGCATCATTGCGAAGGGTATGAATCTGTGATGGCAATGATAATGATCAGTGATACATATAAAGCTTCACCATTTCCATGCTACGGGATGTCGAGCCGAATATCAGTTCACACGACGCCTGGCTTTTTCCTCCGTTGATAATCGTCGTTCTTTCATTGCATATAACTGTGGGCGTGAGTGGGGAGCATGAAAGCCCTATATCAAACCTTTCCTGGCGTTTATTTTCATTCCAACCGTGCGCAGTTTCTTGTTATGTGCACATCGCGATCGATTGAATATGAAAAGGCCATTAATCCGGGGGGGGTAATACAGGCTGATAGCGTCCTAGCCTATCATTGCCATTGGCAAGACCCTAGAGAACATAGCCTAGGATATGATCGTCTGCAGTATCAGAGGAGGACCGGAACTTGGTTCCCGATCAGAACCAGAGACAATTTGGTTAAAATTTGTTCGGGCACAACCTCGGGGAAATGATTCACCCACGGTTTCTCGTATCGTCCCCATCTATGAAGCGCTTACAGGCGCCTGATGACGATCGGATCCTATAAATAAGTCAAACAGTTCGGGTGTCTTGTAGAAGTTTAGAACTAGCATTTTCCTCGGAACACAGTACATACACCATGGCCTAGTCTCAAGAACGATCAGAAGTGAAGCTTCACCGGGAATCGCTCTTATCGATAATCGGTCCAACCCATCTTCGTGTTGATCAAACTTATCACTAGAATCAAGTCCCATCATCTGGAAGCTTTCCGATCCCCTTTGGTAGGATGTCATGGGCTCTTTCGGGAGGTTTAAGATTGTTCAACGTGTGAAGGTTTGCTGCCAGCGGTATCCACAGTTGCCTGAAACAGAACCACTGTAGGTGGATTCTGACATTGCTACCAAGGCTTTGCTGCGCGACAGCGGACAGGGCGTCTATCTACTTGGCACTAGCGGTAGCCTGTTACGGCCTGCCGCATCAGAGAGCGTATTTACGAGGTGGTCCGAGCCGCCAAGCAGGCTGCTAGAATCCCCTTCAATACGTTGTTACTTTATATTAATGAAGGTACTTCACCTGGTTCATACCAAATTGCCAAGACATAAGTCGACGCGGTTGACCAGCGGAGTATGAAGCCTAGCGGAGTGTACTTGCACAAAAGGAAACTCCGCCATGTTTGCACTTTGCCGCTCAGGCCGTGCCGACTTCGACATGTTATTGCACACACACTACCACAGCGACCATGCAATCGTTCAAGTTATCGTTCAAGGGAAATGTGTATCCCAGGAAGTCAGATAACTCGACTTTACCCCTCAGCAATTCCGACACGAGGTCGTCTTTGTCACGATTTTCACTGACGAGGCGGTGTACTCGTCTTTTAATGGGATTAATCTTAGTCTGCTTATTTCTGTTCTTCTCGCGCTCCAAGGCGACCGCGCCATTTCGGCTGCAGGAGCAGTCGCAGGAGCAAGACCACTCGTTACCGCCATTGTACGAGGAATATCACGACTACGAACGACACTTGCCGCAGCATAACCTTTCATTGCCTTTCCCAGAAGGACGTGATGCGAAGTTCTTTTGGGCCGCCAACCATGTCACTAGTATGAATATCGGTCATGTTTGTATCCAAGCCAAGACTGATAGCTACCAGTTTCGGGATGGGGAAATGCCATGCAAGAGCTTGTGATGAATGCGGCGCTGTCTCATGTAACTAAAAGAACGTACGTCCATATTCCCATGACCTTTATTCACCTTCACTATTGCCCGCTAGTTTCGTGTTCGATAATTTCACATGGGAACGAGATTCTCCCGATTACTCGACGTTCAATGGCAAACTCATACCTTCGCGCATTCCATTGTCAGCTATCATCAGTGGTACGTTACCAGTGTACATTGTCTCCACTCATGCCAAAGCCGTTCTCTTGTGCAGGCCCCATAATAGGGTCGTCATTTTCCCCCGGAGATGCTGCCCCTCGTGCTGTCTCGCGGGAGTACTTCAAGAAAGTCTGCCCTAATCCCACCATCATCGACAGCTGGGTTGTGAACGAGCATCTTAGGCTGGACGATAACGTACCTGCTCTGGAAATATTTGAGAAGTGGGTGGAGAGATTGAATTCCATCGACGACCCATGCGTTGAGATAAGACAGGAATCATATCAACTGTTTGAAATTTGGTGAGTCGCCTGGTTGCACTGCTGTCAGGTTCTCAAACTTTCAACAGGTTGTTTGGTTCGAGACGCATACTTTCAATGTGGCCTATCCTATCCAAATCGCCTATCCTGACAGATTTTTCTTGGTCTCCGCTTATCTATCAGGCGTACGCGGATAATGCTCATTTGTTTACACCGACTTCCTCGTTTGGATTTTTACCCTCGTTCATGCGTCCTTCCGGTCAGCAACAAACTCCTACAGCACTACACGACGTCCATCCTGTTGTCAAATCAAAGGATGTGGATACTATCCCTGGGTTACTGGCTCTTCATATTCGTCGGGGCGACTTCGCGGGTCATTGTTCACATCTTGCCAACTGGTCCTCAAATTGGAATGGGTTCAACCAGTTCTCTGCCCTCCCCGATAAGTTCAGAGTCCCTACGGATGGTGGCTGGGGCGTGACCACGGAGGCAAATACGAACATGTACTTCAAAGCGTGTTTCCCAACGATTGAGCAGATTGTCGAGAAAGTGCAGAACGTGCTTGCTGACCAAAGGCGTCTATATGGATCTGTGAAGGAGTTGAAGAGCATATATGTTATGACGAATGGAGATGTGGAGTGGCTGCGACAGCTTAGGGAGGCCCTCATGCAGGTGAAGAAATGGGATGCTGTTGTGACCAGCAGAGATATGAAGTTGAGCTGGGAGGCAAAGCCTGTCGCACAAGCTGTGGACATGCTGATCGGTCAGCGTGCTCAGGTGTTGATAGGTAACGGGGTACGTTGCGAGTCACTTTCCTTGGCCGATCAGACTGACTGGTGTTGCAGTTTTCGAGCCTAACATCCAACATCGTGATGTTACGGATGTTGATGGACATTCCCTCGGAAGATACTCGGTTCTGGTGAGAATGGTTTTTCGTTTATTGGGGTGACGTTGTGCAGCCCCTTGAGTCACTGACGACTTTTCCCAACCATTGGGATCACTTCGCGAATGTCCTGGAGTAGATACACACGAGCTATGGCATCTATTTGTCTGGCCTCCCCACGTTCGCTACCAACTCTTTTACTGCAGCACGTTCATTTTTGTATTATTGCTCAGTTATACCCCTTGATATATACCCTCGATAATGATTTTCGGAAACGTGTATCTTTGGTGAACCAGTCAGGCTTTGGGCATTAGGTGTAGGGTAGTTTCACACAGCGGGAAAACCTTTCCTTTTTTGTATGCGTGTCTAGATTGTTCTCGCCCTTGTCGAAGTCTAGACACTAGGGAGAAAGGGGCGACTACGTACGGGTAACATTGCATTTAAGGAGGCTTTGAAAATTTGAAAGAGTCTAGTGGGGGAGTGAAATTCGGAATGTAAATGATCCGGCAGGTCGCCGCGATTAAGGTCAGGACAACGAATTTATTTCATTAGAATTAGGCACAGTAACTAAATTGCCATTCGACGATCAGGAGAAAAACAATTTAAAAGTATTGGGGGAGGCACTGTCAGGCACTGCCACTTCATCCGCACCTGAAGACTAGCTAGTTACTAGGCTCTCAGGCTACAGCCAGTTTCTCAAGGATTCATAGGCGCCGTATACTATCACTATCCCAGTGAATGATGGGCACCCGGTCCAGCCTCGCAGGGAATCTAACTAGGGATCGGTGACAAGGAAATACCGACTTATCGAGTACGCCACTAGAAATCGATAGATTAACGGTTTCGTTGTACGTGCGATAGCTACTGGGCGGAACTATGGGCAATGACGGGTATGTTCTATGTTGTTATCTATTCGGGAGGCACTTGTCTGAGAGATTGGCAGTACTGGACATCAAGCCCAAGGGCGCCGCAATAGACACTAAACCAATCTGTCGCCATTGTCGGGATGGGCGTTCACACTAGGGCTGCAGTTTGAAAGCCGAGTTGCGGCAAGCCTCTTTGACAGCTTGTTCCGTATAAGATCCGCGTGCTTTTTCGTTCGTGTGTCCGACCGGAGCATATCTTATGACGAGATGGGTATCTGGATGTAAATGAACTGTTTTGTACATGCCACCTCTAATTTTAAACGATGTCCCTAGCTAGCTCAATTAACGGAACATCCCAGCGAAGAATTAACTTGGCTTGAGCAGGTGAGCTGTGCCGCCACTGATATTGAACTTGTCTAATTCAGTTCTAGAACAGATAGTGACGATTGCCAAGAGATCAGATCAACGGTGTACTAGGGGCTTTTGGAGAGGAACTTGGGTCTGGATCAGTTGTTCTCATGCGCCTCTCAAACTCATCCTTCTGGTTAAGACTGTTCCGTTGTCTACGGAAATCTAGAATTCGATCCCGCCTGGCATACGCTACATTTTACACGCGCTGTCTCTTGTTAGTCGTGGTCTGCTTGCAGGTACAAGTATTGCATCTCCTACGCCAGGCAGCCGTTGGAGTCTAGAAATCTGCGAGCCAAGTACAGATCGCCTTCCAGTCATCGCGAGAGTCATTGGTAGGCACTGCATATACTACTCATCTGTGTCCGTACAGGTTAAGCACAACATATCGCGGAATTTCGTCAACCATAGCCTTGGGTAAATCGATTTCCTGATCTTCCGTTCATGTATTGAAAGAGGTCTTTTACCTGACGAAATGGACAAACTACAAAGCCAGGGCACCTCCGGATGATAGATAGAAGGCATTCGTGGCTACGGTTGCTGATAGTGAGTGATAACAGATATATTACTATCCCTGATGTGGTCATAGATGAGATTATATGAAAACACGAAAGCCTGTCACTCCTGTGTTTTTGATGGACCGAATCTAGTTGTGCTTCGTTCTTCAGGGCTTTGATGTCGTGAGTTTGATACTGACCAACTTGCAGAAGTCGAAGCTGTGAATCTGTGCGACTAAACTTTCAAAGGGAGATGTAGACCCACGCACCATTGATACCACAACAGGATAAGACACTCGCTTTTGGATGATTACTATCAAACCATTGATTCTGATTAGGCGTTCTGGGATCAGTCAATTATGAGGCACCTTAGGTCATAACCACCGCACATGAAGACTCCCGACCCGTAATAAGCAAGAGGGCCGTGAGAATCCGTGAGTGAGGAACACCAAGAAAGGGAGCCATTGGTAACCCCTGAGACGACGGTACCGATCGATGATTAGCCTGCCGCTGATTATAAATTCGAGCCTAGGAGCTCCCTTTTACTCAACATTTCCTTCTCTCTCTCGTTAAAAGTGTCTCCAACCCTTCGAACTACAGCTTTACTCCAGAACGCTCCAACCCCAACCAAACTATTGTTACTGAAAACCTTTGCGGCTCCATATATGTCTTCCAGCAGATCCATCGAGATAATTCCTCGAAGGAACACTGACCGAGCCAATGCAGATCATGGTTGGCTCAAAACTTTCCATACATTTTCGTTCGCAAAGTATGGACCTTTGACCTTGATCTTCATTGCATAATCATGTAGCCACTTTGCAGTTACCATGACCCGAAACACGAGTCTTTTGGTTCTCTACGCGTCTTGAACGAGGACCGCGTAGCACCTCGCACTGGTTTTGGCACCCACAGCCATCAAGAGTATGAGATTTTTTCCTATGTGATTAGTGGTGCGCTAGAGCAGTGAGCACCTCTTCCGGTTTAGAAGAATGTTTGATTGATTTCGTCATTGTGCAGCCAAGACTCTATGGGCAACACTGAGATACTGTCTCGTGGTGCCATCCAGATGACCTCCACTGGAACAGGCATCTCTCACTCTGAGAAAGCCCATGGCTCTGAAGAGGTACATTTCTGCCAGATATGGGCATCTCCCCGTCCCGGAGAAGGAAGAGGAAAACCCGCCTATTTTACCAGGTAAGACATCCCTGACGATCCTGAACATACCTCGATAACCGTTTGGTTCACGCAGACATTTCACCGACCAAGACAAGCGAAACCAATTCAGGCTTATCGTTGCGCCTTCTAATTCATCTGAAGTCTCGACTGGGAGGGAGGCTGAAGGCCCCGCCCCAATTCGCTCCCAGCTTCGCGCATATGCGTCGCTCATGGATCCTGGTATATCCCTTGTGCATGCATTCCACCCAAGCCGCAACCCTGAGGGACGTAAAGCGTACATTCACGTCGTTCAAAAATCTGGATACAATCCTGGTAACGCCAAGGGCGTCAGATTGCGCGTTGGCGCTCAAATCGAGGGGCCGATAATCGAGCTTAGAGAAGGAGATGGTTCATATATGTTTGTGGGAAAGGATGCTGAACTGAAGGTTGAGAACGCAGGGGAAGATGCGGTCGAGTTTTTATTATTTGACATGGAGTAAAAGCAACTGTAAACGCTTATCCTACGTGATTCCACTGTAAATCCACCTTATTATCGATGGTTTGTGTGATTTGAGGCAGAGCTTAAAATATGCGCCTATTTCCCGCAGGGGCCACTAGCACAATGGGCTGTAGCTGATATACATGCTCAGCTAGATATGCTAACCTGTACACATTGCGCATTGTACTAATGTCAGACACGGAGTTATTCCTTGTTTTGCTTCTAGCGAGGCTCTCGGACGGAATGGATGAGAGAAGAACAATATCAAAGCCAGCCAGCCGATCACTGCGAGTGCCGGTATAACCGGGACCACCGCAGAATGCAACCTACTGGCTATCTGTGGCATGAGCTCTAGCCTTGTATGTAAAGACGACGAGTCCAAGTGACAAGTAGTGCATGAACGTCCTAGCTCTTATCGAACGCGATATCTCCCATCGCGCACCTACTAGATCGTTCTGTTTGGTGCGATGGAGTATGCAAGCCCGAACACCTAGGATTACCATATGTGGGTGCTTCTGCGGGACCACGAATATTAATGTAGATAAGATGTGCCACGTATAAGCAGATAACGCACGAAGACCGAGTTCACCGCCTACTCCACCAGTAAGCATCATTGCTTTCCCCATGGTCCTGTTGGTTCTGGATGGGAAGCTCGATGAGATGCGATGGAACACATTCTGGAAACTGTGGAGACAAGAGCCGGACGTATGAATGCAATGAAGCAGAGCCTCGTGTCCCGGGGATCCATGGTAACGAGGCAGGTTGACGCAGTGAAATACGCGATACGCACCTCTGCAGCTCACATGAAGAACGCAGGATTCCCCAGTGTGGGGTTCAGGAAGATACGCACTGGAAAAGGCGGAGTACAAACAGAGATAAGCCGACGGGACACGGAGATAAGCACTACGGTGGAGACCGCCGAGCGGACACTGACGGCGAGCAATGGAAGTGTGGTGGGGTGCGTGTGGAGCTGGGGTACGCACACGAGAATCACGGGAATTGCTTCCGATATAGCTCATTGTTTGCAGTTTGAGCTCCGGACTACGCTGGCAGTCCGAGTCAGCCGGATAGGTTTGTCTTCTTGACACTGCGTGAATGACAGATACTTGCGGCGGAATGACCGCATCGGTGCAAAATAGGTATGCATCTAGAGACTCTGTGTGTGATTGACGTGGCGGCACGGCTCAAGTGCTCAAACGCTCGATATAATCATGATCAGCGTAGGAACGAGCAGCCATTTCTGAGAGAACAAATTCTCACACCTGAATTAATGAGATGGCGTTTGTATTCCTCAGCGATAGAAGCTCACCCGTTTCGTTTGTACTTTGCTTTTGACCTCTTGGTCAAAGGTCAGAACGTTCCGAACTAAAATTACTAATTTCAGTGTCTCTTCGCTATGTGACAAACAACCGACGCAAGCGGCACTTCCCGAATGCTACTCTTCATTGCTACTCATGACTGCCAAACAACACTACAGGCTCAGCGACGCTGGCAGTCGCGATCGAACTGGGACGTGACAAGCATACCTCGGGATCGCGCAGATGGTCCATTACACATCTTGCAGCCTGATGCTGTTGTTTACACTCTCCATCGATTCCTTCCATATCTGTGATTGATGCTTGGGGCTGATATATGATATTCCGATGACCTACGGTTTGGTTTTTCGGATAGCATATCACATTGGCAAATGTTTTCAAACGTATTCTTTTGCCTATATGTACAAGAAGTCATGCACTGGTATCTGAACTTCTGAAGATGAGATGTGAGGGAATATTCGAAAGGCCAGGCTATCCGATCATCAACAAAAAAAAATCCACAAAAGGTCTGGACAAGGGGCTTAAGTGGGGTCACGGCGTCACTGGATCAGAATTTAATCTAGAAGCTCTGTAGTAAGTCCCACCCTCACCTAAAACATTTTACACCAATTCCCTATCCTATTTTTCATTTATATGCATTAATATTGCTGCATCAATTGCGGGGGCTCCTATCATAAAATGATCAGCTACAGGTCACTGTCGGCTGCCCTCGACTTACTGTTTTATGATGTACTATCTCCACCATAGGAATGCTCTGTTTCCGCTTTCTGCGGTGTGCACTACGTGGACTATGGCAGGTAGGGCTTGGGATGTGGATCAAGACAGAAGGTGCTACAGGGACCAAGAGGTCCTGATATTGCCTATTTTTGTGTACGGAGTGGTCATGATACGATGACTGTGTGTGATTATAAGGCGGTGGGCTGGACGGCAAGCGCAGCGACATGAGAATAGCGGAAAATATAGCAGCATAGGCTTCAAGACTGAAAGTCAAGGGCATGGTGCTATACCCGTTGAAGTAAAAGTCGAGAGGGAGCTAGCTATCCAGGGATGATGAGCGACGTCGACGAGGAGGGGAAATGTGCAGGACGACGTTGTAGCACAATAAGAGCACTGAAGTATAAATGCGCCTATTTTAGCAGACTCATTGCCGAGATATATAGGTCGCGCGATCGCTTTATCTCTGCCTATATTGGCATAGCTGATGTCGATGACAACATTTTCGAAGTCCTGTAGCACACGGCTGTAGGGCCAGTACGTGTAACAGAATCAGCTGTCTCTCACTATTACCTCAAAATTACCATCACATGTCGCTTGAGCGCATATACAGTGGTCGAATTACCACAGTGGAGGCAGTAGCGGATTTTGAACGTTCCGATACACCAAACAGGTAAATCTGAACATTTCAATCCCCATCTCGACTGTAAGATGTGCAGGGAAATCCACACCTCCACAGAGATAACGTATCACCGACGAAGACGCGACACCTTGAAATTTGAGAAGCGCGCTCGGAGCGTCGGTACGGTAAAAACACGGTGACCTTGCAGAACGCGAGTCCGTCTTGATCTCAAGGAAGAATAGTCACCCCGGAACATATATTTGATTCCCCAGTCACCTTAAGGAAACCACATCACGCTTGGGAAGGGCACAATTTCCAAGATCAATCCGAGACCACCCATGTTATCAAATAAACGACTGGGCTTGACTATTGTCAACGACAAGTAGGCAGTCACTGAGAGTAAGGTCTTTAAGGGAGAATTCTACATGCATGAGAAATCGACTTCCTAACTTCATCGATGCCAAAAGGAATCCCCTTGGACGGACACGAGGTGACGATAGGCGGTAAGCATGTTGGGGCAACGCGAAAGATATCTTGCTCGATCTGATTGATTTGAGTGCGACCGTTTGACCCCAGTGCGTCGGCCCTAGTTATGATTGCTTGAAGTGTCCAGCAGATACCATCGTGCGACTGGATCTGAGCATTCAACGAAGAAAGCATTGCCTCATCCGTAGCAGTCATACCATGGGCAGCGGATATCAAGATAAAGACGCGGCATAACCTGTGACACAGTGTAAAATGTAAATAAAATGGCATGGGAAACTTACTGTTTCCGAGTTTCTAGATAATGGTTGAACAAGTCACCCCACTCGGCTCGGCCCCTGGCACCATATCCCGGAGAGTCGACGACGACCAAACGACCAGGGGGAGATCCAACACGAAAAAAGTTGAGTGTTTGCGTTCGGCCCTGCGCAAAATTAGTATGTAGTAAAATACAGCATCAAGTCCACAACGACTCACAGCTTTTTTGCTAGTGAAAAGAAGATCTCTACGCCCAATCACAGAATTAAGCAAGGATGATTTTCCAACATTTGCTCGACCTGTTACAACTACCTTCACAAGTCTGCATCATGTGGAGTACTCGGCATCTAAGCGACTTACCTCAGGAAGCCCACCTAGCAAAGAAAGAGATTCTTTGTCACCAACAGCAGCGAGAAATTCTGCGGACTTCGCATCCCTGAAAATAACATTGGCTCTGGACGATATACACCTTCCGCTGATACCAGTCTGTAGCGTAGGAAGCACATGAAATGATCTCGAAATCGCAGCTACATTAGGGATGGATGCGAGCATGGAGAAGAAAGAAATTGGATGCTGTTATGGTTTATTGAAATCACAAGCTAGGCTCTAACAAATATACACAAATGCCATCAACGCCTTGGAGTTGTAGTACATGCCTTCTTGAAGTCCGACATCTGGTATAATCGTCATGGACCCACTCGCCGGAATGGACGATTCTACAACCGACGATGATAATGCTTCTCAAACAACTGAGGACGACCCTCAAATACCAGACAATCATCCTCCCGCACCACAACCTCCCCAGCCTGCACCCCAGCCGGTCCCTCAAGCGCTTCCACCGGCAACATCAGGCATGCGAAACAGGCCAAATTACGAACTTCGTCATACACTAAGGGGACATACGCAATCTATATCTGCCGTCAAATTCAGTCCTGATGGAACGCTACTTGCATCTTGCGGTTCGTATACAGCTCGCTAGGACCGGTTGTATTTGAAATACGTTTTGTTTGTGTAGCCGCAGATAGTCTGGTAAAGATATGGTCCCCGTTCACAGGAGAGTTGATCAGAAACTTGAGTGGCCATACCAAAGGACTCTCAGATATCGCGTGGTCGACAGATGGTGTCTATCTCGCATCAGCGTCTGATGACACCAGTGTACGTATATGGAACGTTGATTCTGTGAGTCTTCAATGAAAGAATTATTCTCTTGTCGACTCATACTGCAAGCCAGGGATTAACGACGAAACATCTCAAAGGGCACTCGAGTTTCGTGTTTTGTGTAAATTACAACACAGCGTCCAACCTCCTTGTTTCTGGAGGTTGTGATGGTGATGTTCGAATATGGAATGTTGCAAGAGGTGCGCAAAGACCGCTTACATTCCGCTGTTCAGTCTTTCACATCAAGCCAAGGAAAATGCATGAAGACTCTACATGCCCATCTTGACTATGTTACTGCCGTGCACTTCAACAGAGACGCCACCCTGATAGTCTCTTGTGCTCTTGATGGGCTAATGTGAGCGCAACATATTACTTATTTATCTGTCTGACACAACCGCAGCCGGATATGGAACACCACAACCGGTCAATGCTTGAAAACTCTCGCTGAAGGACACGATGCTGTATGGTATGTCCGTCAGCTGCCACGGCTCGTTTCGTTCCGTAATCTCTTATGGATCTTCAGCCAACACGTGCAATTCTCGCCCAACTCCAAGTACATTCTCTCAACTGCTCATGACAGTGCGATCAGATTATGGGACTATCACACGTCGCGCTGTTTGAAAACATATACGGGTCATCGCAACGAGAAGTTCTGTATAGCGGCCTGTTTCAGTGTTACTGGAGGGAAATGGATTGTTTCTGGGAGCGAAGACCAAAAGGTTTATATATGGGATCTTCAAAGTCGTGAGGTGGTGCAAATTCTTGAAGGACACGAAGGTGAGAATCATATTTCCTTACCGAGTTCGACAACTCAATTGGGTGTCCAGGTGTCGTTGTCGCTGTGGCTACTCACCCACAGCAAAACATGATTGCGTCTGGCTCCATCGAGCCAGATCTTACAGTTCGCATATGGTCCGATCGTGGGTCGACATGCTGATCGACGGTGACAGATGTGCATTGCCTTGTATGCCTAGTTCTAGTATCGGTTTATTTGTCGTGTACACTATCCTACACTTGATATATAACTCGCAAATGCATGGGAAGCCGAACAATAGCAGAAACGTGTGAAAGTTTTAGCACCGTTTACTTGACAGGTTCAGCATTAAGAAGATCTGGGTTTGATTGAACGCGATCAGAAGTTAGGTATACAAACGAAAACCAATATCTTACCCTTTGCCATCTCCTTGTCTGCTTCAGTAAGCCCTGAATCATGGGCCTCCAAAAAGGCATCCACCTACGTACGGCATGAGTATCATCGAATATACTTGCATGAAGAAAAACCACTCGCCTCGTCCAGAACTCGATCATCATCTTCGCCATGAACCATGTCTAAATCACTATCATCGTCATCGTCACCTGCGTCGTCGATAGCAAACGGCGTGCGCTCCATGAATGCCGCATTGACCGCTTTGAGATGGGGCATCGGAGAAAACACCGAGCCAGATAACGGACCATTGTCGTGGATGGATGACGTATCGAGAGTTGAAGATGAGCTCGGTGCTACCCCAGTATCCAAGGAACTTCCCGAGGAGGTGGTCTTGGTCGGTGGAGAAATGAGCGACTCCCGGGCTGTCGGTTCTTCAAGTTTTGTGAATCGTCCGATTGTAGGACGATAGATAACCTGCAAGCCGAACGTTAACTTTGTCCCGTAATGATTATACCAACTGCCATACCTGATGCTTGCCTATGGTCTTGCCAAGCTCGTCGCTTAATCTGTTGAACATCCTCTTGTTGTCCTGGGTAGCGATGTTAGACCACAAATCGCCCAAGAAGCCACTTGATGCCGGAGGTAACTCAAGGTCAGGAACGGGCTCCAGCCTGAACGAGGCAGAAAGATCAGTTTCGAAGAACGACTCCAAGACCTCGTCAGCTAGAACGACCATCCGGAACCTGTCAAGTGTAAGATTGATTGTATGTGGTCATACGGGGTCGCGCACGTAGCAAGGTTGAGGTATGGCTGGTTGTGCCCGATCTCTCGAGGTTCTGCTGCTCCGGTCTTGCTATCGGTGTACTGTGGCAGAAGACTATCGCCATACTCGAAAGCGTTGGTCATAAATTTGCTGACGGCTCCTAGGTAGGCATCGCCGATCTCATGACGGAAAATGAACTATGGCTAGTCAGCCTTGAACGTCAGCAGAAGTGGACAGACTGACAAGAAATGATTCGGAAAGGGTCAGGACTTCATCCTTGGTTAAATACCCATCTTTATTCTTGTCATGCAGATTAAAGAACCACTCGATATTCTCCATCAAATCATTGAACATCACACCATCTAGACCAGATACGAGATCCTAGAGGCATTTGTAAGCATTAAACTCTTTGCTTCATCAAGAAACATGCCTGAAACGACAAAGAGCCTTTGCACGAGGTGTCCCAAAAATAAAAGAGACGGTCGATGAGCTCATGTTCTGCAACCTCGCGGTCAATGCGTTGCTTTATTCGTGTCAATGTCAGCAATCGAGACATAAGACATAAAGATCGTAGAACTACCTGGAAACCATTGATTACAATCTTCTCGCTCCGTGCCCAGGTCAAAATTTCACTGAGGAAAACGTGGAAAGTCGGTATACCAATCCTAGTCTCTGCTTTCTCTTGGTTTCCATCAGCCGTGGTCAAGAGCGATGGCGGTGGAGCAGCAGCCGGTGGCGGTGGAATTTCACACATGGCCTTGTACAAAGCATCGTATATGAACCCAGCTTGTTCTTTGGTGAATCTTGCGAGTGTCTTCAGGTTTCTCACCGCCGAGCGCTTAGAGAAGGATTCGATACTGTTGACGATTTCGTTTCTATACTTTCTACGTTCGGAGAGAATCGTCTCATCAGAAATCACAGCGAACTCCCGGAACGAGATAAGAAGTAGTTCTTGGAAGCGTGTGATTGCCCTTGTTCGAGGGTCTGCAGACTCTGGATGCGCAGAGTCACCAAGCGAGGCGAAGTATTCGCGCATCAAGCTAGTCGTAGTGAGCATAAGCCGTCAAAGGTTGAACTCAACTCACTTTAAGAAGCCTCCATCGTCCTGTATTTGCAATAGCTTTTCACCATTAATCTTAAGAATGGCTTTGCTCTACAAGTTAGGTGGGTATATTTAATTGCAAGCGAGGTGCACTGACCTAATCTGACAAGTCTGTGAGTTACACAAAAACAGGAAATGACAAAGAAAAACTCACCCTACTTGGAAGAGCACTTTCGGACCCATGCAGAAGAAGCAGTCTGCAATGCGAAAGGCAAAAACCATAGGCATACTATTGATGTACCTGGGAAGAGCGAGTCATGTCTGGCGTAGAGCATAAATTGTCATGAACACCAACAAACTCAAGAACCATGGCAAAGAAGCGACCGAGAGCTGTACATCAACCGCCTGGAAGTGATCGCTTATCATTGGCAAGCACCGTGTCACAAGAGACTCAAAAACTCGTTGATCCAGGAGTGTTCCATGCATAGTTGGGCTAGATGTATTTAGTGATAGTAACAGCATATCGTTGAGCAGGACATACCTGTAGTAGCCAGGCAGAAGTCTATCGCACAGAACTTCAAGAAGCCAGAATGCTTGCTCTTCTGACATGTAACTTCGCCAATATTAGATATATATGTTCCGTGAAAGTCAAACACTTACATTAGAATCGCAGCTGCCAGTATATTCATCGCCTAAACATGAATCAGACTCAATGAACGGTAAAACATGATGCAAGCGCACTTGACAATAGCCGACTTCTGGGTTCCTGTGCGAGTAGGCTTGCAGTACTCTACGGAGAGCGCTGATGCCCTCGTCAGCTTGGTAGCCTGCATATTCCGGAAGACTCCTATGCAAATCCTTCTCAATATCCTCAAAACTTGTGCTGTTCGTCCCCCGAATGTCCAACAGTAATTGATCGTACAATCCAGGATTGGAGAAACGAAGATATATAGATCCAGACAAAGTCTCCCACATCTCACCACGAAGACGATTAGGGAGGCCGACCTGAACCAATCGAGTACACTGTGGGTATCTTAGTAATGTAAGATTGCGGCCGTGATCTACATCATGGTCAATCGTTTCAGATGAAACACAAGTATAAGGCGTACTCTTTAAATACGTCGTCCATAGCTTGATTTTTGAAGCCTCGCGCAACCTGAAACACGTTAGTGCAAGGCATAAAGCGCGTATAAAAATATCAACTTTTTTGGGTCACCAGGGAACTTAAACTGCAACCCTAAACCACCATGAAATTCTGTTTCTGGAGGCGGACATCCTTCTTTTGTCTCTGTGATAAGACTTCCATCCTCCCGCTCGTTGTCTGAGATACCCGATAGCGATACAAGCCCCTCAGAGTAGCAAGTTTTCACAAAGCCCTTCACAGCTTTCATCTGACCACGCTGCAGCTCCGCTTTGAGTGCTTCCCGCAAGAGACTGCAAAATAGGTCGGCGGTGGGTCGAAGGGAAGTTAACTGCACAATCTAAACAGGCGTTAATGATGGCATCAGATGGTATCGATGTCACTTACTATCTTCATGCCGTGCCAAGTGGAGAGACTCAAGGCATAAACTCCAGCACGCGCATTAAGACGTTCGACGCGTCGTACTGTAGAGAGGGGCAATGTAAACTTGACTGACTTGCGATCCAGGGAGGAAAATGCGAGATATGGTGGAAGCAAGTGTAGCTTTCCTGCCTGAGTGAAATTGAACGATGAGATATCGTACGTAGATGGGGACATGCCACATACATACGAGTCCTCCACTTCTTGTGCACCAAAGCTGAGAATGGCGTTGATCTCCATATTCTCTATATCTCCAGGACCACGTTTCTCCGTGTCCTTGGGAGGCACAGAAGGTACCTCCGGTATTGAGAAGAAAACATGAGTCAACTGATCCTTAGTAGGTTCCTTGAAGTTGCGCAGCTGAGTGGATATTGTCGACATAATAACAGACACTGTCAATGCTTGAGCACGCTCTTGGAATTGCTCTCGATGAAATCAGGAGCACAGTGCCCAACCTTGGACGGCGCAAGAAAGAGAAGATGAGTCCGACAATATGAAAGCTCAGCTTCGTTAGATGGACTGTGCTACTAACTCGGGTTGTGGTGGCGATGTTATAAGTCCCTCCGTTGCAGTGCAATTACAAATAGAGCCAGCTCTAGCCTAAAACATCCATCACTCTCGTTTAGCGCTTGCCAATGTCTAGCGTTCAAAATCCATAAGTCATATAATTGAGGCCATGCTGCTGCGCAATACAGCACCATTCTTTTGTTCGCATCACTGGCTGTAATATTACTTCAACGCGGTTGAAGTCGTATCTCCTAATCCATAAGAACCCGAGAGGATATATTACAGCATCGCGAGCAACAAAAGACGAAAGTGGTTCATGTCAGAAAACGGGAAACTTTCGAGGACTAGGCTATTTGCCAAAGGATGGTCCCAAGGAAGAGTTGACACACGAGGCGTGTTTTGTGGATTTCCCGCCTCCTCACCAACTCATCTTGCATGTACTCCTTGTTTTGCTACTGAACGGTCATTCAGAATTTCAGACAGTGATCCCTGCCCAAGATTAATTCTGTACGCAAGACACAGCATACGATTTTTTCCTGGGAATGAATGATGTGCGTGTAACAGTGCATCCCTTGTATCTCATCCACATCATTTGTTGCAGCATATTTCCCAACAATCCTGGCTACGCCCGCCGGAACCTCAAGAGGCTCGGGCTTGCTGTTGCGACTACCCCCGTTCAACTATACCGGCGCATATAGCCATATTTTTTACTGCTCCCATCACATTCAAAGCCCATAATTATCGACGAGGCGGCATGCTCACACATCATACAGCACCGCCCAGTGTTGCCGAGCTTCCTTTCGCGAAGACTCAAGAGGTGAGCCCGATTCATTGATCACTGTTCACTTCATGTGTAAATCTTCCAGCGCACCGTTGCAGCTGGTGATCCTGGCCTAGAAAAAGACTTGGTACCTGATGAATATTTCGATCAGGACCCTGTGTCAAATCAGCAGTTCTCTTCCATAGCAGGTCAGACTACTAACTCGGGAGAACATGGAATTGCCCGTCGTGTTCTTGCTAGATTCAAATGAATTCCTTTGAGCTAGCAAAAGCACTTGGCCTTTCGTTACGTCCTCATTCAAAGCCGTGGCAGTCACCTGGAACATGCAGTACGCATACAAGTGTCCGTAATGTTTGCATATGAATGGAATTGTCGGCTCCAATAATGACCCTTACCAGGGGTTTTGAGTCTGGAGGGTAGAAGGCCAGGAAGACCAATACTTCCCCCTCATTTCCATGCAGGAATTTGAGTGGAAAAGAATGCAGTTTTGTTGATGATACGCTGCACATGTTACCGATTTCTACATAAAACACAATACAAGTATCATATTACATCTCTAAGAGCCGACTGCATGTGGATAGTACAAACGGGTGACACTGATCAAGATTGAAGTAAGCAGGATGACTGCGAGACGATGTTTAGTCTGTTTTATGCATCCACAAAATCCAATCATGCATGAAGACTCCGTCAAACTTGCAAGCGCTGGAAAAATTTGCATCGTAGAGACAAGATATGCGACGCAATACGTTGAAGCCGAAATATGAACCCTCTCATGAAACGATACGCATAGGGACGGTGTAGTAATCGGGGTGATTCTAAACAAATACTCTCTTAGGCTTCAGCCATGGACTGGAACCTGAAGGCACAGTGAATCGCGGTACACGCATCTCAGACAGAGAATTTACCCCGAAACGGTGAAGTCAGTCGTCAGCGGAGGCGCTTTAGCCGACGAGGAGTTGTCACTGTTCCCAACGAATGAGACTGGTGACACATTCAGATGGAGAAAAAGAAAAACCTTTCACAATCGGGCGAAGGACGGAGGAGCGAGAGGACCACTTGGCTAGATGCAATCGTGCTGCAAACGAAAGTACTAGGTCATACGTCTAAACCGGAAATCGTAACGAGAGTCCTGACCAGACGCATACCGCTTTCAAAAGGTCAGCGACATAAACTGAGTCAAACAAACCATGGGCACATACCAGGCATTGAGAATATAGCATTCATAATAGCTGACGATATAGAGCAGGTAAGCGTTTGCAATGCAGTGAAATAGTCTTACGATTCAGGTTCAAACGATTCAGGACCTACAAAGTTTGGTCTGTGACAGCCCTGTAGAGTAACAAGGAACACACCAGTAGGATCATGTTTACTAACACATTGAGAAAGAAGTATATCACCCCTTGTTTCACGAGCGTCTTCCATAGCGTAGAAGACGATGGCACCCTGGAAAGTCCAATAACGGTAAGGACCACAAGTACCAAATCATACAACATGGCTATACCCGGGGTATTGATTATCACATATCCATTGATCATAAATGTGATATGCGTACTATATATGACCACCGCACTAGCATATGCAGGGTTGGTAAAATGGATCATGCACAATCCGTTTGTGGTAAATGCACGAGTGGTTACAACGACTGGAAAATGGTTGGACACATCACACTAGAGGGCAGCAAATACGCACAGAGAGTGAGAATTGTCCAATAACCTAGTGATGTGAGGACTAGGAAGAGGCGCAGCAGGTAATTGGTTTTCCAGATAAGCCACCTACATATATACCATGAGATCGAGCATGATGTGAGGGATAATCAAGGATTTACGTTCTGATCATCAGATTTGTCGCAGAGCAACCGATGGCAACGTTTGTCACAAGCTAGGTAATATGATGGTAAACCAGCAACCTCGAGGGTGCTCCCGTACTCACCATGATGACGGAATTCATGCCTAAAACGAGGTAAGCCTCCTCAACAAAGATTAAAATATACAAAACACTCACTCTGACAATCAACGCTTGTGTGAAAGGGACTAAATTGCATCGCACTGATAAAGGCCGTTAGTGTGCTTGTCACTTCCTCTACGTTGGCTCACAGTAAAACTGTCACAATCAAGAAGCTGAGTCTGGCGGTGATATACGAGAGCTGGGCATGTGTAAGTGGCAAGCTTCTACCGTTTCCTTGAGAATACGCACCAAAGGCCATCGAAATGGAAACTGCCTCCGAAGCAGTGCTACCTCGACGTGTGAAGAGCGTATATATTCCCAACTACAGACGCGGACGCAGGCTAATTGGTACCACATTTAAGACATTACAACGCGCAGCACTCACCCATATAAGCCAAAGATGGCATAAAACAACTGTACTGAAAGTGTCCCCAATTTCGCCTGGAGGTCGGCATCATTCCAGTCCACCATAGCAAGAATTGGGTAGAAATGGTAGATATACGTTGAGGGCGTTGTGGGAATGATACCCTGTTGACTAGAAAAATCTCCGGCTTATTAGGACGAAAGGCAGAGTATGTACATACATCCATGTCTCCCACATCAACGTTTTCAACCCTGTAGAGCATCTGCGGTAACCAATCATATGATACAAGCCCTCAAGATACCCATGACCCTTCATTTACCTTGGTCTTGGCGCCATTAGATCACCACAATAAATGCGTATCAGTTGAAGGTCAAGGATGAACGATGCGGTCCCACCTAGAATTTCCTCCGTAAGTGCCAGAGACCATGCATTCGTAGAAGTAGTGTCTGCAACTAGAAGAGCATCTTGGTGGCTTGAGCGTCAAAGGCAGGGTCAAAGCAAAGAAATTATCACGAGTTTGTTAAACTGTCAGGGAAATATTTTTCTTGCTGTAAGGCAAGCAGGGGTTGCATCCGTTCTCAATGAAAGGTGAGTAGGGATGGAATGGCATTTACACAGGTATGTCATGACGTTAACTTGACGTTTAACGGTTTTACCCAGGGTATACTGTACGCGGCGGGGATTGGCGCGCCTCAATAACTTATTCACTTAGTAAATTGACGATAATTGAATAACGACATATAGGTTGATCATTTTCACTTACCAGGTACCTGATGCCATAGGCAACCTACTCGAAGCTCTTATGTCTTTTCCTAGATGTGGCTATCAACGTGGCTGTCACTTTCGTTCTCATTCGTTACAGTAGCCGAAACCCACCTTAAGATTGACCCTTCAGCTCGCGTTTATAATCATTGACCAGGAGACATGGTCTTGCAGCCTTTTCAAACATGAGTACTGAGTCTCTGTACATCAAGGCGCAACGAATTTCCGCTCCGGGTTGGATTGGTATGAATCGAACTTCCACTCAAGCAGCATTTGAGCGAGTCTTGCGTGACGCATTGGGAAAGGGTCATGTAGGACACCCGTCGCAAATACTAACTTTATTTCTGAACGTTGAGCTTTAACGTTCGATGGTTTTGGATAAGTTAACGGTCATAGTGGAATTTGACCCTAATTGTCATTCGGAGTAAATAATGTTAACTGACCACCAACCCTGGTCCAATGCACGTTCAACGTTCATGTCAGTTTTGTGTATTTCAAAGTCCGATTGATACCGTGGCCCGTGGGAACTACTATGGGAGGTGACGGAGTTATGGTTGCACACCATGCATGAACGAATTGACGACTCGGAGAACAGTACTTGTGTTGACGAAAACACGATTGACGACACAGAAAATGTAATGCAAGATGCGATGCACAGACGATGCAGTGTCATTGAAGATTATACAATATTTTACACTATTCTGACCGTTTTGGCCATGTCCAGTTTTCACTGGGGAATCAACAAGCTTGGTTCTCTCCTGAGAACTAGTCCAGTGTGCACAACCTTGTAGGAAATGATCTGTCCAGGATTCTGGTAAGGTCTACTACTAGTAGTACTGCCTTGGTGGTTGTGGAGAAGGGGCTTTGGGAATAGTCACGTCAGCCCAATTTGTCATCCGGGGAAACTTCAATTGGTCGCTCTCGTCCTCATCAAGCTCACTGTCGACACTATGCCCACGACCACTCATCCTTTCCGAAATACAGAAAGCCTTCTTGTCGTCATCCCAGACGATAGAATCGACGTCGAAGCAGAAGCGCGATTGTATGACGAGTTGTGTGACGTTCGTTTCTTCACTCTTTGCCGTACAAAATACTTAACTGACCCTGTCTAGGATCAAATATCCATTCGCCCATCCACCCGGCCCAAATCTCCTCAGGAACCACCCTCTATTTTCTCTCGTGACATCTGGCTGAACGACAACTCTGGCACGAGTCTTGCTTTTGCCCGAAACGTACATATTGCGGGGTGGACGAGCGTGGGTGATAAGCTGGGTGGGGCTTATGTTGTGTATGATTGTGTGATTCGCACAAAAGAGGTTCGCATGCCTTCTATGTTATGGCTCAGCTCTCAGATCAGAGGTGACCGTAAATAGGATACTACTATCCACGCACACAAACGGTATAGTGATTTCGTGCTGTTGTACGATGCTCTGAAACATTCATTACCTGTGCGTCCTCCCCTTGTTCTATTTCAATAAAGTCTCAGTACTCAGTAACCCCGTCAGAAACATCAACATCATTTCATCCCAGCCCTCCCTCCGAAATATCCCTTATCGCGGTACCGAGCAGCTTTCCTCGATCGTCGCCGGAGACAACTACAGTACTGGCTCTCTGCGGTTCTCCTACACCCCGAGATTGGTGCATGTCAGACTGTAAGATGGTGGGTTATGGATTAGGCATCCATTATGCATAGTAGCACGCGGAGTGCCAAGTATGAGCTGTGACGGTGCGGATAATGTCTTTCTTTCTTTATTGCTGTTTATTCCGGATACTACCTACTTACGACTTACTCTGCCTATGATATATTTATCAGACTAAACACGCTTCGCCGCGTTCGTCTCCGATACACATGGTTCCAAGTGTTCGTTCACCAGAAGCAAGGCAGCACGCGGATATGTGCTGCAGCTCGTACTCTTTTCTGCCCAATCGCAAACTCCATGGATGAGACATTACTAATTCCCTTTTTTCGACTCCCGGGTCAATGTGCTATTGGCCAACTCGTCATCCAGGGGTCGCCAGCGCTTGCATGCCGGTATTCAGTCAGTTTCTCGATATTTGAAGTATTTGGTCCATTCGATCCTAATCTTGTTCAACACCTGCTGTGACTATCATAGCACCAATAGAGCTCGTTGAGTCATCTTGAAAGCTGGGGGGACGTAGGTTGGACCCATGCTCAGATGCTTATGATAAGAGCTTCGTGTCTCGGGCGTTTTGATTATATTGTGAAGCATGAGAAAACGCCCATGTGCACCTCTGCAGTTCCACTCACTATCCTTCTCTCTCTTTGTCCACCTCAACCTCCAGTAAAAATGCATTTCATTTCAGGTACCTCGCCCGTTCGAGCGTTAAAGATCATAGTGGAGCGGCACTCTCAGTCGCAGTATTGCCTGATAGGCGACACATCAGTCACAGGCTCGTACAACAAGATTCTTTGTCTGCATGACTTCGAGATAGGCGCAGTCTTTGAAGAACATGGTAGAATATCGCAGTGGGGCGCAGAGCGGGAGATCATCACCTGGCACGGAGAAACTGTACTCGCGCGCTGAAGCCATGTAAGTCCACTTTGCTCATTAAAATTTCTCCAGGATGAGATGGAGTTTCGTCGCTTGTTCGTTGGATCGAAGTACTAAGCTATGGAATAAGGAGACATGGCTGACGTCACTACGCTCGATTGATTTTCGGTGGGAAGGAAATCCAGTCCAGTGTAGTAGTACTGTGATGGCCGCTGCGTTGAAGTGCGTTCGATATTCGTTATCCGGTGAGCGTCTTGCGATTGCAGCAGAGTCCAGACAGTAATATCTAATTGATAACCCAAGCGTGATCTATTGTCACGAGTACCTCATACGAACCATTATTCTTTTCTGAACTCTAAGTCATTTAAGTGCTCAGACAAAGCGCCTGTCCATAAGAATGTATTTACGGTTGAAAATGTGGAAGAGGATGCATCTGTGGTTGCGTCTATTGTAGAATTACCTAACGAGCACGTGATTGAGTCACGTGACTTATCGGAATATGCCGGACTAAACTTTATACCACGTACACCTGATGCGATGTTCCAGAACCTGTCGGTTGCTGCGGCACGTGTTATGACATCATAGGTTATATATAGAATCGTACGATACTGGCTCTTATTATTTGATTGGTAGTTAGTTTGAACTCAGCTTCAGTCTCCGACTTAATATATGTATATAGGTAGCTAGTTTGTAGTCGGTAGTTCTTTAGTTCAAACCTCTCGTCTGTACCTTACTGGTACCAGCCCAGACGTACTTGCTCAATTCTATCTTCTTTGTTTGACTATCTTGTTGTTTGAGTCCTAGTCTCTGCCCAGCATTAATTCGTTATTGGGTTGTGACATTAGGTTTGAACTATAGGAGACTCCGACTCTTGCGTTACACTCTCGCACTTCTCTTTCTTTGCCTGGCTATATTGGAAGTCATCCATATCGTCACGCAAACAAAGCCGTTTATCAATTACTCTTTGACCTCTCGCTATTACGTGTCTCCAACAGCATATTGCCTCGGACGCACGTACTAGTAAGACGTTACACGTTTTCCATTGCCCGGTCTAAACAACCGCGACCAGTCGATTTTCGAAAACCTTTCCCTTGCTCATTTGAGCGTCTTCGTACTTTACACCGTTCCTAGCTAGTAGTCCTATACCAGGCCCTGCCTTACATTGCAGCCGCCAGTATACGGAGGTGTTGACGACATTAGGCGTCTCGCTACAACTTGGAGTGCTGGCCCAAAACCCTGCCTGCTCCACGTTACTATAGTTTCCTTTTACGAAATACCCTTTTCTTCATACGCACGTAGGCATCCACTTTGAGTAAATAGCGGAATTGTCTAGTGGTTACATATTGCATTTGACCTAAGAGGATTTAGAGGCATTCCCTAGTGAGACTCGCACTTGTAGGCTCCGGCCGGAAGAGTGATAACTTGTCCTAGGTTTGCACCCTCGAAACGGAGATTGCAGTGACCCTAGTTTTTCCCACTCAAATGGGTATAGTTTACGTACTCCCGTTTATAGTCAGTAGATAGAGGAAGCGTCAGTGTGGGATATTACCAGAACCCCTTGACCCTGAGCCAGTGGTAGATCCGATCAGATATCGGGGACCGCTTAGTTTTCCTTTACATAGACTTTTTCACATTTGATCTTTATCATCATTTTCCTTATCCGGAGTAGCCCTTACGAGCAGCTACTCAAACGACATCAGTGAATCGGGTTCCAGAATACAACTGGCACGATGTCGTCATCTACTTCTCAGATTCCATGCAAGTTCTTGAGAGATATTGGCAATTGCTGGTTCGGTGCGAAATGCCGATTTAGCCATATCTTCGAGTGCAACAACTGCGGAGAGAAGGGCCATTTGGCCAAAGACTGTCGAAGGAAGATTCCGATTCAGGATCAGAAGATACCACCGAAGTGGTTCACTGAATGGAGAGATTCGGACGTTGGCAGAGAGTTTACAGGGAGACCTCCGAAATGGTTCGAGTTTTGGTTGTCAACAGATATGGGCAAAAAGATCGTCCTGACAATCAAAAAAGAAGAAGCCAAGAGGTCAGTGGGGGCGCCCAAGTGGTTTACAAGGTGGTTGACCACGGAAGGCGAAAAGAACGAAAAAGGAGCGAAGCCAAAGACCGAGGGCTTAGATCCTAATAATAAATACTCGATCTTATCAAACTACGCGGATGTCGAAGAAGTGTTTCTTAAAACGAAATCAGAACACTTTTACATTCCCGTTACACTGAAAGGAAAGAATCGGCAAGCCGAAGTCAAAGCACTGGTAGATTGCGGTGCTTCAACACTATTTATAGATAAAAAGTTTGTGGAAAAGAAAGGGATTTCGTGTCGGAAGTTGGAGAGACCGATTCCTGTTAAAAATATTGATGGCTCGTTGAACGCAGCCGGATCGATGACTCACTTTGCTGAGTTAGGTCTGAAGATCGGAAACCATGAAGAGGAAAAAGCAGCATTCATGGTTACAGACCTCGGCAGTGATGACGTAATTATTGGAATTGATTGGTTAAGATATCACAACCCGGAAGTAGACTGGAACGCAGGACGTTTCTCTCTCACGCGTTGTCCCGTTAAATGTATGACAAAAAAGGAAAAAAGAATACAAAACCGAGAAAATAGAAAAAATGTAAGAGGCACTTTGCCCGATCTGATTCCGACGGAGGATGACGATGATAAAGAAGACCCGAAGAGGGCACGAGTTGAAGTGGCAGAAGATGAGGAAGATCCAGTAGAATGGATAAGATATAAAGCCTCGGTTGCCACGGAACAGAAGGTTGCAGAAGAAGCAACGAAGGTGAAGAAATCGGTTGAAGAGATGGTTCCCGATTGGCTTCACGATTACCTGGGAGTGTTCTCAGAAGAAGAATCTAAGCGCTTCCCTGAAAGAAAGAAATGGGATCATGCGATAGATCTTAAAGATGATGGCGATCTTCCGCCAAATGCGAAACCCTACCCTTTGTCACCCAAGGAGATGGACACTTTGAAAGATTGGTTGAAAGCTGAAACCGCACTGGGACGTATTAGAGAGTCACAATCCCCAGTGGCAGCACCTTTCTTCTTTGTGGCCAAAAAAGATGGCAAACTTAGACCGGTAATGGACTATAGAAAGCTCAATGAGAAGACGGTTAAAAATGCGTACCCGCTACTGAGATCTCAAGATTTGATTGATGCTTTAACCGGTGCCACGATGTACTCCAAGATGGATGTACAATGGGGGTATAACAATATTCGCATGAAAGAAGGAGACGAGTGGAAGGCGGCCTTCAAAACGCCGTTTGGTCACCATGAACCAACCGTAATGTACTTCGGTTTAACGAACTCCCCTGCCACGTTTCAAACGATGATGAATGAGATATTCAGAGATCTAATTGATGGAAAGACCGTAGTTGTCTATATTGATGATATTCTCGTATTCACAAATGGCGATAAGGAGCAACACTGGAAGGTTGTACGTGAGGTACTGAAACGACTAAAAGAGAACGATTTGTATCTGAAGCCTGAAAAATGTAGCTTCGAACAGTCGGAAGTCGAGTTCCTCGGGTTGATAGTGGAGAAGGGTGGTGTTCGGATGGACCCTGTGAAAGTAGAAGGAGTAATGAAATGGCCGGTACCTAAATGCGTTAAAGATATTCAAGCGTTCATGGGTTTTGCCAACTTCTACAGAAGATTTATTTTTGGGTTCTCGGACATTGCTAGACCGATGAATGATTTATTGCGAAAAGATGTCAAATGGGACTGGACGGAGAAGCAACAGGATGCTTTCGATGAACTGAAGTCAAGGTTCACAACAGCTCCGATTCTAGTCATGCCGGACGTTGAGAAAAAGATGAAAATAGAGACCGATGCTTCTGATTATGCAACTGGAGCGGTCTTATCTCAACTGATGGAAGATGATATGTGGCATCCCGTAGCTTATTATTCGAAGTCAATGAACGATGCGGAACGAAACTACGACATCCATGACAAAGAATTATTGGCAATCATTCGAGCGTTGGAGGAGTGGAGGCACTATGTGCAGGGAAAGCCTCACCATGTGGAGATCTGGACGGATCACAAGAATCTCGAGTATTTTATGACGAGTCAAAAGTTGACAAGAAGGCAAGCTAGATGGAGTTTGTTCCTGGCGGAGTACGAATTTACGCTCCAACACAAGCCTGGTGTAGTCAATGATAAGGCAGACCGTCTATCTCGGAGAGAAGACCACAGGGGGGGAATAGAAAACGACAACTCAAACCGTATTTTGTTGAGACCGGAGTTTTTTACTGTAAAAGCTGCTAAAAGAGGCCAAGTTCTAGTGCAAGGAGAAGAAAAATTACTGAGAAAGATAAGGCAATGCACAGAAAAAGAGCCCGAAGTAGCTAAAGCGCTAGAAACGCTAAAAGCAGCACCGGTACAATTGCGTAGAGGAGTCGAAGAGTGGAATGTGGAGGATGGATTGGTGTTATTTCGAGGACTGGTTTACGTTCCAAATGATAAAGAGATCCGCCGAGAGATATTGGAGTTGTTTCACGACTCTCCACCGGCTGGACATCCTGGACGTGCCAAAACCTTAGAATTAGTTTCCAGAAATTATTGGTGGCCTTCAATGACGAAGTATGTTCACGACTATGTAGATTGTTGCGATCGATGCAGACAAACAAAGGTGTTCCCGAGTAGACCAACCGGACCCCTGCAGCCAAATGAGATCCCTAGTGGACCTTGGCAAACAATCTCTTGTGACCTGATAGTGGACCTGCCAAAAGATAAAGGATATGACAGCATATTTGTGGTGGTTGATAGATTTTCGAAACAGTCACACTTTATTCCCACCACAAAAGAAATAACCTCAAAAGGGATTGCTGATCTTTTCCTGGAAAATGTATGGAAACATCATGGAACGCCAAAGAAAGTGATATCGGACAGAGGAACACAGTTTGTTTCCAAGTTTATGGGAGAAGTGTCAAAAAGATTAGGCACAAAATGGTCAATGTCGACCTCGTACCACCCCAGAACAGATGGACAGACAGAGCGCGTTAACCAAGAAGTCGAACAGTACTTGCGCGTGTTCACGTCCTATAGGCAGAATGATTGGGTAAATTGGTTGCCAATTGCGGAGTTTTCACACAATAACTCGATAACTGCTACTGGGCACACCCCTTTCAAAGTCCTTTACGGATACAATCCTGATTTCACGATACATCCAAACTCTTCATCCCGAATTCCTGCAGCAGATGAGAGGATGCAACAAATGAAAGAGGCAAAAGATGATGCAGAAAGTACCCTCAGAATCGTGAACGAGAGAATGAAAAAGTTCTACGATAGAGGCGTTAAAGAAGCACCACAATATAAAATTGGAGACAAGGTCTGGCTTGACGCAAAGAATATTAGGCAAAGACGCCCGAATGCGAAGCTATCAGATAGACGCCTTGGTCCTTTTGAAATAGTGGAAAAGATTGGAGAATTGAACTACAAGTTGAAATTGCCAGAAGGATACGGCATTCATCCAGTTTTCCATGTGGAATTACTTTCACCGCATTATGTCTCAAAGTTGATACCTCATGCCGAAAATACCCGCCCACCACCAGAAATCGTCGAAAAAAGAGAAGAGTACGAGGTGGATGAATTGTTGGACAGTCGTATTTATAGAGGAAAACTACAATATTTGGTCAAATGGGAGGGATACCCAAGAGACGAAGCGACTTGGGAATCAGAAGATAACGTAAAGAACGCCCCGGAAGCTATCGCATATTTTTATGAAAAACACCCAAAAGCACCAAAATCGCAAAGAATCAAGGGATCGTTATTTAAATCAGAAGAATTCAAGGATTGGAGAGCACGCAATATTCGCCCTAGTTTCATTCGCGATGACGCTCATCCTAGAGAGGGGGTAATGTCACGAGTACCTCATACGAACCATTATTCTTTTCTGAACTCTAAGTCATTTAAGTGCTCAGACAAAGCGCCTGTCCATAAGAATGTATTTACGGTTGAAAATGTGGAAGAGGATGCATCTGTGGTTGCGTCTATTGTAGAATTACCTAACGAGCACGTGATTGAGTCACGTGACTTATCGGAATATGCCGGACTAAACTTTATACCACGTACACCTGATGCGATGTTCCAGAACCTGTCGGTTGCTGCGGCACGTGTTATGACATCATAGGTTATATATAGAATCGTACGATACTGGCTCTTATTATTTGATTGGTAGTTAGTTTGAACTCAGCTTCAGTCTCCGACTTAATATATGTATATAGGTAGCTAGTTTGTAGTCGGTAGTTCTTTAGTTCAAACCTCTCGTCTGTACCTTACTGGTACCAGCCCAGACGTACTTGCTCAATTCTATCTTCTTTGTTTGACTATCTTGTTGTTTGAGTCCTAGTCTCTGCCCAGCATTAATTCGTTATTGGGTTGTGACATCTATGCACCATTGCTGGCAGAGAATGCGCCGGGTTACTACACTAGTTTACACTGCTCGCCACTACGAATAATAGTGGAGAGCCCATTGCACAAGAACTATGACTAGGTGCTTCCAGGATGTGGTTTGGCAACAGCCCCGAATCCAAACAATCGGATGTATTACTCAACGCGGTCCAAGTGCACATGTTGACTCTAATGCAGACACCGATATCGTCCTCCGCAACCACCCCGAGAGCAGATCGTGCCTCTGCGCATTATGTTAACTAAGTTCGCAGGCACTTGACTTTGCATGTCAAATTTTGAGGTCTTGTATTTACGAGGACTGATTTGCAGGGTATGTATGATCTATGAGGCTATGATACTTAATGTGGTCATCGACGTGTTGCAAAAAATATACAGCTACAATATGTCTAGGGTCCTGATGTTCATAATGTCGATCGAAGCCGTGTCTTTCACCTGAGCAATGATGTTATGATCCGACGCGACCCTCTTGTATTCTCCAACGCGTTGCTGCGCTAGTAAAAGTGCGTTGAAAGCCTGCCCAAGGTGAACCATCAAACGCAATGATTGCGAGTGAACTTCCGAGCCAACTGACGACTCCTCTTCTCCAGATGAGTTGCTGGACCACTCGTCAGTGTCGTCTAATCCAGACTCTGACTCAGACCATTCCTCTGCGCTCTCCACTTCGTCTGAAAAGTCAGGCAGCTCAAGGAGGCGGCGATCCCATGGACGGACAAGAAAGAATGTCTGTCCAGTGGGCTTTACACGCGAGAACTGTTTTAGTGTCTCGTCCGTGGTGATCAGCAAGTTCCGAAGTCCATTTGCTTTCACTCCATACGTGGAATGAGCAGCGTCACCGCGCCTCCGTTTGACTTCTGTGACCCGGAATGCGATGCAAGGCAGACGGAGTCTGCTGTTGGCGAAGAGGGGAGCATTCATGTCCTCGAGCAGGTTATACAGTTTCGAAGCTGAGTCAACAGCCATGATGTTTCGCAACGAAGAGACCGCTGTCTGAATCTCATCCTCAGACAATGATGGTAGGGAGCATGGCGGGGTTGCATATGAGATGATGTCGGCTGGAAGGCAACTATTGAACTCGGACGATTGTCCGACCCAGTCCAGGGCGGTGATGTCGCCCGACCGAGACACGATATCCTGCAGGAGCCGCCCGAGCGCGCTCTGCTTCCTCTCACCATAGATGACAGGTAAGTGGACGTCGAAGATACCAAATAACGAGTACGCGGTGTCTTCCTGCACAGTGGTGACGCGCTTCGATGCCCATTGCAGTTTTTGTCTAGCATTTCTCACCCCTGGGTGGAAGGAGATCAGGGCCTGTGGATCTATTCCCGTCGCACCCTCCAACTCCTTCATGATTGCTGGGGACTCTTTGTGGTTGGGAGAACGATCGTCGAGATACAGTGACCAATCCTTCTGATAAAATATAACGACTTTCGGAGCCACTAATTCTTGAAAGGTCCATCCTCGCTCATTCCAAACACTGCTCGCCAGCGCGCCGGGTTGGGATGAAGGAGGGACATCGGATAGGTAGACTATGGTGAGCGCCGAGTGACGGTACCAGACGAACATGGAATTGACCGATTCTTGAAGCTCGACGTTGTTGCTCTTGTCGATGCAGCATGTATCCATCCACGCCCAGAAATACCCCGCGTCACGAGCGACTTTGCAGAACGACTGCAGTTTCGCGATGCCACCATGTCCCTCCAACTCGCGCACACCTTTATTTTGGATGTGGTACAGCAGCACCTCCATCTCCTCCCACCTGTGTGATAGCAAAACGCAACGGAAGTGCATCGCCACCACCTCCTTGATGCGTTCCATTTCGAGATCCGAACGCTTTGTTATGAATGACAAAAGTTCCTTGTATTCTGGACTTGTTTTGAAGGAGTCTAGCTGTGCTGCTCTGTCGCACAGAATCCCCGTAGAGGTGTTGAGCAGACGAAGCGGGGCGTTGCTGAGTTCAATTCCAACTGCTCTTCGAATAGCGTCTTCTGCTTCGGATGGACAGACGTACTGCTGACGCAGATCTACAGAACGAAATAGGCTTTTCGAGACGACGCAGGAGTGTTCCATAGCTTACCTCGTATTTCAGCTTCGGGAGCATCGTCCCACTTGGACAACATGATTGTGAAGGACTCCATGGCTTCATCGTAACGTTGTGCGCCACGCAGCGCTGCGTGCGCCAACTGGTACCCAATGTGAGACGAGGGATTGAGTTCGGTGACCTATGTATCGCCGAAGTCAACATGGGCTACGAAAACGTAGGTGCTACCGCACCTTATCCGCGTCGAGGAGTGCGTCCACCCATAGCATTTTACTTAAGTTTGCCTGGCTGCGATTTGCAAAGATGACATCAGATGCAGAATCCAGGTCGATCACCATGGAGTATAGGTCAATAGCCTGGTCGTAATCGCTTGCAGCCAATGCAGCATCTCCGTTGGCAGCGCAGAGTGCGCTGCATTCTTGCTTGAAATCTGAGAGAAATGTGGGTGAGGATTGTAGCCTGAGCGACATTACGGACTCTAGACTTGCCGTTAGACCAGTCAAAGTAGTCAGCATTTGTAGTTTCGTCGCACAAATCCATCATGTGTTGGTATGATTTCACGGCATCTTGGAGTTTACCCGCCCGAAAGAGTGCATCACACCGTTTCTGGTGTGCCTTGCGCGTGAGTAGTTCTTCGTCAGTAGATAGGTCTCCGAGTCCATCTCTCCATGCATCGCGGGCTGTTGTGATGGCGATAGTCTGCAAGAAGCATGCTCGATTCTTTGTATATGAATCAGGGACGGAAACATGCCTTTCGCTGAATACCCCGAGGTACTGCCCACTCTGAGATGATGCTATCGCTGCCTCCGCTGAGGATGCGGCTGCCGTCCACGGAGAAAGTGACGTGCTCCGTCGGCTTGAATATAGCAACGGTTCGTCGATTTGAGAGCCGCCAGAGACGGACGCTGTTATCAGATGCGGATGCGACGAATCTACCACCAGGATGAATAGCAATGTCACAGATCTTGTAATCGTGGCCCTTGTAAGGATCACCGACCTGCTCCCAGGTTGTTGTATCCCATTCAAGTATGGTAGGATCAAAATCATCGCTGCATGTGAGAAGGCGTGTGCCATCGGGCGTCCACGCGAGTGACGAGTTCAATGATTCGTAACCCTTGAACTTTGCGACGCGTTCCCTCGTGCCTGAATTGTAGATTTCAATATTGCCATTTGATGTCTTGATGGCAATAAGTTCTCCGGACGGTGAACACCGTATGCGGGAAACACTGTGATCACCACACTCGATTGGATCTCCTTGCTGCTGCCAGGTTTTGGTATTCCACAGTTTCGTCATTTTGTTGTGATATGAACCAGCGACCAGAACTGTTCCATCGGGAGAAAAATTCAGCGAGGAGATCCAACCGGGGTGTGCTTCGATTTTGGTGAGCAATTCGCCAGTCTCTCCGTGCCAGACGATGACCTCTCCGTCTTTATCACCGCTTGCTATCAATTGTCCATCTCGTGATACTGCCAATCTCGTCACCCCATTGCGATGCCCTTCCATCTTCTTCAACACAACGCCTGTCTTCAAATCCCACAGACGAAGCGTCTTGTCGTCCGAGCCCGTAACCATCCGTCGCTTATCCGGTAAAACTGCGACTGCATTTATGCGTCCTTCATGGCCTTTGAACTCTCGCGAGGGAGTGGTGATTGTCATGAGCTCCGACATTTTACTGGAAGTTGATGTCAATGATGATATATTGATGCTAAACTTTGGAGGGATTGTGTCTTTCTCTAAGTTGCAGAGGGTACGGTATGGTGCGTTTTATGGTGCTTCACAGCTTGCCTCATTTCAATAGACGCCCATGACATCTAAGGCTGTTCGTGCCCACGCCTCCATCCCCGTGATGCATCCTATTGTCATACCCGCTGTCCTCGACAGTATGCACATTTGCAGTGCATACATGCGTCCGACTCTTGTCTTCCCAGCTTCCAGAATCTACCCCATCGCATCAAGTCGAGCAGTCCGTGCTTTCAACTAGCCCTCGAATCTGACTGTCTATCTTGCATGAATACCGATGTTTTTCGTATCTAGCAGCTAATCCAGCTTATCACCACGTCACTCCTTCGAATGCATGTATATAGCTTACTGCCATATCACTTCTCCATCCAACAGACTCCCAAGATCCTTGTGTGCGCAAGATGCAACCTAATTTCGTGGTACAGCCTCGGAATATTCTCACCATCCCACGCCAATACCCGCAGCTCACTGCGATGTCCCTCCATCTTCTTCAACACAATAGCTGTCTTCAAGTCCCACAACCGAAGCGTCTTGTCATACGAGCCTGTCACCACATGTCGTCTACCTGCGACTGCGGTCACGTCGCTCTCATCATCTTCAACAACCCAACGGAGTGCGGTGCTTGAAATGAGCTTCGACATCTTGTTGGATGCCAACGATGTGGAGCAAACGGTCGAGGTGGATTTTGGAGGGATTGTGGGTGTCCTTCTTTAGGCTGCAGAGGTGCACATATTGTGTGTTTTTATACTGCTTCACGCCATTGACTTGCCTTGTTTCTTTAGACGACCTAGTAAGACATAAACCCCATTCACCTCCACCTCTCAGGTGAATGTGATCCCTCCATACGGGAGTCACAGTGGAAGCCATTGACTTGGAAGCAGGTCGGTGATATCATTCACGTCTTAACCATGCGTTTATCCTGCTGGCACCTGGTCGCTTCCGCATCTCACGAGGTCCCATGAGGCGGCTCTCAGATCGGCGAATCGTCGTCATCTTCCCGCACTCTGTTTCCACGACTTGTGTGATCTTGTACACGAAAGACACGTTCTCAGCTGAGCTTTTAAGCTTTTGATGAGATGGTCTTGGAGTGACAAAATAGCAAAGGATGCTTTGCCGGAGGGTACTCCACAGGTCCCGTCATCAAAGGTACTTTCCCGCTGACTCTTGACCCCTTCGTCCTGCGAGAGGACGGTTTGCAGAAGGGTGCTCAAGAGTGCTCGAGACAATAAGGTGGAAAGCACTCAGCATTGATTTTCACCTTCGTCTTCCTCCACATTGACACTTATGTCCAGAGCTCAAGTTTCTGATTAAAAGGTATGTTTCAAATCTTGATTCGTATCACACGATTTGAGTATGTTCAATGCGGATCCTCGCTACAGAGGCTAGAAGAACTCTTGCGGTTCCATTTCAACCCTGCATGCATGTCAAATTTTGAGATGTTGTATTTGCGAGGAGTTGTACGACGTTGTTTACGGGGTGTGTGTGTTCTATGATGCTATGATAATGTGATTGTCGACTCAAGGTACATACGCAAACCGCTCGAAGGTCACTGTTAAAAAAACCATGCAGCTACAATATGTCTAGGGTCCTGATGTTCACAATGTCGATCGAAGCCATGTCTTTGACCTGCGCAATGATGTTATGGTCCGACGCGATTCTCTTGTATTCTCCAACGCGTTGCTGCGCTACCAAAAGTGCGTTGAAAGCCTGCCCAAGTTGAACCATCAAACGCAATGATCGCGAGTGAACATCCGAGTCAACTGCCAATTCCTCTTCTCCAAGCGAGTCGCTGGATGGCTCGTGAGTGTCATCTGATCCGGACTCGGACTCGGACCAATCCCCTACGCTCTCCCCTTCATCTGCAAAGGTGAGCTGCTCTGAAAAATCAGGCAGCCCAAGGAGATGACGGTCCCATGGACGGACAAGAAAGAATATCTGCTGAGTGGGCCTTGCCCGCGAGAATTGAATTAGGGTCTCGTCCGTGGTGATCACCAAGTCCTGAAGCCCATCTGCTTTCACTCCATACGTGGAATGGGCAGCATGACCCTGCCTCCGTCTGACTTCCGTGACCCGGAATGCGATGCAAGGCAGACGAAGTCTGCAATTGGCGAAGAGCGGAGCATTCATGTTCTCGAGCAGGTTATACAACTTTAAAGCTGAATCCACGGTTACAATGTTTCGCAATGAAGAGACCGCTGTCTGAATCTCATCTTCAGACAATGATGGTAGGGAGCATGGCGGGGTGGCATATGAGATGATGTCGGCTGGAAGGCAACTATTGAACTCGGACGATTGTCCGACCCAGTTCAGGGAAGTTATGTCGCCCGATCTAGCCACAATCTCCTGCAGGAGCCTACCGAGCGCATTTTGCTTCTTCTCACCATAGATTACAGGCAGGTGCACGCCGAAGATACCAAACAACGAGTACGCGATGTCTTCCTGCATTGTGGTAACACGTTTTGATGCCCATCGCAGTTTCTCTCGAGCATCTCTCATCCCTGGACAGAAGGAGATCAGGGCCTGTGCATCTATTCTCATGGCACCCTCCAACTCCTGCATGATTGCTGGGGACTCTTTGTGGTTGGGAGAGCGATCGTCGAGATACAACGACCAGTCCTTCTGATAAAATATAACGACTTTCGGAGCGACGAATTCTTGAAAGGTCCATCCTCGTTCGTTCCAGACACTGCTCGCCAGTGTGCAGGACTGGGATGAAGGATGAACATCGGACAGGTAGACGATGGTGAGCGCCGAGTGACGGTACCAGATGAACATGGAGTTGACCGATTCTTGGACCTCGACGTGGTTGCTCTTATCGATGCAGCATGTATCCATCCACGCCCAGAAATACCCCGCATCACGAGCGATTGTGCAGAACGACTGTAGTTTCGCGATACCACCAAGTCCCTTCAACTCGCGCACATCTTGATCCTGGATGTGGCGCAGCAGCACCTCCGTCTCTTCCCACCTGTGTGATAGCAGGACGCAACGAAAGTGCATCGCCTCTTACGATAGCTAGCCGGGAGTAAGCCCCCCGCACTCGAATAGGGCTATGTCCGACATAGGGTCTATGACCCCAAAGGACAATAACAATGATTTAAAAAAAAAAAAAAAGTGCATCGCCACCACCTCCTTGATGCGTTCCATTTCGAGATCCGAACGCTTCGTTATGGATGACAAAAGCTCCTTGTACTCTGGACTTGTTTTGAAGGAGTTTAGCTGTGCTACTCGGTCGCACAAAAGACCCGTAGAGGTGTTGAGCAGACGAAGCGGGGCGTTACTGAGTTCAGTCCCAACTGCTCTTCGAATAACGCCTTCTGCTTCCAATGGACAGACGTACTGCTGACGCAGATCTACAGAATGAGATAGGTATTTCGAGACAATGCAGGAGTGTTCCATAGCTCACCTCGAATCTGCACTTCTGGAGCATCGTCTAACTTGGACAACATGATTGTGAAGGCCTCGATGGCTTCATCGTAACGTTGCGCGCCACGCAGCGCTGCGTGCGCCAACTGGTATCCAATGTGAGACGAAGGATTGAGTTTGGTGACCTATGCATCGCCGAAGTCAACATGGGCTACGGAAACTTAGTTGTTATCCCACCTTTTGTGCGTCAAGGAGCGCGTCCTCCCATCGCATTTTATTTAATTTTGCCTGGCTGCGATTTGCAAAGACGACATCAGATGCAGAATCCAGGTCGATCGCCAACGAGTATAGGTCAATGGCCTTGTCGTAATCGCTTGCAGCGAAAGCAGCATCTCCGCTGGCAGTGTAGAGTGCGCTGCATTCTTGCTTGAAATCTGAAAGGAATACAGGTGAGGATTATAGCCTGCGCGACATTATAGGGTCTAAACTTGCCGTTGGACCAATCAAGGCAGTCGGCATTTGTAGTTTCATCAGTCAAAGTCATCATGTGTTGGTATGATTTCACAGCATCTTGGAGTTTACCCGTCCGAAGGAGTGCATCACACCGTTTATGGTGTGCCTTTCGCCACAAGGACTTCAGGTCCCAGCCAAAGAGCTGGACAAGTGACTCAGCTATGAGAAGTGTCATATATGCATCATCTTGACGTACCACCACCAAATCCTCACATATTTCATGAATGTCCGATTCCGATGATAAGTCGATAGCGGCAGTGAAATGTCCGGTGGCTTCGTCGTAGCGTGCGCCATCCAAGGCCTTGATTCCGAGTTGAACCTGTAGATATGCCTAATGTGCGAGTTGTAAGGATGATTGTTGATGACCAGGCATGGATGACACTTACTTGCACGATACCGCATGCGACAGTATCAGTATTCGGACAACCGGTAGCAAGTTCTTTGAGGAGTAGATTTGCTTCGTGATGTTGATCTGCATTGAAGAGCGCGATTGCCTGAAATACGCGATGAAGCGGAGAGTATGCGAGGCAAATGTAACATACCTTGATCAATAGCAGAAAATGAACGATGTCTGAATCCTGATCTGTGTACATGGATGCCACATCAAATGCTGCCCTCGCATCCAAGACGAGGCCTTTTCCGCAGAGGGCCATGCCCTTGGATATATAGCCTGTCAGTGAGGGCCGAATCCCGATGGACTGTGTCACCGTCGAGTCAGTCTTCTGTAAGGGGGCGGTGATGGGTCAGCGTATCTCACCTTAATTGCATCCTGAAAAGCGCGGTCCCAGTCGTGTTTTCAAGCCATGACAAATGAACGATGGGCGTAGGAAGTATAATTGTTCGGATTGGTGTTGATATCTTGAGTGAGTAGTTCTTCGGCGGTAGATAAGTCTCCATTTACACATGCAATACGGGCCGTCGTGATGGCTAGGATCTGCACGAAACATGCTCAAATTGTGGTATATATCAGTCAAGGACGGAAACATGCCTTGGAGCGATGGACGTCGGGAGTATGGTTCATCGCATTGGCGTTGATGTCATGCATGAGTAGTTCTTCGTTAGCAGATAAGTCTCCATCTATGCATGCATCGCGGACTGTTGTGGTGGCTATAGTCTGCAAGAAGCATGCTCGATTTGTGGTACATGAGTCAGAGACGGAAACATGCCTTTGGATGTATACGCTGAGGTACTGTACATGCCTTTGTTTGTATACGCTGAGGTACTGTCCATGCCTTTGGATGTATACCCTCAGGTACTGTCCACTCCGAGATCATCTTGTCGTTACGTGCGACGCTGAAGATGTGATTGCCGTCCACGGAGAAAGTGACGCATATCGTGGAGGATGACTGCCTGAGGACGGCAATGGTTCGTCGATCTGAGAGCCGCCAGAGACGAACATGGTTGTCACCAGATGCGGATGCGACAAATGTACCGGCAGGATGAATGGCAATGGCATTGATTCGGTTAGTGTGGCCCGTCCAAGGATCGCCGACCTGCTTCCAGGTTGTTGTATCCCATTCACGTATGGTAGGATCGTCCTTGTTGCCGCATGTGAGAAGGCGTGTACCATCGAGCGTCCATGCGAGTGACAAGTTCAATGATGTGTGACCCTTGAAAGATACGACGCGTCTCCTGGTGCCTGAATTGTAAATTTGAATATTGTAGTCTTTTGCGATGGCAAGAAGTTCTCCAGACGGTGAATACTGTACGCAGTTGACAAATACACCACATTCAATTGGATCTCCTTGCGGCTCCCAGGTTTTGGTATTCCACAGTTTTGTCATTTTGTCGTAATATGAACCAGTGGCCAGCACTGTTCCATCGGGAGAAAAATCCAGGGAGGAGATGATAAACTTGGAATGGGCTTCAATTTTGGTGAGTAATTTGCCAGTTTCTCCGTGCCAGATGATGACCTCTCCGCCTCTGTCACCGCTTGCTATCAATCGTCCATCTCGTGATACAGCCAAACGCCACACCCAGTTGCAATGTCCTTCCATCTTCTTCAACATAAAACCTGTCTTCAAGTCCCACAGACAAAGCGTTTTGTCGCCTGAGCCCGTAACCATCCGTCGTTTATCGGGGAAAACCGCAACTGCTATCACATGTTCTTCATGGCCTTTGAACTTTCGCAGGGGTGTAGTGATAGTGATTGGAATGAGTTCCGACATTTTACTGGAGGTTGATGGTGTTGAGCAAGGTCGAAGTGGGCTTTGTAGGGATTGTGAGAGCTGCCTTATTCCAATAGACGCCCAGGGCATTTTTCTTAAGGTTGTTCACCTCCACACTTCCATCACGGGCATTGTGAAAATGCTGCGCCACTGCTGCGATGTTCCTAAATGGTGAGTGCGCTACACTTACTTACTGCTAATCACTGGAACCTCCCAGTACTTGTCCTCCGAACGAGCTATGGACTCGAGGGTGCTCCGATTCCTTATATGTATATCCACGCTCCCAGAGCCATGGTCAGGCGATATCATCGAGATTCGCAGTACTCTCGGTCTGCAAGTCAGGTCCATCTAACAACTATCTTGTTACTAAACGATCTTTCATATTGCATTGTAGTCTGATTCCTCCGCATACAATGTTATTTTTATTTCTTTTTAACGAGCGACTGCATAGTTGCAGGCATTTGTCTCAAGCCTGACGCGGTCATTGGCACCTTTCTTCGCGTTCTCAGTCCTCCATGGGATTTTTTTACCTGTCGCTCCTGAGCGCTGAGGTCCAGTCAGTCCAGTGACACATGTGTACAGCCCCACAGCTCGGGCATGTGCATGAGGAATAGCAGCTGAGCATGCTAACTTTTTGTTAGGTGTAGTATACGAGTAGGGCGGGCATGGTCACAATTGTCATTGTGTTCGTAACATATGCCACCATGACATTAGTATAGGATGTATATGACTTTTCCGGGCATTCCTGATGAACAAGTTTTCTTCAGCATGCAGTTGACTGATGAGTGTGACTTTGCATGTGGCAGGATGTGTGATGGTTTAGCAAGTTGGCTCATCAGAAACAATGATTCTGAGTCCAAGACACTTACTAGTACACCATGTTCGAAAACCATCTTGCCAGTTCTCACTGGCAGCATCATCACTCCGTCCCTTATCGCCTCCTCGATTCCTGTTGACACAAGTTGCTCAAGCCACCGATAGCAGAAAGTCAGCTCGAGTTGGAATTGAATGTGAGGTACTGACAAGTGTCGCAGCACCTTGTCGCGGGCGTCGCGGTCGTCGCGGGCACCTTATTTCCATATTTGGGGGGTGCTGCGATATGGTGCCCGCGACGCCCGCGACATGGTGCTGCGACACTACTGAAAATGAACTCGAGTTGTGTAATACATGGTCCTGCAGCAGTTATGTTGCGCATCATAGTTAGTCACGGTATAGTAGACTCGCGCATTGCAATACATACTTCAGTGGTGGATTTGCATATCATTTCAGAAACCAGAATGCACAAGTCTGAAATCTAGGACTCGGAAGTTGGAACACGATAGATTAATCTTCAGTAACGCAGTTCAAGACATGTACCAGGACATTAAGATTTCGAAGGGATAACGAAGAAGTTCATAAAGCGGCAAGAGAGTCAGCAATAACCAAGTGACTTTATATTAATCATGCAAAGTCCTTCAAGGCAGCGATGCAGAGTCCAGAGTATGTGGCAAGCAACAAGTGTCATGAGTCAATTTGCTGCTTAGCGTAAAATTGGAACGTCGCGGCAGATGCCGCGCAGCATTTTCCTAGTGCCCTTCCATCACCGTTACGGCAAGAATGTGCCGTGTTGTCATGCAGTACCTCTGCAGTGCGTACATGCGCCCCACTCTTGTCTTCAAGGCTTCCTGAATGTACTCCCATCGTGCCCAGTTGAGCAGTACGTGATTTCCAGCGCTCGAATCTGACTGTCCATCCTGCATGAATACCGTTGTTTTTCGTATCTAGCAGCTACTCCAGCTCATCACTCCTTCGAACGCGTGTATATAGCTTTCTGCAATATCGCTTCTTCATCCAAGATCCCTGTGTGCACAATGATGCAACCAAATCTCGTAGTACAGCCTCGGAATATCCTCACCATCGCCACACTGCCAACGGCCGCACCTCACTGCAATGCCCCTTCAACACAATATGTACCTGTCTTCAAGTCCCACAACCGAAGCGTCTTGTCATACGAACCTGTCACCATATGTCGTCTATCGGGAAAACCTGCGACTGCGGTTACACCTCTCTCATAATCTTCAGGACTCAACGGAGTGCGGTGCTTCGACATCTTACTGGATGCTGATGATGTGGAGCACGGTCGAGGTAGACTTTTGAAGGATTGTGGGTGTCAAAATTTAGGCTGCACATGCATATATTGTTCTGCTTCACCCTGTTGACTTCCCTTGTGTTTCCGTAGATACCCCCATTCACCTCTCAAATGAATAAGATCCCACCATACGGGAGTCACAGTGGATACTATTGACTTGGAAGTAGGTCGGTGATATCATCTACGTCATAGCCATAGATGTATCCTGCTTGCACCTGGTCGCTTCCGCATCTCACAACGTCCCACGAGGCAGCTCTCAGATCGGCGAACGTCGTCATCTTCCCGATCAAAATCTTCGATTGTTAGAAGGAATTAGCAGGTAGAATTCAAGGGTATTAATCTCAAGCACGCAACGTCCGATTGCGATAAACTGGAGAGTGAATCTTAATCAGCAATCAGCGCTCAGCCCTCGTGTGGTGCCGGAGACTACGTACTGAATTAAACGTTACAGAATGTCTGAGCTCAAGTTGTTAGCCCCACTGGCAGGTTAGTAGTGATTAGGACTCTCACATCTATATAACTACGTGTGCCATATGGATTGGCGAATTTGCGAAGATGTGGAAAGACTATTGGTGTTATTCCCTGTCCGAAAATTGCAGATATCCATGCACGGGCCCTGGACTGTTCAATGTCGATACAGAGAAGTTTCGTTGTCCGATAATAATGTTTGATAGTCTGCAACATAAGTAATATATACGTACCTGGCACCGAAGATAATGGTGTATTACTGTAGCGACTATGTCCTGGGGCACAAAAACTGTAAATTAATCAACATGATAGATCGTCCATCCACCCGTGCCTCTAATAGACTATCGTATGATAGACGAAACTTGTTCAGACTCCAAACCTGCATCTCCGATTGGATACCAGGCTCATAGGAGTTTGTACTCGGCACTTGGCTAATGCACGCCTCTTGGACGAATGAGTCGTAAGCGTCATTACCAAAATCTGTTACTGTCTGGTAGTAAACCCTGTGCCATACGCAGCATCACAACGTTCGAGGTCAAGCTCGACCACTGTAACGAGACGCTCGTCAGTCTTGCACCAGCAACCAAGCTACAGCAGCTCTTACCCCATTTCCGATCAACACTTCAGATCTTTGAGCCACAAACATATCCAACGCCTGCACCACAAATTTCTGTTCCCATGTGATGTCGAGATCGCGGCTGCTCTTAATCTGGTCCCAATTCCCAGAGCTCTCCAATGCCTCCTTCAGCTCCTGAACCCAATCGGTGGCGCCATTAGTCATGATATAGATATGCGTCAGCGGCTTTTCCGATTCGACGCGCACTTGTGTGACTTTCTGGACGATTTGTTCGATTGTGGGGAAGCACCGCTGCATATACATCTGCATGTTCTTCTCTGATGTCTCGCCCCATCCGCCATCAGTAGGCCTGTCGAACTTGTCAGAGAACTCGGGGAACATATTGAATGCATTCCAATTTGACGACCATTTGCCCAGATGGACGCAGTGGTCTTGGAAGTCACCCCTTCGCACGTGCAGCGCTAACAGGCCAGGTATCGGGTTCGTGTAGTTTTCCGCAGTAGCTGAACCAGTGAGCCCTTCAAAAAGAGAAGATCTCGCATTCGGCACGAAGATGCGGCGATTTCGTTTGTATGCATCCTGTATTAAAGGCGACCACTCCCAGTGCTTCGCTACTGGGGAATTCTTGAGGTATTCCCATATGGACAGCATCCTCTTGTGTCCAAATATCCTACGCGACGTCTGACGTCTCCCATTGATCATCCCAAGAGGATGAATATGACTCACCAGTACTCAAAGATTGCATTATTATTTGACTCAATTTCTACACACGGGTCCTCAATCGAGTTAATTTTTTCGAGCCACTTTTCGAATATATAGGAAGCTGGCACGTCTTCGTCGAATCGCATACGATCATCGTTCACATCCGCCACCTGAAGGAGTGTCGGATTGGGGCAAACTTTGTTGAAGAAAGTCTTGGACACCGCACGAGGAGTGGTATCGCCAGGCGGCATTTGACCACCCACCATTACACCTAGAACAATCGGAGTTAATGGGGCGTATACACGGAGATCGACCATGTTGTACTTGCCGCTCAATAGTGCTGTCAAGGGAATGCGAGAGGGAATTAAATGACCATTATAATCCGTAAAGAGTGAACCATCTGGATTCCAGATGTAGTCATCAAAGACAAAACTAGACGTCATCGAAAAACAAGATTAGGAATGTGGGAACCGAGTAAAGGAACGCATGAAGGAATAGGGACTGACGAGCGTCCTGTGCTATGTGCAAGTAGTCCATTCATGACATAGTCTTGCATAACATTCCCCCATCCTGAACCTATGCACGATCAACGCATGATGGATCAAATGAAAGAAAGGATGACCCACTATGTGCATGATTCGCCGACCAGATATATTTCACATCCTTCCTCGTTTCGTACTCCTTGTAATGCTCCAGTTTTTGCTCCCGCGCTCGATAGTCCTCGTATAATGGCGGTAGGTGGTCGGTAAAATAGTTTCGTACAGCTTCACGGTGGTAAAGTATTCCAGGGAGCACAAAACATAGTATAACGGCGAGGAAGAAAAACCGTGTACCACGCTTGGTCAGACCATAGGATGGCATGGGGAAGGTGCTTGAGGATGAGAAGTGCAAGGGGTGCCGGCAGGGGTTGGTGCGCTGGACCGTCTGGAGCAACTAAACGAAAGGTAAGGGAATATGGGTATAGTGGAGAAAATGGTAGAGAAAGACGTAAGTGATACTAAAGAAGGCTTAAATCAGAATACCGGAACACGCTGCGCATCATGTGGTCATCTTGATCGTTTCATGTTTGCTGCGGTGCCGTAATATTGCAACCCGGACTCTGATGGGCCCAGCTCGATTTGAATTTAGTACATAGGCCTTGGAGATAACGAGATTGCTGTAGCCTGTAGCACTGGATGCCGTTTGATGGACTTTCGACAGTGAGGAGAACGAGTCGAGTACGATGAGTCAGAGTCAAGATCGGCAAATCGGCATAACGTGAACTTCGCGCGAGTTTCCGACGGTTGGATGTGCATGAGAAGCTTATCATCAAGCTTTCCCAACAAACACAAGCTGTGCTTCCAAATACAGCCAGAACTACGGCGCAGTGGCAATGACCATTCTAATAATACAGCATGAGACCATACTTAATATGTCACATAGAGGAATAGTACCAGTGAGAAAAGGTATCAGTAAGTTACAAGTAAGTAATATGTATGTATCCATCATGATCGTGCGCCCATCCGTCTCTCCAGGTATTGTGCTCTGGCCCGCTCCATAGACTCTCTAAGCTCTGGACTCTCCCAGGCACTCGTATCCTCCTTGAAGCTGCTTGTAATAGTAGCGCAGGCGTCAATATCCATCGAAGATTCGCGAGCAATCCGACGAGGTGTACTAGGCACTGACAACCTCGAAAAATCTTGGCGATCAGGGGAAAGGTGTACAGCTTCGCCGATAAATTTGCGCTTCTTAGATGACGAGTTCGGAGAGGATGGCAAAGTGAAGGAGGGAGGCTGATTGTCACGGGGTCGATGTGTCCGGCGGAAGGAACTACCCCTGGAAATAGATGTAACAGGTTGCTCTTCCTCCCAGTCACCCGAACCATCATCCACCTCGTCCTCCTTCGCTTCACTCATGACCACAACCTCCATATTCAAAGCCCTGTGTCCTTCTTGTATCAGCTTTGATAGTCTGTCGCCAATCCAGTCCATTTCGTCGGTTTCAGGTTCTTCTTCTTCTTCGTCTTGGTTTACGTGCACGAAATCAAATTCTTGGGGTGGATGACCCATGAGGGCAGGAGAGACACTACGTGATGGAGTAACTGGTCGGCCACGAGTTCGGATCCTGCGACTTCGTGTGCCGGAGCGACGAACAGAGGAAGGTGTTGGGCGAGATTTGCGCGATTTCGGAGTAGGAGGGGTAACTTGAATATCTTTGTACTGATAGCATATCAATGATGAGGCGACAATACATGCCAAACTGTACATACTTGTTCGGGGACCCAGTCACCCGGGTGGTATGGCGGTGGTTGTGGTTGTATTCTTTCTTGTTCCTTGCCTCGGTCCCGCCAGCTGCGCTCGACAGCGATAAGTAACATCAACATGGAACTAAAAATCAGCACTCACAGGCGATATACAGTGAGACCAACAGCAGTCCCGATAAGAGCAGCGCTCAACGCTGTAGACACGATCGAACCAGCGAGAGTGCGACGCCGCTTGGCGGGTGGTAATTCTACATTTATTTCAATAACGATATCGAAAAGCATGAATGAAAGTGGGTTGAAAGATGCAAGTAAAGAAGGAAGAGACGCAATTCCCAAATAAAAAAACCATAGCCAGCACATGGACAACGCGTTTTCGCGAAGCACTCAAACACATGGCATGCGCATGGCTATCGCTTGCGAAGCATGTAATACTACATCACGGATGATCGAGACATACCTGTAAATACGTCTTCAACAAACTCTTGTTCAGGCGCTTCATGCATCATATCTCTGTACTTGGCGGGTGTGTCGAGATAACCGCGAGTAGATGCAGCGCTTGTGGCAGCTTGGCTGGGTTCAGAGATAGAAGGGACCCAACCGCGCTTATGGTTTAGTGGTACAAATGGTGATAGTGATGGTGAGGGCGATGGTGATGCACGGCGGGGAGGAGGCAAGGCGCGATTAATACGTCGAGAAATAGGATCAAGCAGTGCATCTTTCTTGTCATTCCGGGACGGTTTGACTGCCGGTGGAGTGGTAAACGGATTGTGAAGACCCGGTACGCGAAAACTGAATGTAAATGGAAAAGGCATGGCAATTCGTAACAGAGATCATAAACCAGACAGCAGATAAGTACAAGAGAAAGGAAAGGAGCAGGATGTCCTAGCACGTAAGTATACGTAGAATCAAAACTGCGAGAGCTACGATTGTTCATTCCACAATCCACCAACCACCACGCCTGGGAACAATTGCCTTTTTCTTACCATCATGAAAACCCCTATCAGTCCCACAGTTGTGATTGTTTCTATACACGTACCTCTGCAGCTTAGAGAAAGACACAATTATTTCAAGTCCACCTCGACCGTGCTCGACACCATCAACCTCCAGTAAAATGTCGGAGCTCATTCCAATCACTACACCCCTACGAGAGTTCAAACTTAAAGGTCATGAAGGACGCGTAATGGCAGTCGCATTTTCCCCCGATAAACAACGGATGATTATGGGCTCAGGCAACACACTCCATATTTGGGACTTGAAAACATGTCTTATGTTGAAGAAGATGAAGGGGCATCGCAGTGAGGTGTTGAGATTGGCAGTATCACGGGATGGGCGATTGATAGCAAGCGGTGATGCTGACGGAGATTTTATTGTCTGGCACGGAGAAACTGGGGAATCCCTCACCCAGCCCATCAATGAAAGTCATGAGTGTATCTCCTCGCTGGATTTTTCTCCTGATGGGACAGTGCTGGCCATTAATTCATATGGCACGACAACGAGCCTGTGGAACATCAGAACCTGGCAGCTGCAAGGAAGTCCAATAACGTGCGGCAGTGATGCCCTCTGCGTTCGATATTCGTCCTCTGGAGAACTTCTTGCCATCGCAACAGACAACAATATCGAAATCTGCAATTCAGGCACGAGGAAACTCGTCGCATCCTTCAAGGCTCACACATCATTGAACTCGTCACTCGCGTGGACGCCCGATGATACACGCCTTCTCACAGGCGGCAATCATCTTGATCCTACCATACGTGAATGGGATACAACAACCTGGAAGCAGGTCGGTGATCCCTGGATGGGCCACTCTGGCCAAATCAATGATATTTCCATTCATCCAGCTGGCACACTCGTCGCATCTGCATCTTATGACAGCCACATCCGCATCTGGCGGCTCTCAGATCGACGAACCGTTGCCATGTTCCATGACACATCCTGTACATCATTTGTCACTTTCTCCATAGATGGCAACCACATCCTCAGCGGAGGTGAAGAGTGGGCATTACCTCAGAGTAGTATTCGTCCAAAGGCATGTTTCTGTTTTTGACTTATATACCACAATTCGAGCATGTTTCGTGCAGATCCTAGCCATCACGACAGCCAGCGATGCATGCATAGATGAAGACTTGTCTACTGCCAAAGAACTACTCGCGCAAGGTATCAACACTGATCCGAACAACCATACAACCATATTTCCTACGCCCATCGCTCATTCGTTATGGCACGAAAACACAACTGGGATCGCGCCCTTCAGGACGCAATCAATGTGAGATTCACTGACCCATCATCGCCCCCTTACGAAAGGCTAACTCGACGATGACACAGTCCATCAGCATTCAGCCCTCATTGATAGGCTATATCTCCGACGGTATTGCCCTCTGCGGAAAAGGCTGTGTCTCGGATGCGAGGGCAGCATTCGATGTTGCATCAATGTACACGGAACAAGATTCACAAATCCTCCATTTCCTGCTCTTGATCAAAGTATGTTGCATTGTCCTCGCATCCTCTCCGCCTCATCGCGTATTTCAGGCTATCGCACTGTTCGATGCAGATCACCATGACGAGGCAAATCTGCTCCTCAAAAAACTCACTGCCGGTTGTCCGCATGCCGACACTTGTATGTGTCACATCGTGGAAGTGAGTATCACTATCCTTGGTCATCAGTACTCATCTTTACAACTTGCGCAGGCATATCTACGTGTTCAACTCGGAATCAAAGCCTCGGATGGCGCACGTTACGACGAAGCCGCCGACCATTTCGCCGCCGCTCTCGATTCCAGCAATTTGTTCTCGAAATCGGACATTCATGAAATTTACGAGGATTTGGTGGTGGTACGTTAAATACACATTGAAAACACTCCATAACCAAGTTCCTTGTTCAGCTCTTCGGCTGGGATATCAAATCATTGTGGCTCACTGCACACCAAAAACGTTGTCATGCACTACTTCGGGCAGGTAAACTTCAAGACGCCGTGAAATCGTACCAGTACATGATGGTTTCAAGTGACGAAAATACTAGAGCCGACTGCCTTGACTGGTCCAAAGGCAAGTCTGGAGTTCATAATGTCGCGCAGGCTACAATGCTCACCTGCATTCACTCAGCTTTCATAGAAGAATGCAGAGCGTTCTTTCTTACCGACGGAGATACTGCCCTCGCTGCAAGCAAGTTTGACAGTGCTATTGACCTGTACTCGGCAGCAATCGACCTGGATACCACATCCGATACCACCTTTGCAAATCGCAGCAAGGCAAAGTTGGGGAAAATGCTATGGGAGGATGCGCTCTTCGATGCGCAAAAGGTGCGATGGGGTCTACGTTTTCGTAGCCCATGCTGATTTCGGCAGTGCATAGGTCACCGAACTCAATCCTTCATCTCACTTTGGATACCAGTTGACGCATACAGCGCTACTTGGCGCGAGACGTTACGACGAAGCCATTGAGGCTTTCAAAATCATGTTGTCGAAGTTGGACGATTCTCCCGACCCCCAGATACGAGGTAAGCTACGCAACACTCCTGCATAATCTCGAAATGCCAATCTCGTTCTGCAGATACGCGTCAGCAGTATGTCTCTCCATCTGAAGCAGAAGATACTATTCGAAAGGCTGCGCTGGATGAACTCGAAAACGCCCCCCTTCGTCTGCTCAACACCTCCACGGGTCTTTTATGTGATCGAGTGGCACAAGTCAACGCCTTCAAAATGACTCCAGAGTACAATGAACTTGTCTCATTTCTAACGAAGGATTCGAACTTCCGAACAGAGCGCATCAAAGACGTAGTGGCGATGTACTTCCGCTGCGTACTGCTATCACACAGGTGGGAAGAGGCGGAGGCGCTGCTGCACGACATCCAGGATAAAGATGTGCGCGAGTTGAATGGACTTGGCGGTATTGTGAAGTTGCAGTCGTTCTGCAAGGTTGCTCGTGATGCTGGGTATCGCTGGGCATGGATGGACACATGCTGCATCGACAAGAAGAGCAATACCGAGCTCCAAGAATCGATCAACTCCATGTTCGTTTGGTACCATCACTCAGCACTTACCATCGTATACCTTTCGGACGTCCCGCCTTCATCCAAGTATGACGCTCTGGCGAAGAGTGAGTGGAACAGACGAGGATGGACCTTTCAAGAATTCCTCGCCTCCAAAGTCATTCTCTTTTATCAGAAGGATTGGTCATTATATCTCGATGATCGCTTTCCGAATCACAAAGAGTCCCCGGCAATCATGAAGGAGTTGGAGGATGCGACGGGCATAGATGCTCGAGCCCTGATCTCCTTTCGTCCAGGTATGAGCGGCGCCCGAGAGAAACTGCAATGGGCATCAAAACGCATTACCACTGTGCAGGAAGACGTCGCGTACTCGTTATTTGGCATCTTCGGCATCACCCTGCCTGTCATTTATGGCGAGAAAAAGCAGAACGCTCTCGGGCGGCTCCTGCAGGAGATCGTGGCTCGGTCGGGCGACATCACTGTCTTCGACTGGATCGGACAACCTTCCGAGTTCAATAGCTGTCTTCCAGCCCATATCACCTCTTACACCACTCCTCCACGCACCCTTCCATCTTTGTCTGAAGATCATATTCACACACAATTCTCTTCGCTGCAACAACCCGTGCCTACAGATCTAGCATTGAAATTTTATGACCAGCTTGAACAGCTGAGAGCTCCTCGCTTTGCAAACTGCAGACTGCATCTGCCTTGCATTTCATTCCGCGTCACAGAAGTCAGACGGAGGCGTGGTCAAGCCCGGGATACTCCCATCACATATAGAATCAAGGCAGACGGGCTTCACGACCTGCTGATCATCACTGAAGAGACCCTAGTTCAGTTCTCGCGGGCAAAGCCCATTCGGCAGAGGTTCTTAATTGTCCGTCCATGGGATCGGTATCTCCTCGGGGTACCTAACTTTGCAGGGCAGCCTGACTTCGCGGACGATACGGAAAGCATAGAAGATTGGAGTGAGCCCGAATCTCCGACGGACGACTCCCAGATGGACGACTCTGACGAGTTACCTGGCGGTTTGCCTGTCGAAGAGGAACCTCGCTCACGAGCGTTGCGGTTACTGGTTCGCCTCGGGCAACCTTTCGACGCATTTTTGCTAGCGCAGCAGCATGTCGGAGAATACAAGAGGATCGCGTCAGACCATAACATCATCGCACAAATCAAAGACATTACTTCGGTCGATAACATGGATGTCGGTACCGTAGAGATACTCTAACCGAAAAAACAGTATAGTTGGGAGAAAGAGCGGGTCGCATGTGGAGTGCATGTGGAGCTCAGGTGGAAGGGGCAGACGCGGATTGCTTCCACGGAATCAAACGTTCCGTCCTTACATATGAACGTTAGATGGCAGACGTACCAAATGGAAGGGAGCGAGAAATGCAAAAGAGGTCCCTTGTCAAGCCCCTCGCATGAGTCTAACCTGTAAACGAGGAATCATTAATGATTGTTGAAACAACTTGTGTGTGCACCTCTGTCCATTGTGACAAGGTGGTCAAAAGCCTGGCACGAACTCATCAAGAGAGGATATCAGTGGCTACCATTACTTACAAGGATAGTCAGATCGGCGACTGGAAGTGGACAGCGATCAGCAACGTGAATCTTGCAGGGTTCAGTTAGTCACCTTTCATATACTGTTGTAGCACCAATCAGATTGTCATCCAACTAATTATAAACAAGTGCAGACACACCCTCGACGTATGCTCCTGAAATGTATTAATCACGAGGATCGGGCCGGCCATCAAGTCCATCATTAAGAGACCCGATGAAAAATCATGGAGGCTCTCATCTCCCTCAACCCTAAAAGTTAAGACTTCACTTATTAATGACACGGTACACCACAACAACTTGGCTGTCCAACAGGTAGTAAACCAACGCTGCTGGAAAGGGCAGCTTTGTGTACAATAGAGGCAGGAGATCACTAGACTGTGTTGCATCCATATTACTGGCTGTACTTCATCAACGATCACAACATGGGCTGAAAGCGCTGGAGATACATCCTGCAGTCTGAAGTGTCCTCGTGATGTTTCCTAACCATTAAATTTCATTTCCCCCACCGAGGGCACGAGATGCTTCAGAGCGCAGGATCGGAGCATGGGCATAGCGCTCATGACATTCGGATTATTATGCTATCGTTGCCTAGCATTGCAGTTGTGCTTTCCCCCTGAAAATGGAACATCGCAATTAACGCGCTGGGTGCAGTCCGACTGGCGAGCATAGCGCCCAGGGAGCACTGGATAGGCAAATCCATGTCGCCCTGATGATTAGATCACTGCCAATCTGAAGATCGTTTTGTCATCGTCGAAGACGCAATCTGAATGCATTCATAGACGCCCTCGACTGAGAGTCCAAATAATCTTCGTAGAACCCTGTGATGAACTCCTCGGCCTTGAACCCAAATCTGTTGTACAGCAACTAGACAGATTTTAGATATGTATGCCAACACTGATCACTAATAAAAAGCGCACCATCGCTGGATTATTAGCAGCTACGTGAAGTGTGATATCTCTGTGCGGATTGAGCATAATCAGGTGATATAGCATAGTACTGCAGAGATAAAGATCGTGAGCTATTATTATAAACGTCAAGAGATTGTAACACACGTTGCTATTTGACAATTATGCCAGCCTGCTCTGACGGCTAGGTATGTGATGTATGTTTCCTGAGGCGAGCTCAAAAGAGCCGCGCCGATAACAATTTTGCCATACATGGCGATCACCGAGCAACGCTCGGAAGACTGAAGCAAGTCGCTGACTATGAATTACATGAGAGATTAACTCATGAACATGAGAGGATACAACAAACCATTAATCCCATCCCAAAATACTCTAGCTAATAATTCATGTACTTGTTGAAGGTGGGATGGCTGCAGAGAGACATAACGGATTGGAACCAGGACTTCATGTGATTGAGATGATGCAGGGCTGATGGCAAGGTGAGAAACGCAGTCATTCGAGTGAACGAGACCCCTACTGCGCGTATGAGTAGTGTTCTCGCACATCTGTCATCAATTCCATCCAAGGAGATCTGGTTTCCCAATCTACCGCAACTAGCCCTGAGTCTGTGGATGGTCTATGCCCACATAGGCGTGATAAGAAAGACGTTTCGTAATGCGTCGTTCGAATAGATCTTAGCGAGTCAACAATGCCTGATTGTGGTGGCTGAGGCGGTAATTGAGGGGGTACGGAGGTCAAAGAATTGTGATTGACAAAGTCTAGCCCCTGGATATCTGTTCTACGCCTTTCCTGCCACGTAAATTAACTTCTAGACTCTGTATCACGTCTAGAACATGACTGCTTACTCGATGGAGTTGCAGCTTTCTCAATATAGCTGCCTGTGCTGGCGAAGGAAGAACCGCCGCACCAAACGCGGACGCATATTTTATTGCAGCCGACACCTCGTAACGAGACAAAGGTCGAAGAAGAGTGCCCTGCCTTCAGTTAGCTTTGTTGCCCGCATCAAAATACTATCCATACAAAGCTGTCCGTTCTGCAATCGCTGTCTTGTACCCGGCAGCGCACTTCCAAACACTCTGGCAGCACAGAACCCACAAAACGTTCAAAATAACTGGCTTCCTCCAAGTCGTTTGCTGGGTCATCAGACGTACGGCTTTCTATTCCAGTTTGAAACAGGTCTAGCAGGCCGTCGAGTGACATGGATGCCCTTGTAACACGCATGCTTGGAGAGGGGACTATGACCCTTCCCGAGTTGCCTTTCTGCCGTTTCGTTTGGGAGACTCCCTGCAAGCCGCGTCATAGGTGATTCATTCACTAGTGTTACCTTGCGAGCTTACCTCTGTATACGCATCGTCCTCATTCTTGGAAGACGCCCGCCTAAAAGCTGGCATGGCGGATATAAATTAGTACTAAGTAGTATGCGATTACCGAAACATGCACTTTTGTATTAGGGTAAGTTTATAAGGAAATTAAGGAAACTCGGCCTAAATCTGACCAAGCTCTCCCCTAGACCTTTGGTTTGGTGAAGGGAACATATACTAAGGTTGGCACTTTCGAAGACCGCAGCACGACATAGTTCGGAAGTGGCCACAGACTAGTAGTCAGGCCATGGCAGCCAACAATTCAAGCCTCGGGTTGCGTGCGTGACAATGTCAATAGTGAACCCACCTTGATACTTACCCAGCGTATACCAACCCTGCCCGCAGGATACGTTATATTGTTGTAATACTTATGTCCTTGACTTCCCATCGAAGTTCAAGATGCAGATATCCGAGACTAAGCGAGGGAAGTAACCGTGAAACCACAGCATTTTTCATGCACTGTGATAAGTACACAAGAGTATATGATATAAATCCAATAAGGTCCGTGCCAAGTATGAGAAGACGAAGGAGCGAAATAGGTGGGTTCGATGATAGTAGTACTGATAGCGCGAAACATATATGAAAGTAGCCAAAGAGAAATCGATCACAACCTCGTGACGGCCTTTGAATCAAGTGGCATGCCTGTAAGACACCATGATGAATTCCCAAGAACTGCAAGATTATATTAACACTGACCTGAAGGATCGATCCCATTGCGAGCAAGGATTTGGTTGTGGCGAATCAATCTTGCTTGATCGAAACTGTGTGAATGAAGTTATTATAAGCTACGCTAGCTACGTAAACGAAACACTCACTTGACCCGTTGGGCACGCATGATGTCCAGCACCTCCTGCGTTCCCTGTTCATCCAGTCCCGCTCGTGAATCTCCTTCAGCGATATTGGCTGACTCGATGTCGAACATCGGAGAGCTCAGCCCCGCACGCGCCTGATCAGAAAAAGAGGCAAGCGGCGTGTAGTGGTTAAGGCTTGGGAAGAAAGCCTTAACTCTCGTAGGGAGAGTTGCACGGTAGCGGTAGCCGACTTGGAGGAGCAAGTCAGTTTATCTAGCCTTATGACTTGCTGCGAGTACTCACCCATCACCAGTGATGCCAGGACTGCGAGAAGAGAAAGGTAGAATAACATCCCAATTTATAGTGCTCCGCTTCTTAGGCCCGAGTGTGTTTGACAACAATAATGATGGTTTGTGAGAAGGTCGCTTGCGTGGTCGGTTGTCGTCTTCGATAGAGACCTTGAAGAAGAACAAGCGCAGTACTATCAAGGTTGCCACGTGACGTAATAATATGGCTGTGTGAACAATTAGGGGGTACCGTAGGCGGCTTCTGCCAAGATCATTCATGTACGTATACAAGACTCTGACCTGGAGTTTGCTTGCAAGTGAATCCAGTTCATCGCACTCCAACATGACTAAATCGCTTCAATCAAGTTTATCATGGTGAGTTTCAGATAGTTTCTGGTGCCCAGGTCGGCCTCCTTAACGATTTGCTAACTCGATGGAGTTCATCAGATGTTAGAATTCACCATCAGAAGTTACGTCTCTTCGGGTTCTCCGACTCCGATCATCTTGCCAAGTGGTCGCGACAACACGTGAAACTCGGCCTTACTATGCTAGGAGGTATGCTTCGATTATAGTTGAACGTTGAACGTTGAGCGCTTGAGCACACATCTCGTCCGCCTCATCCGTCACTCGATAGTTTTTACCTACCTCCCTCGGGCCTCCAGTGCTGGATTCATGTGTCTTTCGGACCCTTTGATCTCTCAGATGGATCACGTTCCGAAGGTCTGATCTTCAAACTTCCCGAAACTTCTCTTCTTCAGCATTCTCCGGATCACGCGCTCGGCCCAGATCCCTGCCCTCTTGGGCTGGTCTGGCAAAGTCACACCTCCCCACACAAAAACCGAATCAACACTTGATGAAATCTTGTTTGATTTGTTTTACAAAGCCCTAACATCTCTCTGCAGTCTAACTACTCACTTCTCTGTCGATATCAGCTATCCTACCCATTCCTCTAATATTGTTTTAATACAAAGGGCCCTGTCTGGGCACTTTTAGGAGAACGATGCCTGGTGCGCACTGTCCTTTCCTTACATCTCTCTCATGGAACTATTGAGAGTATAGCAAGACGGTCACGCGCAGCTAGACAGAAAGGTACGAATATCTCAGTATTCGAGTTGAAACTCCGATTAACAAACGTTGTACCTAGACAGAAAGGTACGAATCTACTATAACGTTAGACCTCGAGTCGAACGTTACGAAAATACTAACTCACATCTCAGTATTCGAGTTGAAACTGAGATGCTTGGATGTGGGTACCTGGGCTTATAAGGTGAGTCTCCCAGGTACAGTCATATACGCTAAAATAAACTAAAAGATGGACAGCGCACAAGTTGGCCATGACACGTCGACCTCGTTCTCCGTTTGGATGCGCTCGCACTTGGTGTCCTTTCCCCTGGCTCTATGCTTCGGCCGGTTGCTGCCTCTCCACCTCGCCTCTCATCCTTTCGGCCTTGTCTCCTTCGGTTTCGTCGGATCCCAACAGGAACTTGTCTCTTATTCCATCATAATGTCATTGGTCTCGCGACCGACAGCTCGATGAGTCCGGATGTTGAGCCTAATAACGGATGGCAACGCGCTGGTATACGACCATTACGGTTTCCCAAATTGCAAACTTTCGCTCTGTCAAAAATGTTACAGCAAGTAAGTAGCAGGAGCAAAGGAGAAGGTAAGTATTTCGAACTTTGTTTTCTGTGAAACAAAAGCCTATATTCGCCTCGCAGCCCCATTACTCAACGACGGAACAGTCCACGCATAGGAATAGATGTATAATGAGGCAGACGATACACTTCTAAGTATACAATGGGAATCATGATCACACACAGGTCAACAAAGTACACATACGAGAACAGAGACAAAGACGGGAAGAGAGGTATAGATGACACACGGATATACGACGTACATGAACGGAAGATACAACAAATCCAGGAAAAATGGCATAAATAGTACCCATCGGCCCGCGTACATATGAAAATCAAGGCACACGCCATCGCTCCCGTCCCCGAACGACTAACCCTCCGTCCCACATCCTTACATCCCACCCCTTGTTCACGAGCGCACGGTGTACTGCGGGCTTCAACACGCCCACGCCCCCTGCAGAGTGGGTACCGCGGCCAGTAATAAGGCGAAGGGGGTATGCTATGGAACGAAGGTCGGGTGAAGTGACAGACGCACACACATAGCTCCGTTCAGCAAAATGCCCAGTAACTGACAAACAAAACGAGACAACGCACTCACCAGGTGAACATCCCTCCCTCTCTAAGATCTCACTTGTGATCACTATCGCCTCTTGAACACATGTCCCGTGTAGGTCGATGGATCTTTTGTCGTCGGAAGCGTATCTACACGGTGCATTAGTTTTTGAGAATATTTGGAGGAAATTCTAGAAGACAGAAAAACTCACCTCTTCGCTTCAACTAACCCTCTTGCCTCATCCAATGCGTCCTCCCGCGCCTTCTCCGTAACCTCTCTCGCTCTCTGCGCATAGTACAGCGCCACCTCCCCGCCCAGTGAACCCCGCCATGCTCGGCCCGCCTCGCGCAGCAGGTCTTCGCGCTGTATGCGCGCCTGAAGCATCCCACGCGCAAAGTGCGCATGCCGCGTCCCAGAGATGCTCCCTCCTGTCCCGTTCTTGGCGAGTTCTCCAGCATCCCCCTTCCCGCCTTTGCCGAACACATTGCCTGCGCCACGGATTTTACGCTTGTTCGTGGGGTTGGGGTTCTCCGGGGGTTGTGTGGTTCTGGGGGTTCGAATCGGCACATCTTGCCATGGCTCCGAGAGTTGGGGCTGTGTGATAGGACTGGAAGGAGAGGTTGCAGATTTCCGCTTCAACGTTGGTGGAGGCGGCACAGGCGGGGGACCGGTCGGCAACTTTGCACGTGCAGGAGTAGAATTTGACCTTGAGCCTGAAACCGGAGGTGGGAGATGATATATTCCTGCTTGGCATGCGGGATGCTCGAGGTCACGCAGAATCCAAACGATATCTAGAGCATCATCCGGCCTGTTCTGTGCGGCAGAGAGTGCGACGCGGGCGTCTGCGTACAACGTATTACGTTGTTCCGCATCAAGAGTGGCAAAAGTGGGCGAGGCTTCGAGGAGGTCGAGAAGGGCGAATAGCGTGTTGGTTTCTGCATCTTGATTAGATTTCTTGATAGGAGATTTTTTATTAGCTTTGTGTTTGATGCTAGTAGAAGTCGAGGGCAAGGCTGCAAGAGCAGCGCGAAGGGCGTGCGCGGGTGTGGCGTGTGTTGGGGAGTGGAAAAAGGGGGCGAAATGTGATGGTGGGGCTGGAGGAAGTAGTGCAGCGAGGTGAGTAGAAAGGGAGGAGACTTGCGTCCATATGTCCACACCCGCGCCCATAGCGCCCATCGTCACCCCCTCCTTTTGCATCCCTTTCGCCTGCAATAAAGAAGGGGGGGCATGCTGTGTCTGCATCATATCCACAATTTTGATCGTACGACCCTTAGCCTTCTTTTTTGTGGGCGTGGCGAGCTTAGGTGTCGATTTCGGTTTCGTATGTATGACGGTTTCCCAGTCCCCATCGAGCAATGGTGAAGGAGTTCGTTCAAGGGCATCAATTCCACGCTCCTCGAGGTCGCGTATATGTTCCATGTTCAAGATATGTTCCACCACTCTTTCCATGTCAACATCTCCGTTTCCCTCCAGGACTTCTCCACACTCTTCTCTCAGCAGGCGTTTGAGGCGTTCCATAGGCACATCCGAGAAAGCTTCTTGCAAGAAGCCAAGTGGCGAGCTGAACGAGTGCTGAGATAAAGATGATTCGCTCGCAGTTGTACTGTCGCACAGGTCTGGAGTGGTGAGAGACGTAATGGACATGATGTCGTCTAGCTCGCACTCATCCTCCTGCGCCTGGTTTGCAAGGACCTTTAATATATCTCGTATGGTCTCGACCTGGTCAGAGGAGTAGGTGGTATCGTCCCCTTCTTGCACATGGTCTGCAATGATAGCTGCAAGAAGGGAAGTATCGATTTGGGGGAATTCAGCCTTCGCGGCCGAGCCATGATAAATGATTCCGAGTCAGCACTGCAGAACAAGTGGCAAAATGGGGAAACGCACCTGTAAAGTATCATATAGGTCCATGGTGGTCCTTTGTAATGTGGCAGCACACTGAGAACTCGTTGATTCCAATTCAAGTGAGGTGGGTCGCATATAATGATGGTGGTATTGATATAAGCCGATATCGTAATTCAGACATGCGGAAAGAGCATGTTTTTCCTATAGAGCCTATTATTGGCCGAGGCTATGGCTATTACCAATGGTAATAAAATTCATCATGCGGGGTCGATCGAGCGACTTGTGATTCAGCTGTTACATAACACTGTGATTCTTAGTCATCCTTAGCTGACCCATCATAACCGCGGCCGCCCACGTCATTCTCTAGCTCCGCTGCGGTCAGTCAGCGCTTTAGCAGCGAAAAACCAGAACACACGTACACGTACTTGCGTCGTCGGTAATGAGCACTGGCATTGGCATTGACTGTGTTTGCCACTTGGTCGGTCCTAGATTCGGATGAAGTCAATAAATTTGATGCCGCTAGCTAGATGTCAATGGCAGAACGTGGTACGTTGATCCTGCTGCATTATTGAAAATTGCATCCACCAACTTTGCCCCGCTGTTGAACTTAGGCATTGGTACATGGCGACCGCCTTTCGAGTATACTGCCCTCCCCGTGCGATGCTGCATTGTGCGAGCCGCATCTTGGACTTAATGAATATGTCTGGGGTATTCTCATTATTACTTCTAAGGCCGCATCTCGCTCATTCGTCTCATCGTTATGTAAATAACACTGCTCCTCCATTCGAATCAGCGATCAGCGCCGAGCGGTGAGGTAGAACTTCGAAGACAACCGTGCTCGGAAGGAATTTGAGATCTTCCATTTTATCTCATATCTATCGTGCTTTATGCGAACAAGAACTCCGCTGGCAGAGGAACGCTGAGGGCCAGTGGTTGAAACATCTTACCCCATGGGGTCCAACTGACTCAAAGTGGTAATTGTCCCTGGGGTAAGAGCATTCTCGTCATTAGAGTTTTTACTACTTAAGTGAAACGTCAGCATTGCATCAAGGCCCTCCGCCAATTAGCTTGCAGGCACGCCACCTATTCGTTTCCTTGTTATGTAAACGATCATCCAAATTATTTGTCCATTCGAATCACAAGACACCTTACTCGGAAGGGAACGTCTTCCGCTCCACTTCATTGACAAAATTTACGACACCTGCGATCCACTCTTGGGCGAACAACTCTGATGCCGGTAGATGTATAGAGGTTCGGGTTCGTCTATAATATATCTTGATTAGTGCCCGCTTGGCAAAGCACTCGAAGTATATAAGGTCATGTCCGTCTCTTCGAGTTATTCGTTTCCAACTCTCACATTCGCAATTCACTAGCAAATAGCATGCGCACCGGTACATACAAGCTGGCAAATGTTGCGCGCCCAGGGCAATATGTCTCTCTCGTCGATGGCAACATCGTTGGACACTCTGAAGAACCTGGAATCATGATTGAGGTATGATCGGCTCTATGGACCGACTCTTATTTGCTCGAGGCTTACTCTAAACGCATTCCAGTGGTTTGCGATGTTTCACGAGGGCGAATTGGCAACATTCCAAGCGGTTCGCAATGGAGAAATACTTGAGGAATATATTTACTTCGACTCCAATGTAAGTTGCTCTCTCGGACCTCAACGAAATGTGACCTAATCCGAAGTTGCTGTCCATTCCAGATTCGGTCTTTGACTTGTTCCAAAAATCCTTGGCTTTTTTGGGTCAGCGAAAGCCCCAGATCGTCCAAGTTTTTTTCGTGAGTCTATAATCGCGAGTAGACCAACTATGTCTCTTAAAGGGGTTCCCTTCAGCATCGAAATCGAATGCACGGACTTGGCCTGGTCACTCACGTCATGGGACGAAAACTCACCTGTATGAACCGTCTATTACTACCTTTCCTGATGAAATATCTTCTGATATGGTGTCTCAGATCGAGGCCCAGAGTAACACCAGCTCTACTCAGCAGTTGTGGATGTTCGAGAGAAATGATCTGATGAGTAGCTCCATATAGTACATTTTGTTACAGGTTGCGTAGGTTGAACGGCGTCCGCGAAATCAATCAATCCCTTCTTGTATAGTTCTTGCCAGTAGCCGGGAACGATGGCAGCGGAAAGTCATTATGTACTTTTTCCCCCATTTATTGCTTGCATTGTAGGCTAGCCTAATACCGACAGTACATATTATGCTATACGGCGTTATCATTATGGACTGGTCTAATGATCACCGTTCAATCTCATCAAGTGTCTTGTGGGTATGGTGAAGCCGCACTTTAATGACCTGTTTATGTCCGACCAGGCGAACAATCACTGATCGAACCACCTTACTTGTCTGCAACATGTCATCGAATCTGAAGTGTTTTTGTGATTCACGCTTGAGAATTCCATCTGACTCACGATGCCTGTATGAAAGGAAGGGATGACAGCGGGTGATAGCAAATACATACGATGGGTTTAATAGGATCGGATGAGAATCACGCGACCCATGAGCTGGTAGTGTTGACTCGTGGCAGGATCGATATTATGATGGTCACGGTATACTGGCATTTAGTTACATGCAGAGTTTATGATGAGGGTGCAAAGCAGGTATTGTACAAGCTATCCTAAGTCCGACGAAGTCCATGAGGTGAATGCACAGTGCAACAATAAAAATATGAGGAAAACAAACAGCATTTCGGCAGTGCCTTAGTGAAAGAGAACTTGCAAGGGTAAATGAGTCAATTTCAAAAACAAGAGTCACACCCTCTCACCTTAAGACCAATCTTCGTCCCTCCACGGACCAGTGATAAGCAACGGATCATCTGACACAATTTCATCATGCACGAGCTTCTTCTTCCCTCTCCTGCCTTTCAGCCTCTGCATCAAGCCAACAGAGCCGAGCTCTTCAGTGCCACACGAGCCCACGTCCTCGTGCACCCTAAAAATGTCCATGTCATCCCCCGATCTACTGTGGGCATCATGCAGTGTTAGCTGCATCAAGGACTGTTTCCTCATGGCTCCCTTCGCGTGTGGCCGTATCGCGAGTTTCGAGTTGGGGCCGACGACTGTACCGGAGCGCGTGCGGCCAGGCAGAGAACCAGCAGGCCCGGCGATAGTCGAAGCGAGGGAGGTCAGTGTGGAGCCACTAGAACAAGAGGAAGCGGTCTGTGTGAAGTCAGATGCGCGGATGGTACCGGCGCGGTTCCTCTTGTGCTTGACGGTGCTTGTTTTCTTGGAGCTGACGCTGGCGGGGGTCTCGAGGGAACGGGTACGCATCGGGAGCTGAGTACTATCATCGTGTCTATCTGCGAAAGAGTTCAGTATCAGGCAAATGCAAATATTAAAGGTCGGAGCCTAAGAGAAGGTCATCTGCGCAAGAGCAACGAAAGCAATTAAACACGAGATCCAAAAAAGATAAAGAGATTTATGGCAACCACATGATGGTCGGGAACGGAGGTGTAGCCACCGAGAGCGTGTACATACCACCCAAATCAAGTGATAGCATATCTTGGATCAGGTCTGCTTCGCTTGGCGCGCCTATGCCTAAAGTAGCCGCACCACGAGGAGGCAAATTAGCAGATACGTTTCTCGCGGAGGAACCTGGGCAGTCCAGAGCGGGCGAACTTGATCCATCGGGCGGGCTTGAGCCAGGAAGCGCTAGGATATTCTGACCTAGTGAGACCTTGTGCTGTGGGCCGAGATTAGCGTCCAAAGCCGGGGGAGAAGACGCCAGAGTAATCATGTATTCGCCCATTGAGATCTTCTGAGGAAGTATGTCAATAGACATAGACATAGGTGCACTGCCAGCACTATCGATGCGATCATCAAAGTCGATTGCATTGGAAATTTGGTGAGACCTAAGCGTGAACGAGCCAGAGGAAGAGATAATGCTATTGCCTGAGATGCGGATCTTGCGGTGCTTGGTATGATCTGCCATTTCAAAGTCTTCGTCGCGCGGAAGGCGCGGGGAAGGCGCAAGGAAGGCTAGATTTGAAGGAGATTTCGGCGCTTGGAGGCCTGTCCTGCTGCCAGAGCGGCTATGCGGCGGGGTGGAAAAGAACTGGGGACGATCAATAAGAAAGGGTGATGCAGACAAACTTTGAATCGGATTGGGCTGGGTAATCGAATTCCGATCTGGTTCACAGACACCTGCATGGATTGTAAGTGCTTTGGATGGAGAGATCCAATCCTGCTGTGCGATATGAGAAAGCATATACGAGGGATCTGGGCTCGAGGGACGACGTTGATGCTTCGAAGGCGAGTATCTGGCCAGCTCATTGAGAGATACCGTAGAGTTCTTGCGGGATAATCTGGTATAATTGAGGGATATCGTAGAGTCTTTACGGGAAAGCTTCCTGTCATTCAGGGATATGGTTGAGTCTTTGTGCGAGATTTTGCGGCGAGTATATGCACTATCATCTTTCTGAAAGGCACCAGAAAGCGTGCGAGACTTTAAATGCAGGGGGACGCGAGATGATCGCGCCTTCGCTTTGGTTGTGGAGCCAGTGTGAGGGGAGGAGGGACGACTGTGGAAAGGTGATGCAAGGGAAAGGGATGTACTATTCTCCTTCAATTTTCGCGAGCTCGTGCGCGAGAGAGTACTTTTGACATTCGGTACGGGGGAAAACTTTTCTGGTACCAGCGGACGCGTAACTGAAGATGAATGAACGTACTCCGCAGAAGGAAATGGTGTTTGGAACGCGTCGACATCAGCTTCTGCTCCTGGAGCATCTGACACGACAGTTTTCCTGGCACGTTTCACGATATGACCCTTTAGTCGCACTGTGTCGTCATCTTCGTTAGCGACACCCCGAGAGCGCTTGAGCATTCGCCTAGACATCTCTGAACGCGTAATATCGTCACGATCAGGAGGAAGGGCTTCAAGTGGAGAAGACAAGAGCTTCGCAGCAGCATTTGCACGTCCCCGCTTGTGTGCATAGGTTACCTTAACTGGCTGTCGAGTCATTGTATGTCAGTCTTTGACCCGTTGAGCATAACGCGACGTTGTGGAGCACGCTCGGTTATGTAACGAAGCTGTTGCCATACAAGACCAAATACAACGCGCCCCTGGGCCCTGGCACTTAATACTTAAAGAAGTACTTGCCTTGAAGCCAAGACTGAAAATCTGACTTAAGGTACATCGGAGCCCCTACAAGCCCGAGGACAACAAGGCGCTTATTTATTCACTGCAAGTGTTACATAATAATGATGCATCTCATATTACTTACAAATGACCGAATGCAAAGGCAATAATATCATGTAGTCACGTCGTGGGCAGAACTGTTTAAAAGGAGTTGCACCGGTAGAACCTGGCAGGATCTATGTTGAACGTTGAACCAACGCTGCTTGGGCCCGGTACCCACACAGAATGGTCCCATTCCTGAGTTCTGACCTAGTCAAACCGGATACTTCTTCACGTTAGAAGCGGATTACATAACGAAGCCTTTGCCATACACGAGCAAACTAGGCTTGGGTGGCTCCAAAAGCAAACCACAATCAACATACTTCACAATCACGAGTATTATAGGTTTGCCACGCCAGCCGTACGCTTTTCTGCCACAAAAATCTATGCTTTCCTTCTAGGCTCAATTTCATATTTTCAACAATAATCTTGCATTGGCATTGGCACTTGGCACTTTATAGTCTACAATGGTCGTTACTCGCAGAACTCCAGTGGTACCAGCACCTCCAGTTTCCCGCACACCATCTTCACAAGGTCAACCGCGCTCAGCTAGACCATCTGTAATACAGGACGCATCTGTGCTACCTCATGTGTCAAGCCCACTGGCATCCGGAGACGCGTACATCCCAGCTATTGTGACTGGAGCCTCTAATAACTTTAAAGAGCATAACGACAAGGTGAGTAGTCACGATGAGTTTCTAAACGGACCGATAGAAATGTATGCGGACCTTTCGCGTCGTTTGCTTGGGGTTGTGTTGCTTTCAGCTTGTCGTTTGCCCAGTCTATTGTAAGGGGCTGATCACGCGACTATACAGGATGAACACAAAAAATCAAAGAAGAAAGACAAGCTAAAGAAATCAGGCAAAGTGCGGTTCCTTTTCTTCTCGCTCTAATATATCTCAGCTCACCGACACCAACTCACCGACAGAAGAAGAAACGCAAATCCACTATCCAGTCCCTTTTCGACTTCCTCACCAAGCTCCTTGTGCTCGCCGTCATGGTCTACGTCTTCGCTGTCTGCCCTCGTGAAGCACATCTCCAATCCCCTGTTTGCCGCGGCCTATCTGAGTACAAACGTATCGTTCTCGACCCGTACGTCATCCCACCAATACAAGCGGCGCTTGCGCACCCCTCTATCGCGCCATATGCGGACCGCGTTACCGAGATTGCTGGTCCCATTATCTTTCGTACGCAAGCAGAGTGGACCAGACGTATTGTCCCGCAGTGGGAGAAGCGCGTTGTTCCAGTTTGGATTAATCGTGTGGTTCCCACCTTCACGACCTATGTTGTCCCGCAGTGGGAAACGCGCGTTGTTCCGCAATGGCAGAAACATGTTGTCCCTCAGTACGACAAGCACATCGCGCCGCGATTGAGCAAACTCGAACCTTACGTTGCGCGTACAGAGTCATATGTCGAGCAAGCGAAAACGACGTACACGACGCGTATAGCTCCGCACGTGCGTACTGCTGTTTACAACCTGCAGCGATGGCAGCACAAAGCACAACCTTACATCATCCTTGCCATCCACAAAACTCAGGATACTTATTATGCAACAAAGCCTCACGCGGTGCCTTTGGCAAAAAGAATCGGTGTAGAGTTGCAGCACGCAGTTTTGTTCCTAAGGGAACAGAGACGGATCTTTGTCGATCCCCACGTGGCCAAATTGTGGGAGAAAGTCAAGGAGTTGAGCCGCGGTTCGCCAGCAACTTCAGCGTCTACTTCTGCTTCATCCGACGCAACGGACTTCCCAAGCCCAGAACCTATTATTTCCGAGACATTGGAGCTGGAGTCAATTTACGCATCCATAAATCAACCTCCTGTGGAAACAGATCCAGCACGCGGCATAGCGACGGAGACATCTGTTGGAACGCTTTTAAACGAGGATGCAACGACAGCTACAGAGACGGAGGTACCCGCTGCATTCGACACCGTGCCGATTTTGTACGTCACCTCACAACAGGCATACGCGTCCTCTTCTCACTCTCCCTCGAGATCTGTGCCAACACCAGTGCAAACCCCCCAGAGCGTGTCGTCTCACTTATCAGAGAGTGCACCAGTCACTTCATCGACCATATCTGATGTTGCCGATAGTTCTTTCACTTCCACAATCTCCACAGGCCCTACCGCCTCCAGCTCAATTCCTACACATATCAGTGACAACGATGAGATCGACATCAACGCATTCTATGCCGAACTTGGGCTCGATGAACCCTTAGCCACATCCCAATCTCACGAGCAAGTGCCCCTCAATCCCCCAGAATCGGAGGAAGAGCGCGCTGAAAGGTTGCGCCTTAAAGCTGAGGAGACTGCCCGTAAACGTGCTGATATCGAGGCCCGTCACTCTAAATGGGAAACCGAACTTCGGTCTCAAATGCAGACTGGTTTGTCTACGCTCAAGGGCAGGCTAGGGGCAATCAGGAGCGCTGCTGCTGGCGAGCTTGCAGAGGCGCCTGATATTCGAGATGCCATCGAGAACCTTGTAGCTGATGCGGAGAAGTATATTAAAGGCGCCGAGATCTATCTCAGGAATCTAAGGGCAGAGAGCCGGAAGAACGACGAGAAGACGCCGCTCTGGGAAAGAGTAGTTGAGAAGGTTAGCGTGAAGTTTTCAGAGCGTCTTGGGGTTGTGGAGGCCGTGGTCAACACGTGGTACAGTGCTATCCTCGATCAGGAGCTGCGCGAGGTTAGTTATCTCCTTTTCCCTGTTGTCTTTTGTGTTTTTCCGCCGGTCTGTGACTGTCAGTCATTTCCGTTGGTTTCGGACCACTGCCTTTCTAATTTGTTTTTTGCGCCCGTCATTCCGCATCCTGTCCCCCGCCCATTTTATGGTTTCCCACGACTGAGCCTTTTGTGCTCTTTTGATTTACGTTTTGCCTAAAAAATTCGGTCACTGATTATGGTTTATTTGTTGCACAGGTTTACGCTGTGACCGCCGAAGTTCGCGAAGTCGCCGAAAAAGCCCAAGTCGACTTAGGGCTCGATTATGCTTGGCTCGACGAAGTGACGTATTCAGACTGGCAGCGGTATCATTCCCTGATTGACGGTGAGTCCCCCTATCCATTGCTCCTGTCACATAGCCTGTTAAACTAATCCCTCTTTATTGCCACAGTCAGCGAAAAATTCACTGAAGAAGCAAACTCAATACAAAACGGTACACATGAGAATCTGATCATGGATAACCCGATCATTCCTATCTTTGAGGACCTTGAATCGGAGGTCCAGGATGTCGTGATTGGATTTGAAACACGCCTGCGGCGGATAAAACGCGACGGCGAGCGTGCATTCAATAACGTCCAAAAGGATGAGGAGAAAACAGCTACTGATCCGGAGCGTGATGTTGGGCCGGAGGTCTCGATTCTTCCAATAACGGAGGAAGGTACGGGTGAGCGCACTTATGTCCCCCCTGTTACTATTGGACGAAGCAAGGAAGAGGTACTAGAGGCACTTGGGAAGGTTGAGCCTCTAGAGGAAAGTGCAGGGGACAATGCTCGCGAACACACTGACGCAGGAGAAATTGTGTCGAGTCTGGTTCGCGAGGCGGAGGTAGAGCATTCGGAGAGCACTGCTAATCCTCACACAGAGCTATGAAATTCGTCATGTTTGGATTATTTATGACATCTATGTTTACGGCCTTGCATTCCTCCGTATTTCTTCTTTACTCATGGCATAGCTTTGAATCACCATCATCGCATGTGGTGTACTGCCGGTCAATCGCCGTGTTGTCACGGTTCACGGCTGTTCAATTAACGTTCACTGGCACCAATTACGCCGCTTTGCTTCAAATAATAATTGACGCTCGGAATTTCTTTGATGCCCAGGCCTTGGGAGCCACGGTACATAGACCCTATGAGTCAACTGTAAATAGCTAATGGCCGCTCAAGCGGTCAGGGATCGTTCCTCGTCTGCGTGGCTACTGCATGTCCTCCCACGTGTGCATATTTCTTGACAACTAGTTGTTCAGGAGGTTCAGGGAGGTTCTGAGGGTAATTGGTAGTGCCACGTCAGGTCAGTGGCCCTGTTTACCTCTTGAACCCGTAGTATCTCGAACTTCGAGTAGATATCACACGTAAGGTGACACAACGGGCACACTAACCCTGCCGCTATTAGTGCGAGTGGCCGCACCCAGACTTCGGAGTGAACTGAACTTTGCAACACCAAGTAACACCCACGCTCAGTGACGACGGGTTCATTTTTCGGAATAACGTGATGACTGATAGTGTACACATGCCGCGAAGGATGACTTTCGTTACATCGTTCATGATAGTGACAGCTGAATATTATTAATTATACGACCCCATCTACTCAAAATGCTTCCGGAAATGTGTGGGCAATGCTGTGCGGATCTTAGTGATGCAGGGATCACGCGGATGAAATACACGAGCCCTACATTAACATAATGGCCGGAACCTGAGTGTCCTGGAAAAGTATGACATACCCCATTAATTTTGGACATGTGAACCTGAAGCAAGTCACGATTAACAAGTTCAGTCATGTTTGGTATGTATGAAATGAGATAAAGCAATGAGCAAAGCAAAACAAGGAATCCTGATTGGATGCCGCTATGTCGTACGGTGTTAATTCGCATCTTCGCCGTCAATTCTCCATCGCAGATTGGACTCATAGAACTTGATGAGCTTGGCAGATCGAGTAAGTAATATGTTGTCCAAGAAGCCAGGTTTTTACAGCACACCTTCTGAGGGAACTTTTGGGCACAAAGTCGGGAAACTTCCCGCATTCGAACATCGCTGTGCTTTCTGCAAATATGTTTAGCATTCAGGAATCTAAAACAGGAAATGTCAACGGACATTTTGAAGTACACATAGAGGTCACCCTCGTCTCCGCGTTCGATCGTGTCGATGGTCTCGACAAGGTTCTCCCAACTAGCAATAGTCATGTGCTTCTTCATGCTACCGAAAGTGACCACCTCTTCGTCTTCAGCCACCTGTTTCGTGACCTTCTTCGCAGAAGCCCCTTGGCTCTTACGTGGTTTCTTCTTTGCTCTAGCTTCGTCGTCGTCGTCGCTGGCTTCCTGCTCTTTCTCCGACCGCTCCTCCTGGTCTGCTTTCTTCGGCCTACTGCGTTTTTTTGCGGGGGGCGTGGGCTCTCGAGTCTCCTCTATAACGGTGGATTTACGGCTGGTTTTTGGTTTGCCAGCATCTATAGACTTGCGGGGACCACCCTTACTGGCTTTGCGCTTGTTTTCCCAATACTTAGTAATGAGGTCCTGCGCATTGCTAGAATAGAGTTCGAGTTTGTTTCAGTCAACTTATGCAAGGAGGAATCAAATACACTGCATCATCCTCGTGCACCCAGCTGTTATCCTCCGGGGAATAACCTTTCCATTTGACAAAATAGCCAAATTTACCCTATGGCGCGTTAACATTCCGCTTGTTTGAATACGACAATGAACGTACATCACCAAAATAACCTTTTTGAGATTCCATGACTTCCTCAATCTCATACTCCTCATCCTCCTCGTTGCCCTCTTCTGCAGGAGTGTCGTCATTCTCCGACGCGAGTTCAAGCTCTGAAGAGGATACGCGATTCTTCTTGGACGAGTACTCTATCCTCTTTTTCACGCGTGGCCTGCCCGCATCCGAGTCAGAATTGGTCGCATCTGTCACTCGAGGCATATCAGACTGCTTGTGAGGAGTGGTAATTGGAGCAAGTTCAATTCGAGGCTGAGTTCAATGTGCAACAAGAAACTTGGTGGCGCGGGCGTTATGTAATCGTTTGGAACAAAGGTAAACAAGCTTGTCGACGGGCACTCGGCAAATCCCGGCCGCCCTTGGGGATGTCTTGGTCTAACTGCAGTCACATTAGTGTATAATCTGGCAGTATTGTGTTACAGGGAAGTATAAGTAGCCCAGCCGCGCACGCGCACATTGAAACGTGCGCCGAGTGGCAACTTCACGTTCCACACTGCCCAACTGCGGTTCTCGGATCTCCCTGCATCACAATTATAACGATATGCAGGTATGACAATTTTGCCGGGACCTTTTATAAGCGCGCCGTCATGTTGCATCGGCGAACAGATGTAATTGCGGGAGAACAGGAATGATCAAGTTACAATAAACAAAGCTGAATACAGTCAGACATCGAGGACTCAAGGGAAAAATGAAGAATAACCTCAGTCTCTCTGTCTGCGTGACGGACTAGCACTCCGACCGCGCCCTTCCCGACCTCCTCTGCCTTTTTTCGGGCCCGATGGAGGGGGCCGAACGAACGCGTAGTCGCATTGGACCGCCTGTTCTAGTAGTGGCGTTCCCGACGCGCCATCAATAGCAGCCTGAGCCTCAGCCATGGTCTCATATTCCACGAGTGCATAGCCCTATAAATGAATGGTTGTTGATTCCCTCGTTCCCTAGATGCGATAAACGGACCTTGACATAACCCGTGCGCCGGTCCAAATTTAAATGGAGATTTTTTATCTCTCCGAACTCTGCAAACTTGTCCGTGACGTCTTCCTCCGTTGCCTCCTCGTGTACGTTGGTGACCAAGACGATCCAACCTTCAACGGCTGTGCAAAGAAAATGCAAAGTATGATTCATAAACCCGATGTGGTGGAATAAGCCAAAACATACTTACATCGCGCGGCTCTCGTGTCATCCTTGACATGAGAGGATTCAACCCTGTCGTAAGTTGGCTCAGTGGTGACTGTGCCATCATTTCCACCTGCCGCAGCTTTAGTTGCACATGGGTGAAACGCGAGTATGAAGAGTGATTACCTGCTGTGTTTTGGAATCCCCTGCCTCTCCGTCTCACAGCGCCGCCACCGTTAGCGACTTATCTCGAGTTAGAGCACAACCTTAAACCATAAAATCGTGAAACAAGTACCTTCATCGATATTCATTTCATCGTCGGACATGGTGGTTGTTGGATGCGGTTGGTGTGACGTGTGACCAATGTGACAAGGCAACCGATTGACTATTTGACATGGCGGATACAGATATTGTCCCTCAGGCTGTCGCTGCAGTATGTACTAGTGTCGTCAAGTGATTTCGACATAACTTTGCTGTCACCAGACGATGACATATCCAACCTCTGGATACAAGCACGCGTGTACTAGTACAAGCGGCCTGAGCGTTCAAGGTTCGGGCTATGGAACGTTGAGGTTAGAATCGGATTCTCACGTAAGTCAACAACGACCGAATCAATATACTGCTGTACGATGATTGGCAGTCTCCCACACAGACATATTGCAGGATACTATGCCCGAAGTGCTTCCGAGCATCGGAAGCCAAGTCCAATGGAAACTAATGCAGCGTCTTGCGGCGGGGGATTAAATTTCCAGAGAATTAACTTGTATGACATGCTATGCTCTGCTATGCTTTGTGCCATCATTTTTTATTGTCCATCTTTCGCCTTTAAGCTCTCCCGACATTTACCCTCCTTTCAGGTTAACCATTTTTTCGGCATGTGTCTTCCGTATTCAACTTAACGTTGTCTCAGTCTCTCACCTCAGACGCCATCTAACGACGCTTTAAAACCCACGATTGGCCACAACGTCACCTTTTAATCCCGATTAGCTCATTCAGCTTCACCGTGGATACAAAGCGAAGGTACTATAAAACGTGCGCCACTTGAAAGCTGGCTCGGAAAGCTACAACTGGGCAGTGCCTGGAAGCAGCATCGCCTCACAGATCTCAGATCCTCAAAACTCAGATCCCGAACGACTCAACGGTCAATGTGGGCTTGACCTCTCTCACGCGAAACCCTTGTGAAGGTACCTGTCGACCTAAACCTTGAAACCTAAGCGCGCTTCAGCCATATTTAAGCTCAACCGACTCGCCATAAACTTCATAACCAGCCACTTTTTCATCTGACCTTCTAAAGATATCTTTTGATCTTCCAACTCGGTTGTCCAAAATGAACCCTGTTCCTCTCATTAACCACCCTTGCACGGTATGCTGCAGGCCCACTTCCATGTGGTGCAGCCGCTGCCAAGCCGCGTGGTATTGCGCTCCCGAGCACCTTCAAAGCGTAAGTCTTTAACGACAGTCGCGTGATAGATACGCGACTTATCAATCACAACATCCAGGATTGGCCGCGCCATCGAAAGGAATGTGTTCCGGCAACCCATGCCCAAAATTATAATATTATTGCCACTCCACCTCCTGCTGAGCAGCAGGTGATTATGGTTTCTGCCATCCTCTTCTCTCCCGAAGAAGGTGAATCCCGACGCGTTTTCATGTTGTTACAACACGCTCATCACTTGCAGAGCGTCCAAGGATCATCACGGTCAAGTGCCGTCCGTCCCAGGTCCCGTCGCAGGGCATGTGTCCTCAACCTCTCGTCAGCGGACATTTTTCGGACGGTCAAGCGGAAAGCATTGTCTTGACGCAAGGCTTAAATGGAGAGCCGCTCAGATTTCCCCTTCATCTGTGGTACTCCCCAACTGCGCTGTCGCGTTGCGCACCCATTAACCGTGCTATCTATCACATCACGTCCGGTGCCGCTGCGAAAGCTTGGTGCGGTACAGTTGTCGTCCTGAAGTTCAACGGATCTCGGCGCCAGGGCTACTCTGATGCAGGGTCGAATGATCTTCCAGCTCTCTCAGCCTATTTCCTGGCCTATAAGTAAACGCATAACGCGTTTGGTTCTTAATGTGCTTAAAAAGTAGAATATAAGCCACATCATCCGGGGAAGGCGCATGCTTCTGACCTTTCCATTGCAGCATTATAGCTCCTTGTCGTATATTATCGCACATATATATCGTTTGTTGCTTTGTTTCGATATCTGTAGCTTTCATAGTGTTTTTGTTTTGTTATCTTACTAGTGTCTGCTCTTAACTGTATTTCTCCATAAAATAGATGAGTAGTTATTGTTATTTGCAATTGGCTGTGCAAAATTGCGCGAGGTTACGTGGAGTGATGTCGACTGTAACGTGGACAGAAAATTAGATGAACCATCGTGCATGATGATCACTGTAGGCAAAGGCATTGGCAACCCGACCCGCACGCAAAAGCCGTTGCTGCTTGATATGAAGTATTGCCAGTTGTAATCGACGGTGCTGGTCGAGAAAGAAAGCAAAGGGCTATATCACGATCTAGTAATTGTAGACATTCCCACGCCCTGTGCGCTATGCAACGTATATGTGTAACTATGTAGGCGATCACTAATTTGCGTTCCTAGCGATCAACTTGAACCTTGCAAGTCTGTAAACCACTCAAATGTTATCCTTCATATCATTTTCATCACAGTCTACTGATTCCACTTATCATCGATCCGCGCGACATCATCCAGATGTTGAGGATCTTATGGATGTGGATGACGATGATTTTTCAGGTTCTGAGCCGAGGCTGACTTGCCCAGGGGAGACCATCACATCGTCGCAAGCATTCATGCGGTAAGCAGTTTGTAGCAAATGATATTTTAATGTGTTAATGAGCGCCTGCAGTGGTCATGGGACATATGTCGACAAAGAGGATGTCATTGCCTCCGTCGTGGGGACTGTAGAACGGGTGAACAAACTCGTGACCGTTCGTGCGATTCGTACCAGGTGAGTGGTTTTCCAAAATTGCTGGTACTCCTGGATTTATTTTCGATCAAGATACAATCCAGAGGTGGGAGATCTTGTCGTTGGGCGCATAACAGAGGTGTGTACCTCATCGTGAGGCTTGAGAGTTCCATTAAAGGTTTGACACATAGGTTCAACCTCGAAGATGGAAAGTAGATGCCAATTCACGTCAAGATGCCATCTTGATGCTTTCGTCAGTCAATCTACCCGGAGGGGTACAAGTGGGTTTTCCCCTTGCAACATTGTATAGTCTTTGTAACCCCATTCATGCTAGCGTCGGAAATTAGAGAGTGATGAACTCCAAATGCGAAATTTCTTTGAGGAAGGGGATCTTCTGGTTGCCGAGGTACAAGCATTTTTTTCGGATGGCGCCATGTCGTTACACACGCGATCTTTAAAGTACGGCAAGGTGAGCGCCGCATTGTCAATTTCATTCTTCTGAACAAGGGCTTCATTCTGAACCCCTTTGTAACAGCTGCGGAACGGCCAACTCGTGACAGTACCCCCAATATTGGTTCGGCGATTAAAGTCTCACTTCATATCTTTGCCGTGCGGCGTCGACCTTATTCTGGGGTTAAACGGCTACATATGGGTTAGCAAACAAGCGAAGGATAGTGACCAAGGCGAAGAGGGTTTTGATGCTGAAGCGGTGTATTCGAACCAAAACGATGTGGGTGAATGTCATTAGCACGGAGCATAGTAGACGCTCACCCAATTTTTAGGATATCGACAATGCTACTCGTGCAGCAATCTCACGCGTCAGTAACATTATTCGCGTCTTTGCGGACCATTTTGTTCCTTTAACGGATACACTTTTACTGGAAGCCTACGAGTGGGTGATCGAACAAGAAGGGGATGCCAAACGTTTGTTATTGGGTGATACAGGTGATGCGCTCGTCGCTGCCATGAGTCTTAGATGTTGAGCAATGTGTCTCCGTAGTTACATATCATCATCCTCGTCTTCTACATTGTCTTCGTCCACATCGTTCTCATCATGCTCTGCGCTGTCCTCTTCTTCCTCGTCCTCTTCGTCGATAGTTTGATCAGCAACTCCTGCCTGAGGTTGCGGTTGCTGTTGCTGCTGCTGTGGTTGGGTCGTAGCACCATTGGCCATCTTTCTTGCCTCGGTCGCTCTCTTCATCTCTTCTTTCTCATCATTGACGGGTAATAATCGGTCCAAAGCAAGGTCTCTCCAGCGTAAAGAGCCATTCACACCACCCCCGCCATAGCCCATGTCCTCGAATAACGCCCGAGAAGTTGGGTCATATGGTGGTCTCGGTCTTGCAGCTGGATGCTTGATATTTGTTGGATTCCCGTAGGGATATGAGGGGTGGACCTGAGAAGGCAATACTGTCAAATGGAGATCAGCCAGAGTGAGCCTATCAGAAAGAGTGTCATCGCGAACTGTCAGAATCGTCCGGATTCGGTGGAATCATATGTGTTGGTATGTCGAGTTCTATTCATTTTGCACATTTTCAATCAAGTGTTCAAGATTTTAGAAGTGGTTTGTCCTACCGTCATCTGATAACTCGCCAGAGATATATTCTGGACTGTCAATGGTGTCGAGCACTTTTAGATCATGTTCAGTCATGTGAATGTAACAAAATGTCAGGTCCTACATTCAGCTCAGTTTGTAGAATGGTTGAGCATTGGAATAACTGACGGTCATCTCTCCAGCTCGTGATGCTATGAGTCGAATGTAACATTCGCGCGTTAACCAAGAAGTGTGGCTGTGCGGCCAGAACTGGAAGTCGCGGAGTTTGAAAGTAATACCACCTTCCACTTTCGATCACGGTGACATTATGATTCTACTGACAGTACTTATGAGACATCGCACACTAGTACCAGTACAAGCTCCGTTAAGGGCTGGCTAAATGTGAGCAAGTTCTCGCTTTCTGCCATGAACTCTGTCCTAGATGCCAAGCCCTTTGATCACACAAGCAGGCTCGATCTACAGGACCATATACATGCTACTACCATGATGATGATCGTAATGGATCATAAATTAGTTCGTTGTCATTATTCCACAAAGTTTGCTCTATTAAGCTTTGGCTAACCTTTCTATAGATTCCGGCCGATCGACACCCCTCCTGAGCTTACCATTCGATAGCCAAGTTGATCTCTACTCATGCCAAGCCCGCGCCCATACCGTATGGGTGGACTTTCTGTTGATACCTTTGTATCTGATAGGTGCTGATAGGTCTTGCTAGGGTCCCTGAAAATGATTTACTGCGGGGTGAATTATTAGCGAATATTTCCTTCACGGGAGTGAAGTAATATGTCTTCATCAAGAACAGCGAATAGCATTCGCTTCAACAATCATGAAGCAAGCTTTAACTTCAGCCCCCCAACAAAGAAAGCTACTCGTGATTTAAGATAAGTACTACGTTACCAAAGTCGTTACCAAAGTCTTACTAGTACCGCCCTTCGCATGTCAAATGCACTTCCATGACGTTTCCGAGAACACCTGCAAGTTTCCGAAGTGTTTTCACATCCGATGCGATCTGAGGTAACGCATCCCGCCGAGCAGGTGAGGGAGTGCTTGAACAGGTATGAAATTCAACGCCCACGCACAGCACGATGATATGTCAGGATGGACTTGAATCGAAGGCCGTAAGAGAAGGCCAAAGGCCGTGCTATAACAGTCGGAACCAATACTGTTGTAACTTCTTAAAGACGGTCTCAGTATAAAGCCAGTGCAGTGTCATAAATATGGTCACTTATTCCCAGTCGGTGGGCTCTGCGCAGAGTCCAGACTCATCATAATATTACTTACTTTAGCATACTCTACCCTCGGGTCGTCATGACTGTTGATGAATAAAAAAAATATAACTTACCAATTCTTCGGTCTTCAGAATCCTCGCGAAGTAGACGCGTTTGTGGTGTCAGTTGCTCGGGATCCAGACGGGGTTTGCACTACTTCCTTAACCAACATTGCCGCTCGGTCCCAATCCTCGATTTTCCGGTGCGTGGGCACAATGTCAATAATATCGACGCCGCTCCGCGCATGTTCGCGGCTACGCGTTCCTTCTCGTTACTGGATAATCTCTCGATCCCACGTCACGGTGAGGAGATTGACTCACTAATCACACGTTCTTTGTGTGGTCCAGCCTGGATTCTGGAAGGTCCCGAGAAGTATTACCTAGCTTTAAAGTCTAACCTTGTCTGTTAATTTAATCCACACAACATGCAGGGCCGCTCGCGGGAGAACCCGCTACGGGTCGCAGTCTGTAAACACAGTCAAACTTGATTCATTGAGTATGAAGATACGCACATGACTTTTTCTGGAGTGATTTGATATGTTTTTCAATGTGCGACGAAGCCGTCTTATCTTTGATCCAGCTTCAAAACTGACTCCATTTGCCTTGAGTGATCGTTCCAAAGGGCGTCGTTTCATGGTTTTTAACATAGCTGTCAAGAACGGGAATAGGCCGTGCTTTCTTCGAGAACATTGACGTACAAAGTCATAACCTTCAAACGAGTGAGAACCAGAGTCCTGTACAACATGGTAAGAAATAAACTCCCGCAAATTTTCCACGGACGGGTCAATGTCTACCGGAAACCCACAAGTAACCGCTAACGCATTCAGAGCTGGTCTGCATAGCTATCAAAAAATTTGTTCACAGTATGATCATTTGTGCGCTAGTACAGATGAACACAACGGAGACAAGCGAGATAGACCCGCTTGGGCAGCTAAAATACCTTCACCGTCTGTAACAAGCACAGAAGAAGTTTTATCTTTGTAAAATCAGAATGGTGCCATGGAAAAAACAATGAATACACGTACCTTCAGGCTGGGAAATCCAACTGTGGCCAGCAGAAAGCTGGGCGACATCCAATTTCGAAAGCCATCGGAATCAATTCTGGCATTAAAAAAATGCGAGCCAATCACAAGAAAGATCGACATCGCACTTATAAAGCATCCGTCGGAAATGACAAGTACCGACCATCAACGATTGGCACGCGCACCGGGCCAAAAGGGGACTCCCAGCAACTTCATTATGGAACAAGTGGAAGACATGGTCGAGCGACGCGAGTACTATTTGGTGTCTGCGCGCTCCGTCAGCTTCGTCAGGACTGTGCGAACAAACTCACCAGAACAAAAGAATTTAGGGCCGGAGAGCATCTCTGATTATGAGGCTTTTACGGCGATGACACCTACTGCCGTAGCAGGATTTCGGACTCCTGTCACCCCTGTCTTCTCGCCGCCGTCGACGACGTACTCGTCCAGATCGACCAGTCAACGTAGAAAAAAAACATACATTATTATACATCAGCTATGATGTCTACGTACGCTCTTGGATAATAGACCTAAGCAGTCCTAAGCGGTCCCTTCACCTTCCGCCTCTCCTTTTTGTGCATTCGTTTCGCTTGTCGCAACAGGTTCGAGATTCTGCAATCGCATCTCCACCAAGAACTCTTTATCCCTGATTGCCTGTGACCAGGAGGACAACAACCTCAACGTAGCCATCGATGCCCGATAGAGGCCTACCGTGGCAAACATGCCTGGATAGGCATGCATAACTGTAGAAAGCGAGTAAGACACTTGCGGCGTAATCGAAATACAGCAACTTACACATAAATTTAGGACTTAACGGCAGATCGAAGAATTTCCGTAGGCCCCACACTGCGGCAGCAGGGAGGACTAGCATACCAAGTAACCCAACAACGAGCGGAATGATTACTTCTTTCGTTGCTTGTTTGGGGTCTGGATGGGTCCAGCCGTTGTTGATGATCTATAGTGACTAGTTAGTAGGCTCGCCCTGCCAGCAATCAATTTTGACCAACCGTAACCACTCCGCGCCCAACATCAAATTGAGGCCGCCGGTTGATGCGCATAAAGATCTTGCCATACACAAGACCGAGGGCCCACATGTCAACAATACGGATGTGAATGACCAGCGTTGGGTTAAGAGTCAGACGAACTGGCATGACGATGTACATATCGATGACGAGTGCGAAGAGAATGGGGATGATAATGCCCAAAAAGATCCCCATGTAAGCAATTTTGGATAGCCAAAGGAGGCTCCGCTTCACGAAGAAGACCGCAAACTCAGCTCTTGGCCCATCACCACCTCTTCGCTGTCTGCGTTTGTCCATGCGTTCCACAGTTTTGGCCACAAGATAGCAAGCCCAAAGAAGGTAGAGCCCTGCGAGGAAGGAGTAGCCATCATGTAGCTCTTTCGATGTGAACAGACAGAAGAAGTGACGGCCCAGTTGCATGGGTACTGCAATAAAGATAGCAGCCAACACGGCAACGATGACCCACACAGAGGTAATGAAGCCGAAGATTCTAAATCGAAAGCCAGGTGGGAAGTATACGATGAGATAATCGTTCTTGATGTCACGTTTGGCCTTTGCAGCTTCTGCATCTTGCGCCGCTACGAGCTCTACTGCTGCAGGATTGGCGGGGGTGCCGTCCTCCAGCACTTCCGCAGTGGCACGCATATCCTTCGGAAGGGCGATGTTGTCACTTGCGGGCACACGACGAAAGGTCCCATCGGACGTTTTGCTAGCAGACTCTATGTCGCTCAATGACCTGCGGAGGAAAGGAATCCAACCGTCAAACAGTGCCGTGAATTCTTCGTCCGAGTGGCGTTCGCCAAACATGTAAGATGTCAGACGCAACCTTGCTGCTACCAGCTTCCAGATACGGACGGCCCAACGATGGAAAAATCTTCTGGGCCTGAGGTAGCGCATCGTGTATGGCAAAGCAAACTGTAGGAAAATAAGATCTACGGGGACAGTGGATATCGGTTCGCTGGATGACAATGTCAGAAAAAAAGTTGGAGATCACTTGCTAGGTAATATCTCACCGCGTCTTCCACCGAAGAGGGAAAATAGACCTGTTACCAACGAAAAGTAGCACAGCAAGAGTTGCCACTCCACACGCGACCACCATGGCGTACATGAAAGCGCTGATGAGGAGTTTTCGGAACTGAGTGAATGTGGGCCTATCTAGGATGTCACGGATTGGGTGGAAGTTTTGATCTTGAGGATCCTTAATGAACCACATGGCTCCGGGGCGCATGATGTTCCGACATCCGGCCAATAGAATGGCAAACTGGTACCTAAAGAACAAGTTAGTCTACCGAATCCACTGAGACTATCTTGTTGACTCACATGAACATGGTCCCGGCAACCCAGTGATAGAACATCGCCGTCAATGGAGCTTGAGTGAAAAAGGCGGCACGTGACTCGAGCGAGGCTTCAGGAAAGACCCAAACTGTACAAATGTCGAGCATGATGCCACATCCCAAGGGAAATATCACGAGCTCGATAACAATGAACATGGCCACCTATGAAAGATAAGCATGAATCAAAAATTGCAGTGTGGGAGATATTACTTTGACCACTAGGAGCTGCTGTCGGACTGCACTCCGGATAGCTCGTCCCGCACTTCTTGCGTTCCCAACAGTGAACACGTTTAGGTAAATAGCAAGAAGGATACCAACTACGCCGTAGCCAAGTATAATAGCGAATACCTTTTCCCGGGTCCCTTGTCCCATGGTCAAGTTGACCCACGAAGTCTGCAGTTGCTCGGAGGTAGTCCGAACCTCGCGGCCCAGAGTTGCAAAATATGGTTCCAAGTACCGTACGATTACCGAGTCACTTTCCAAGAAGCTTTCAAGACGTTGTGACAACGAAATGGCAGGGGAAGGCGAGGGTGTCTGCAAGGATGCGACAACATTCTCCCATACAGT